TGTCGTGTCCGCTCTGTAAGTCCTACACTACTTGAAAGATTTTCTACAAACTTGGCCCAAATGTTCACCTCAACCAGGGGATGTGCAGAACCCATGTTGCCCATGTGCCAGCTCAAGGTCAAGGTCACAATTGAAGGTCAAATATCAAATATTACACATTATGTTGTGTCCGCTCTGTAAGTCCTACACTAATTGAAAGATTTTCTTGAAACTTGGCTCAAATATTCAACTCAACAAGGGGATGTGCAGAACCCATGTTGCCCATGTGTCAGCTCAAGGTCAAAGGTCACAATTGAAAGTCAAATATCTAACACTATCAAATATTACACAGTATGTTGTGTCCGCTCTGTAAGTCCTACACTACTTGAAAGATTTTCTTCAAACTTGGCTCAAATGTTTAACTCAACAAGGGATGTGCAGAACCCATGGTGCCCATGTGCCAGGTCAAGGGCACAATTGAAGGTCAAATATCAAACAATCACATATAACACAGTATGTTGTGTCCACTCTGTAAGTCCTACACTAATTGAAAGATTTTTCTTCAAACTTGACTCAAATATTCACCTCAACCAGGGGGATATGCAGAACCTATGTTGCCCATGTGTCAGCTCAAGGTCAAGGTCACAATTGAAGGTCAAATATCAAACAATCTAATATTACACAGTATGTCATGTCTGCTCAGTTTGTCCTACACTAATTGAAAGATTTTCTTCAATCTTGGCTTAAATGTTCATCTCAACCAGGGGATGTGCAGAACTTATGTCACTCTTTTGCTGGCTTAAGGTCAAGGTCACACTTGAAGGTCAAAAATTTGAAAATATTCTTAAATTTTAACATTTATTTGAATATTTCTAAATCTAGAAAATGTATTTGCTTGAAACTTAAAATATTTTTGAAGGGTCACAATTCCGATATGCTGTTTGTTCAAGTTTCATAACTCTTCTGTATTGCATTTTAACAAAGTTATGCCCCTTTTTAAGTCTTCAAATTTACATACAATCAAATATTAGACAATATGTTGTGTCCGCTCTATAAATCCTATACTAATGGAAGAATTTTCTTCAAACTTTACTCATATTTTCACCTCAACAAGGTTATGTGCAGAATCCTTGTCACCTTTGTGCCGGCTAAAGGTCAAGGTCACACTTGAAAGTCAAAAATTGACTTAGAAAATGTTCTTAAATTTTAACATGTACTTGAATAATTCTGAAACTAGCGCAGGCATTTGCTTGAAACTTAAAAAGATATATGAGGTGTTGGCAAATAAGATATGCAGGTCAAGTTTCATTACTCTGTATTGCATTTTGTCAAAGTTATGCCCCTTTTTTTTAGTCTTTCAAATTTACATACAACCAATACTAGACAATATATTGGGTCTACTCTATAAATTCTATACTAATGGAAGGATTTTCTTCAAACTTTACTCAAATGTTCAACCAAACTGGGTGATGTGCAAAACCCATCTTACCCTTGTGCCAGATTAAGGTCAAGGCCACACTTGAAGGTCAAAAATTGACTTATATAAAAAAGTGTTTAATACATTGGGAAAATGAAAGGTTATTTGTAACTGTTTCGAACATGATTTGATAATATATATTATACTATTACATGTACAATTAATCTTTTTTTCACCAGAGATAATTTCTTTTTATGTATTTGTGCCACATAAGTTTTATCCCTTTACCACCTTTCAAAGAGGTCTTCTGTCAAGGACATTGGTGGGGGTATGAATCGCATTCAGCGATAGTTCTAGTTTTGTTTGAAAGGAAACCCATATCTAATCTCTTTTTAAAGACTAATGTTTTTGTTTAATCTGTAAATAGTGATATTGTCACTATAATTATTTCTTTTTAGATTTAATTTAATCTGATTCTCATTGAATAAGATTTCTCTCGCTGTATCCATGAAAGTGATAACTTGCGTATTTTGGCTTTTTTTTTAAAAAAATTTTTTGTAGTTGTTTTCTTTGACATTTCTACACAATTGGACCTTCAAAACATATGATTTTATACATACATACATGAAATATATTTTAAATATATAGATATTAGCCTAATTAATTTGGCGAGAATGGTTTAACCCATTTTGCAGACATTTTTCTTCATGCAAAATACATCGCCGTCAAAAATTATCTGGACGTTTCTTTGACAAGTCTAATGAGTAATAAGATGGCTTTCTATAAATCTCCCATAGAACATTTAGATCTAAATTTAATTAGCACATATTTTGAGTAATTTTTGGGGGGGGGGGGGGGCAGATTTTTTTTTTTTTCATTTTCCCAAAAAAAGGATGCGGCGGGTCAGTAAACCGAAATATAAAAAAATAATGGCCTTACTGGTCATAGATAACAAAATAAAACAGCAGTTTGTACTTGTTTGGTTCACAATTACGTAGACGCTTTTCAGTATAGCCCACTTATGTCAAAGATGATAAAATCCGCTCGCTTTGGCGCCTATCTCTACTGTTTAAACACTAAACATGCCCATTTTGGGAACCATCTTGTCTCTAGTTAAAATAATAAATCATACTTTCACCTACATGAGCATAACTGGTTCACATCAAGTTGCGTTTTATACCCTGCCTTCTTCCATTATATGCCCATAAACTCTTATTGTTATAAGTGTTTTTACTTCCAAACCATTTGGGTATAAATAATTATTACTGTAGGATATTATATTGCCTGTTAAAGCAAGCTGCTAAATTCTAATAACTGTCAGGCTGAATATAGTGGAATATTGAGAAAATCCACCAATATTGCATCCTTGCATGCTATAGAATATAAATTAGAATCTTACCACAAGTTTTATGCAGTCTCTCCGATCAGGGACGAATTAAAGATTCATTATGTAGATAAGGGCAGAAGTACATTGCAGTTCCCTACTAAATTTGTAATAATGCACTAGTCTTGTCCCTGCTTTGCAAAATTGGAACTGTGCATATTATATACCACAGGTTTTTTTTAGGGTTGGAATGATTTTTTGCCAGTTATGGCTATCTATGAGGAGCAGATGTGATTCACTAATCCCTCTTGTATTTTATTGATGTCACATAATGTCTATAATGTATTGGCATGGCTTGTAATTTGTTTGTAACATCATAGACCTTGCCCCTGCTCGGTCAGGGTGATGTGTGAATAACTTATTTATTAATATACAAAAAAAAGCATTGATGCAAGAAATGCCCAGCAAGTGTTAGATGAACTAGTAGACATCTTATAACCAGATATTCTTTTAAACTTTTCAATGGTTAATTGTTTTTACCAGAATTGTATAATATTTATGAATTGGCGGACGAAAGACATTGTTCATCATGAACTTTGGTTGGCATGCTAGAGATTAGAATATTATTATACCCCCAAAAACTTCGTTTTTGGGGGGGGGTATATAGGAGTCACCCGGTGGTCGGTCGGTTGGAAAAGTAACAAAGGGCAAGAACTCTGAAATTACTTTAAATAAAGTTATGATTCTTGTGCACTGCACTTCCCCTTATTGTGCTTGACCATTGTATGAAGTTGTTTTGAATTCCAACCAGTAGATTTCAAGTTATGCTCCGGACAAGGAAAAGTAACAAAGGGCAATAACTCTGTAATTAGTGAAGATAGAGTATGGTTCTTATGCACTGCACTTCCTCTCAATGTGCTTGACCATTGTATGAAGTTGTATTGAATTCCAAACCATTAGTCTTCAAGTTATGCTCTGGACAAGGAAATTTTAAAGAATATTTTTTAGGTGAAGGGGCAGGGAGTGAAAAACAGGGTTGAATGGGTTGCTGAATCCTTACAATGATTTTGTTGTAAAAAAAATGGGGACAAACACAAAAGACAATGCTTTTTAATACAATTAAGTCTTCCCAAATACAGATTCATGGGAAAATAAAAGAAAACTTGCTCCTTTTAATCCTGAATGATATATAAGGTTCACTTCCAGACTGGTTTTTAGACATTTTGCCTAGAAACAGAAAATTTAGTAAAAGCTGAAGTCCATATCTCAGCTGAGGTCTAGATCTCGTTATATACAAGCTTTAAAAAAAGTTCTTATACTAGCTAAATGTCTTAGTTTTTTTAACTATATAACCAGAGACAGACATTTAGGTTTCTTTTCTATATTAAACAAGAGATGCAGTTACAGTCATGTACACTGTAACTTCTCTTTAAGTAACTAATTAGTACAGGCAATAGAGCAGGTGCTGGCAGGCAAAAACGTAAATGATGTCAATATGCTGCCATTTCGATAATTATTATGCAATTCATAATAAATTGGGAATAAATTACAGTAAAAACTTAGCTATTTGTGACAGATGTATTTTGTGACAAATTTGCACTATTGTATTTTGATTGTATTTTCTATGCTTTTACCATTGAACATTACAGTTTTCTGTAATTTTATTTATGGGAAAAAATGGTTTAAAATGAGGTATTTAAGAATGTTTCCTACGAAACATATAAAAACAGATGAGTTTAAATCCCAACAGGGACTTATTTTGGTGCTATATGGATAGCTTACAGAAAAAAGCATACAATTTTTGTGAACTTTAATCCATGATCAAGAGGGAGATTTTTCTTCAAAAAGAGGGAGATTTTAGAATTTGCAATGAACAAAGAAGGAAGTTCTGACATCAAAAAGAGGGAGATTTCTTTAATTTGTGAAAATACTCCTTATTTTAAGAAAAATCTTTGAAAATATGCCTGCAGAAATAGGGAGTCTCCTGCTTAAAGTGGGAGAGTTCACATGTATGAAAAAGTCTGGAAGAAGGGTGATCCTCGGAATCATTTATCACAACAAAATTACATGAAAATTGCAGACTCAGTATGATTTTAGTTTGGACATGAGGGTTAATGTATAAGTGCAACATCTAACGATAGAATGGGTTGTTCTGTTCAGGTGCTGCTTGTTACTAAAATTTTGCACAAAAGGGGCATCTGAGGTGTGACTAAACCCATGATCTACTGTATTTGTATAATGTATTTGTCTTGCTTCGAAAAATGGAACAATCTGTTCAAAATTCAAACAATATTAATGACTATATTTGTATATTTTCAGCTCAGTCAAATATTGGGTCACAGTGATCAGTTGTATATCAGGTTACCGAGTGGCCTCAGATTCTGGCAGATTATCCTAGCTGTTGTTTTCTCAATTTTATCTCTATGGGTAAGTAATTCATGATATCAAGACATGCAGGCATATAAGCCATATAAGAATAACTATTTCAAATCAGTTTGGGCATCCATGGCTGAATTGTTATGGTTGTTGAGTTCAAATAAGTTCCTGCTCATGGCTGTGGGTTTAAATCCTAATATCTTTTATGCAAGGAAGTTGATCAGCCAGCTTACGGCACATCAATGATAATACTCAGGTGCCCACTTGTACCTGAAAGCACAAAGAAGCACCTGAGGTCATTCTCGACCAAGTGGCCAAACCTTTACAGTGTCAATGTTACTTTACATATTTCACACTTACATACAGTCTAACTTGCCCATGCGACCACGTGTATTAAGCGACTTTTGTCTTAAACGACCACTTTAAATTCCCCCCGATCATTTTCTCTCTATATCTTTAATGTATTAAGCGACTTTTGCTCAACGCGACCAGCGACCACTAATTAGTCACCTAATTGACATCAATCTTTTCATTAAACGACCACTTTTACCTGTCAAGTAATTGTGTTTTTAGAGAACGCCACCTCGTTATGTCACAAGTGTCAGCAATCAAAACACAACAATAAAGGTGTGAAAAACCCTATTTCACATACCGTTTTAGCGTATGCAAATGAAGTTAAGTATACGCGTGACGTGTATTATCCAATAATATCGGATAAACAATGCAACGCTCCGCCCATACTGAGATGGTGTATACGCTTCGCTTGTTGACATTTAGACTGCATTGAATTGACCTTGAACTTGATCAGCCATTAAATTAATCGTAACAAATAGATGTAGTTTGTTTATTTCAAATGAAAAAATGCACAACAGAAAACATCTTCACTAATAGGGTTTTCGTGTTGGAGAAGTGAAAAAATTCTGGAAAAAATGTCAAACATGTACGTAATGGATCAAAACATTTTTTTGTAAATAAATATCAGAACGTTATTTTTACATTTGCATCCGTTTAGATTATCGGAGCGTAGTTATTATTCAACATTTATATAAAAATGAAGTTGAAAAACAAACCCATCGAATAAAAAATATGTCATTTATAAATTTTGACTTTTATATCATGCTGACTGTCTTAAGAGACCGTTTCATTAAGCGACCGTTTTTGGTGTTTCCCTTGCCCGGTCGCTTAATACACGTTTGACTGTATTTTATTTGAAGGTCATTTTAAATAACCACCAGCAGATTGCATAAGTTTGGCAGATTTTACCTCTTTTTGCATTAAATATCCAAATCCCAGTCCTTCCTCATGACCCAAGCTTAAAAAGAAAAATACACAAGTCGATAGGACAAGGAAATGAAAATAAAATTTTAGCAATTTTGAATACTTCTAAAATCCTAAAAGAAGGAGAGTAGAGGGCTAGATTCGGTAAGTGAGGTGGTTTTGACCCCAGGTGTTGCTTTGAAGTTTGTAACACCCAAGAATAGCCAAAACCATCTTTCCTGTTTTGGCACCATATGACCAAACTGTGTTGACAAACAAAACGAACAAATCACCAGTTTCAATCTTCCTAAGTGAAATGAAGCAGGAAATATTTGAGGCTATATTTTAATATAGACCACAAGTCCAGGTATTCATCAATAGTATTTAGTGGTGTTCAACCTTAAACATATTTCCTGTATAAGGTGCTAAATATCTCCATAGTTAATTACTCTATACATAAATCACTGGAAAATCCCATCTTGACTGACAATCACTTTACAAATCTCATTGAGTCTAAAGCTGGGATCATGGGAAGAAAATCTTCTTAGATAGGAGAAATATTAGACACCATTGATTGTTGGACATTAGCAGGGAGAATGTACATAATGTTGTGGTTAATTTCCGCTCCCACGTGGTTATCCTGGTGATGGAGATAAATACTCACGACATGTAATAAGAAAGTTGAGCACAAAATATGAACTTAAAGCAATGTGACAACAGTGTTTACATTGTATTATTTTTGATACTGTTTATTTACTACAAGGAGACAAACAAATTTCCTTAAAAGGTCAGATGTTACCCTGATCTATGGCTATGGTATTATCAGGACTAGACCCTTTAAGTTAAAGCCAAGAGATTACCCATTCTGTTTGCCTTCCTCCCTTGGATAACATTAAGAGCCTTTAAAAAAATGTGCACATTTATTTCTCGTAAATCAGGCCTTGAGTTAAGAAACTTAGTTTAAAAAGTATCATTCATTTGCTTGCATGTCATTTAAGGTAGATAAAGGATGTCATTGAAAGGCAGCTATTGGCCAAAATGATTGTCTCTGATACATTTTAGGCTGCATCAAAACTTAGAAAACACTCAAGTTGCATGTCATTAAACCAAAATTAACAGCATCAAATTTAAAAACAAACCCTCTCAGAAAACTTTTAATGACAAACCCTGTTATATAAGGGTAAACTGCAATACTGTCTTTACTAAATGAACTGTTACAACCTGATGCAATAAGTCCCAAGAAGGTGAATAAAACAGTCCACTCCCCTACATATTACTTAAATACACAGAAATGTCATTTTTTAACTCACCTGTCACAAAGTGACAAGGTGAGCTTTTGTAATCACAATTCGTTTGGTGTCCGTTTGTAAACTTTAAACGACATCAAAAAACGCTTGGCCAATTTCATCCAAACTTCACAGGAACATTCCTTTGGTGGTCACCTTTTAAAATTGTTCAAAGACTTTAATTCCATGCAGAACTCTGGTTGCCATGGCAACCGAAAGAAAAAAAGAACCCAAGGAGCTAAACTTAGATATTTAGCATGAAACATCTTCTAGTGAGTGTCTAACAAATTTGTTCAAATAAAAGCCCTGGGCTCACCCCTAGGGGCTATTAATTTTCCTTATATGTATTTAGGAAAAACTTAAAATCTTCTTTTAAAAAAAACCATATAGCTAAAGGTTAGATATTAGGCATGAAACATCTTCTAGTGAGTGTCTACCAAATTTGTTCAAATAAAGCCCTTGGCTCAAAATTGGCCTCGCCCCCGCCCCGTTGGGGGATCATTAATTTTCCTTATATGTATATATAAAAATTAAAAAACTTCTTTTAAAAAACCCAAAAATCTAGCGTTTAGATATTAAGCATGAAACATCTTCTAGTGAGCATCTATGAAGTTTGTTAAAATAAAAACCCTGGTGTCTAAATTGGCCCTACCATGTGGAGTCAAAATGCATTGATTTCCTTATATGTGCACATCTTTTGGATCTGTTGTTTTCCATTAGCAATATTTATTTACACATGCACTATTTCAGATACAAATATGAACTTTGTTTATCAGTTTAAGATTTAGATTTTATATCTGCTTTTGTTTATAGTTTACAATATTACTTGTTCCTTGTCATGGAGAGTTTTTATATTCAGGTGAGCGATGTTAGGGCCATCATGGCCCTCTTGTTTTACAGAGACAGGAAAATGTGTTGTCTGCTCCCTAATGATAGTATTTATCCTTCTATAGCTCTTCTTCTATTTCATCTTATTATATGACCAATATTTTGTGAAGAAGAATGTAATGGATAGGACATTGTGTGGTATAAATATTTATATCATTTGAATACCTACGTCTGATGGTATATGAAAAAAATGTAAATTGTCTGATACATTTCCACCATAGTGAAATAATGAGATTAATCTTTTCTATACCAAGTTTTATATATCATATATGATATATGGTTGATTGCTAAATTCTCTTGTGATTGCAATGAATATAGGCAAAAATAATATTCAAGGGCAGATAAGTTAGTAACAAGATTGGCAGTGCCCAATATATTTTCACATAAAATGTTGAAAAGTTGGTGTTTCTTTATAATTGTATTCTAATATCCTTCAATGTTTGAATAAATCCTATCAAAAAAAGTTATTAATATGTTTATATGATCTTTGGCTTCATTGAGTTCATTCTAAGCTTCATTGTTGTTCTTTAGATTCATTGAGTTTCAGAAGTATTTTCAGTTAACTCCGTTTTCATACAATTTTTGTGTACACTTTCTGCAACCAATTTTGATTGTTGTAAGACCTAGATATGTCTAGAACTGGGTTTTTATAGCAGTAACTTTACAAATTTACTTGTACAATATAGGTATTTTCATTCAATTAGCATGATCTGAATGTATCCAGTGCACCTGCTGGTGACATATAGACACCCCTGAGAATATTAAATTTCAGTCCATGATTAGTTGTGCCAGACCTGAATCACACCAGTATACTTTATTGATACAAAATTTGCGTGGAAATTATTCAGATATACATTTTGTCCCATTCCGCGACCCCAGATTCCATGATTTTAGGTTCTGCTTTATGTCACACCAACATAGTATAGGTCATATGGCGACTTTCCAGCTTTACTGGTGAAGGAAGACATAAAGCACCCCTCTGTGTGCATTATTTCAGGCACAAACTGGCACCTGAGTAGAACCACAGATGTTCCGTAAGCTAGCTGGATGGCTTCCTCACATGAACGAATCAAACCAATTGATTTGTATGGCTCAAACCTACAGCAGTGAGAGGACGGTGCTTTAAAGTCAACAAATTTTACCAATCGGCCATAGATGCCCCTATATTCCACTGTGTTGTCAAAATTAGCTACTCGTATTTTAATGACATTACATTATATGGAAAGAAATCTGAATCAAAATCTCTCATATAAAATTTGTACACTTCAGAGTGAGTAGAATGGATCAAACCAGTAATCTAAGGATTTTAAGTTGCATGAGTTTAAATCCTACACACTCATTGCTCAACACTTGTTGGTTCCAAGAAAGGATTAGCGAGTGGGTCTATCAGTTTATACCTTGAAATTAAAACAATTTCTGTAAAAACTAATGATCCATTAATTTAATAGTCCATGTTATTATAAAAAAAAATACAATATTTTATGATAAGAATAATTATGATATTACATGTATATAAAATCCATTGCCTTGTCAAAATAAGAAATTTAGTGTAATAATTTGATTATTATAAAGATGATTTGTTGTTTTTATTTCAGGCTCTGATGTTTCCAGGACATTATTTCCATGCTATGTATGATATGGATGGATCCAGTTTCACATTTCCAATCCGATTATATGCATGTGCACTTATTTGTAAGTATTTTGTATTCTTTGAATTGTGTAAGCAAATAAACTTTAAAGGAACTCCACTCTCAGGTCCAAAGGCCTAAAAACATAAAAATTGAATTTCTTACATAGATGAACTGGGACACATAAAACAGAAAGATATGCAGAAGATATTTAATAATTATACTCGGAATAAATTAAAAATTGTATTTTTGGTGCTATATTATGATACTCAAATTTGAGTGAAAACCATTACAATAATCATTCAGAAAAAAAATCGAGTAAGCAAATGATCTGAACTTTTGCACACAAGTAATTGGTCTAAACCATCATCAAATAGACCATGGAAAAATTATTTTGAGTCTTGTCAATATCCAAAATGCCAGTGGAGTCCCTTTAACCTGCTGGGTGGCAACTGAATATACCCATGTGACCAGTGAAGTCTACCGGCCTTTTGATGCAGACCATGATTATATTTTGGTACGGTTATGCTTGCTATCTTCATCTACGCTTGCTGCATCAATTTTTCCCCCAGCAGACTAAAAGTTTAAAAGAATATTCAGCGAAATAGAAAAGTTAAAATCTTAACAAATTATCAAACTTACTATAATGTTTTAAAATCCATTTGAAGTTGTAAAATGCTTTGTGAAAGTAAGAAACTTTATCTCAAGTGTTTCTATTTTGAAATATAGTTCCTACAAAGATGATGGGTTTCGAGATAATTGAAGTAATTGCTCTGTCATTATGCTTGCATGTTATGTCTTCTGTTGGAGACAGGTTGATGAAATTCATCAATATAAGACAGATTTATGTCCCCAGCAGGAACTTTCTCTCTAAAGTAACTGTAAATAAATATTGTCTGAAGAGTTGCTGATGTTTAATTTAAAATTTAATATTTTTATTTTGCCTGTTGTGCATCTTAAAGTACAAAATAAACTATTAAAGTATTACGATTATGTCTGGTGTAGAGGGCAGCGCTAAATGTCATTGTACTTTGAATCTTTTGGTATCCAAGAGATGTGTACTACATTGTGTATGTATTGTGTATTTTAGTGATTCATTACAAATATCAGGTATTGCAGTGATGCTCACTTTCCATTTCAGGTATCTGAGAGATGTGCTCTGTATACTTTAGGTATCTCATTGATGTGCTCTATATATTTAAGGTATCTCAGTGATATGCTCTATAAATATCAGGTATCTTAGTGATGTGTTCTAAACATTTCAGGTATCTCAGTGATGTATTGGAGCACTGTTCAGGCGGCTGACCGACATGTCATCAGAATGATTCTTTTATCTAGTGTAGTGTTCTTCACTTTACAGTCTGGTGGTATGTATTTGGAACATTTGAAATATTTTTGTCTATCTTTCACTTGCCTGAGTGACATCAAATTTATGTACATATTTGCTTTAATCTGCAGCAGTTACACTAGACTGTCACACTATGCCTGATTTGTGGCATATTTTCACTGAAATTCTAAATGGATTGCAATTTATATATCTTTAAATCTTCTATATTATAAACAAACAAGAGCATTATCAGGATTGCAAACTTTCAAACCTTTTAAGCTCAGCTGAACTAGCTCAGGGTGAGCTTTTAGGATCGTTGAATGTCTGTTGTCCGTCCACATTTGTTCGTTAATAATCTAGTGGTCACAGTTTTGCCCAAATCATCATTAAACTTTGTCAGAATGCTGTTCGAGTTAATTGCTCGGACGAGTTTGAACATGGGTCATCTTGGATGAAAAACTAGGTCACAGGAACTAGAAATAGAAAAAAATCTTGTTAACACTCTAGTGGCAAACATTTTGATCCAAATATCCTTGAAATTGGTCTGAAAGTTTGTTTTGATGATTTCTAGGTAAAGTCCCAATATGGGTTACCTGGGGTCAAAAACAAGGTCACACCGCCCATATGTGGAAAAACCTTGTTAAAACTCTGGTGGTCACATTTTTGACTCAATTGTCATCAAACTTGGTCAGGATACTTGTCTAAGTAATTGCTCGGATGAGTTTGATGGGTCAGGTGAGCGATCTAGGGCCATCTTGGCCCTCTTGTTTCTCACTTTGAATGAATAATCAGTACACAACTGTTTTGTTTTGATCATGAGTGAGCTTTGATTATATGAGTTTGAATGATGAGTTCTAGGACTGTTTCTGGCTTGTTCGGAATTAAGACCACCCAGTTTATCTTCTATTAAGACCACAATTTTTCATTCCCAATATACTATCTAGCAGTGATGTTAATATCAAGGAGCATAATACTTATGCATGCATTGTGCAAAAAATGATGTAATGTTAAATGGTGTAATATTGTAAGTTTTAGCCAATCAAATGTTGTAAATTGTTTGTTTGAACTTGTCCTCAGAGTTTGTAGCAACGGTTATGTTATAAAGGTGGTTGGTGGATTGAACAGTATGTCAAGTTACTAATTTTATGTATTTTGAAATGTTTTAGAATTTAGGTTTAAATGATTAAATAACCAATAGTTTCATAGTCTAAATGCATGTTAATAGGACTATCAGGAAAATTATTGTAACTCCTGTAGTGTAGTTAAAAAAATTTGTGTGTTGTTAGACACATCTTTATAGTTATCAACAGACATTCATTTAATGTTAGGAAATTTTCCCTCATCAATAGTTAGTACATAGAAAGTCGGCAAACTATGTAACTTTCCATTGCTGGAGCAGGCCATGCAGTCCAGATAATTGGTCCTATAGTTTGAAAATATTCTTGTGTTGTTAGATAGACCATCAATTTTGATTACTGTTAACTTTGTGCACAAGAAAATTTTAACATTTTTGTACTGTTATTTTGAATTTGTAAATTGTCTGATCATCTAATTTCTGACCAGAACTCCTGTTTATCAGTGATAAATCTCCCATTTTATTTCATTTATTTTCTCCCCTTCTTGGTGACATGTTTTAATCAAAGCACAGAAGGCGCTGAATTTGTTTGGGTCTCAGAATGTCAGAAAGGTGAAGGTTGTGAGATTATAAACCAATTTGTTTTTGTATAGTGTCAGCAATGCTGTTTCCAGTGTTTTAACTGTAGTAAATTGGCTATAAGACTAATTGCAACACTGATATCAATTCAATGTTTATTTGACTTAAAAAATAAAATTTAAAAAAAATGAGTTGCCTCAACTAGGATTTGAACTCGAGACCTCTTGATTCATAAGCGAGCGTGCAAACCCCTCGGCCATGGTGCAGTTATTTGTTCACAGCCCAAAGAAAACCATATTATTCTAAATAAGGGTTTGTAACTCTTATTATTTCAACGCTAAACACAGATGTAAATAATCATGGAGCTTACTGTAAGCATGTATATCTATAAAGAATGAAACAATATTAGAAATCTTCGACCATTCGGGAACTACTTTGCTTGAAAATTAATGCGCCTGTCATTTGACAATCTTTACGCATTGATCTCCCCTGAATTTTTCGGCGTTAGTGTACATATAAAGGGGAGTAACTGCTTCAAAAAAGTGGACTACTTTAGGCATTTGCAATTAACAGCATTAGGCTCTGAAATTTCGCTACCATTATTTGTTTGGTCTGACGACCCAAACAAATAAAAATGGTTGACACATGGGTCTATGTCTGGCCCATTATATATGCTTAAGATTCAACATGTTGCTGTTGTTTATATATGTCATATAGCAAAAAATAAGTAAAGTTTGAGCTTGAAACAGTTATTTAATTGGTCAGTTCTATGGTCAGTTCAGTCTTTTGTTTTTCCTCTTTGATTGTGTTGGAAGTTATAAGCAGAAATTTGTCGCACTCAAATCCATTCCTTGAACCATCCAGTGCAAAGCAAGAAATGTAAAGTTTCTAGCTCACGGAACAACAGCTTGCCTCCAATAGGGTTTGAACCAATACGGTCAGCATTCCTTAGATTAACATTCTGAAGTGTTAGCCACACTTATTGGTTAAAAGCATACTCACACAAGCAATGAGTGTTACCGTATAGTGACTGGAATTATTTTCTTGGCAAGTTAATAAAGCCCACTGGAATTGTTATCATATATGTTTAGGAAAAATATTTTCATCTCTTTAAGTTTGAGACATCAAGTCTAGCCAACACATTGAAAATATTGATGTTATCTTAGAAACTGATAATAAAGAATTTGCAAATAATGCTGTGTGATTTGTAAAATAACTTGAGAAACAACATTTTTCTGTTAGATTTTTCCTACTTTTGATCAGCTTTCTTTGGCTATTATTGTGCAGCAGATGAGTTATTGCATTTAATCTTCGCCCATCATGTATTGGCCACTGAACAACATGGCCTCAACTGTTCAGCTTAAAACAAGACTAGAGCTATAAATTGTATAAAGCTATATATCTTCTGCTTGTAATTTTGATTTTTGAAATATAATAATTTTAAAATGCCTGTAAAAAAAAAGAAATGTTTGTATATTTTAAATTTTCTTGCGAGCAAATGACACACTGTGCAAGAAATTATTGCTAACTTCAAAAGTTGTGGATATATTGATAGGAATATTTCTTTGATTGTACTGTGCATATATAGCAATAATTGTTTTATTCTGCTAACAAGAAATAGTTCAAATAAACAGTTCTGACAGACTTACTAAATTTCATGTTTAATTATTTAATGGTGTTAAAGACAACATTTTCAGTCACGATTAGACTGCACAGATATGTTGACAGATCTTTAACGGCATTGGTTACATAGCCATCATCTAGCTAAGAACATAATTTGTTCTTTTTTAGTCCATATCAATGTTGTAGTCGTGCAATATGCTCTTACCAACAGTTCTCAATTTGCAAAAAAGTGGTGAAAGAATACCATGAAAATTCAAGAGAAAAATACACATTTGCATGAATTTCACTTGGACAAAATCTAGTCCATAATCAAACACTAGATAAAAGCTATAGTCAAGAATATTAACTGTCAAAGATGTCCTGTTTTTGAAGCCATAGTGATGAAAGAGCAGGTCAATAGATTGTATTTGCTAAATTGGATGTCTTCTTCATTGAGAAAACCAAGAAAATCAGTTTGGCAGGAATTATGATACAAGTTACCATAGTTCAATGGCCTTCTTTGTGTTCATTATTTTCATCAGGCAATATTTAAATTAGTTTCTGTGTTACATTAGGCCAAACAAATTTCTTATCAAGTCCATTGTTGTTTATATGAGTGATTAATACAAAAAAACTTCTTTCATTTCTGAGCAGAACATTTTGTACAGGTTACTATTACAGTCATGTATTGTCTGAAAGGGCAAATTATAACTAGTAATGAATGGACATTTTGGATTTCTTTCTTTAAAAAAACATCTTTTTTTAGGGACAACCTCATATGGTTGCCTGTTTGTCCTGTTTATAATCTTCAATCATTGTCCTGTCATCACACTTAAATATAATACCATCTTAATATACACTCATACTGTTTACAATCATGATTCAAGTCATGAAAAAGTCATACTTTTTTAACAATATTTACAATTATTTAAATTCAAAAATTGCATGCATAGTCTTCAGGTATGCCCCGGTCACATATTCACGGATAATGCCAAGGAAGAGCTACGGTCTAAACGTTCACGGATTACTACGGAAATGTGAAATTTCGTAGTCCGCTACGGTTCCAGTACGGACACACAACGGTATGAGTACGGAGTCCGACGGATTTACCACCAAAAGCCCCCGGAGAGACACGGATTGTTACGGACCACCACTGTTTGATACGGAGCGACACGAATCAGGACGGACGCACTACGGATACACTACGGTCTGCTACGGTATAAGCACAGGGTTAGTACGAATAAGTACGGTCTGATACGGAGAAGAACGAATTGCCACGGATCTATACCGATCTAATACATCCGTCCACAACCTCTTGCTTGCTCATTTTCAAAATGCCTCAAAAGAAAAGAACACCTAGTAAACGAATTGCAGAGTTCAATGATTTTGGCGGAGAGGACTCGGCCTAATCGCGTCCGACCCCCGAGACACATCAGGTCCGATTAAAGTGAATTTCTTGAAGGACACTGGATCCTCAACAAGTTCGGCCATGAGAGCCTCATACTAAACTTGAAGCGGTCTTCGTAAAAAGCCCATCTCTAGTCCACCATCTCGTCTGTCTTCTCTTACCTGATTAGATATGGACTAGTAATCATTAATGAAAAATGTTGATCAATACTGCTTCTCTTTTAATTTTAAGATTTGCTGTTCATCTTACAATTACATTAATTATCGTGATGTTTATGTTTTAAAAATATGTAAAAAGCTTGTTAATTAATCTTATTATCACTCAAGGGCCAGCCTCCGAGGCTTATGAGACACTTCGTTTTATGTAAATATTTACTCCAATTTCACGATCCAATGTTTGTAAAATATGTAACATTAAATGTTATTCTATTACTTATGAATTGTAGTAAGATATTAATATAAACTTACTTCTATGTATGCCATCAAGCAGCTCGACCACTGCCTCCGCATTCTGAGCCATTTCAATATAAAGTTGCAGCCAGTAAATGGCAATTATCATTTATTAAATGTTTCCGCAAATATGTCTGTTTTTGGCAAGAAGGTAGTATTTATACCCTTGAAAAAGTACATGATTTAATTCATCCGTATTAAACAGTGGTGGACCGTACCATTCCGTACCGTTTCATGTTGCAACGCAAAAAACCGTATAAGACCGTGCTAATCCTTGCCTCTCCGTAGTACAACGTATTACGATCGTGGCTTTCCGTGACAATGCCGTATTAATCCGTATTAAAACCGTAGCTTATACGTAGGGTAACCGTACAAATACGCAGTTCTCCGTACAAAACCGTGGAAATCCTTGACAAGTTGGTGGACTACGAATCATTACGGACTAGTGCGGTTTTCGTACGGGCCAGTACGTATCAGTACGGATTAATACGGACTAGTAGGGATACGCTACGGTTGATTTTTCCGTAGCAAATTTTTGTGCATGTTCAAAAATTGTCAAGGATCAATACGGATATACAAGGACTACTACGATTGATTACGGTTACAATACGGAGAGCTACTGACCAGTACGGGTAGCTACGGACGATGCCGGAATTAATCCGTGGCTCTTCCGTGGGCGTATTCCGTGAATATGTGACCGGGGTATTAGAAGTTCTTCATTGTGTAATAATTTTGAAGTGTTAAAAGCTATAAAACCCTACTTTAAAACCCTACTTAAAATAGTAGAATGATATTTGTTTCATTTAAGTACAATATTCATGTAAATTAAATAGCAGAGACATTCTTTGTTAAAATTCTTTCTAGAATCGACCAAATAGGTTATGGAACCAATGTTTTTTTGTGATAAAATTTGTAAAAATATTTCATAAGATATAGCTTTATACACTTTAAATGTTTATTTCACTATAATGAAAGAATAATATGACAGATAATGTGATTATTGAAATTTTCTGAAAAAATTTATTTTTAATTGGTGGAGATTAAATTTTACATAGCTTTAAATGCTCAAAATGTTTTTAAAACTTTACATAACTTAATATTTTTTCCCCCAACACATACACAATTTACTCACAACTTCCTTTAAGATTTACCAATAAAAAAAATGTCTCCAGTAACGATAAAAAAAACCTAAATAGGAAATTAATCAATGCCACCATATGATAAGGATAATGTCAATAATTTTTAATTTTCTAAATGGTTTGTAAATGAGCTTTTTAATAATTTCAGTGAAAAATTGCTATTGATTTTCATGTTTCTACAGGACTCAGTAATGTAACTTTGTCAGGAATAATGTAGAGTTCTTTAATTTAGTAAAATCTGGATATTTGGGCCATTACTTGATGGAAAGTCCTGAGATTCACTTTATTTAAAAATCATGATTTGTATTTTGTCAAAACGATAGTGAGTTACTGATAGTGCTTAAGAGATTTATAATTTAATTATTTTGTCCATTGTAGTGTCAGAATTTTGGAAGTATTTTAGATAAAACAACCAAGGTTATTCTATTATCTATAGCCTTCATAACACCTTTATGATGACCCCTCAACTATTTCATGTCCTTGACATTCAAAATGCATTGACATTGAAGACATTTTTAATTGCAGATTTTCAGTTAAGAGATATTTTGTGTTCTACAAAGACTACTTGTTTCTGTTTAATATTCAGGAAAATTCTTGGTTGCCTTAGTGTCAATTTATGCTTTATCAATTGAACTGCAATTTACCAAAAGGAATATTGATTAAAAAGAAAATCTTGTCATTTAATATGTTTGTGAAAATAAGATCTATTGCAGTTTCATAACAAACTTTTTGCAAAATATTTGCTTATAAACTCCATCAGCACTAAATAAATTGGTTTGTTAACATTTTAAATGGTTACTTTATCATGGCAGTCCAAATATTCCGAGAAATTGTTTGAACAGTAAAGATATTTCAACTGTAATAACAAGATAAACATGCATTTTACAGTAATAAATAAAACAATTAATTGAATTTTCATTATTTACCAGGTTGTGTTTTCCCATAATTATTTTGAAAAAAGTTTCCAAAGAGCAAATGCAAAACAAAATCCCCTTGACCAAAAGCTGTCCTGTTGATTTTGAAGTCCATCAATTAGAATATTATGGAATAACATATTGTAGTGTTCTGTCTCCACTGTGCCCACTCTATAAATGCTATACCCTTTGAAGGATTTTCTTCAAAATGGGCTCCAATGTCCATCTGAAGTTTACTAGGCTATGAGCAGAACCAAAGTTCATACTCTTGTGCCAGGTCTTGTGCAATGGCTGGTATTGGTTCATGTAGATTTAATATATGATTTATCATTGATTGAAATTAATGCTGATAAGACCAACAATATCTGGTGCATCTGGAGTTATTGCCCCAGAATAAATAGAAAATACAGAAAAAATGTTTCAAACAAGAAACAAGCTGTTTGAAATATTCTTTTGATAAAAAACTTCAATATGTCAAGCCAAGTTTTCCACCAGGGGGGACAAATCTAGTTAAATTCATTGAACCTTTTTTTACTAATATTAAGGAGTTGCTGACCCTGAACTGAAAAAAAAATTCAGAAGACAAATAAGTTTGTAATAAATCCATGAGTAAACATGTTCCATGATTTTGCAGTTATATAACTTCATGTATATGTGAATTTTTATTGATGTTCAGCAAGGGTTGAACTTGTCTGTATTCTATATTATATATAGACTGTGAAACATGTTGCAGTTTTTTTATCATATTTGTCACTGTTTCAGTTTTATATGATTTTTTTTTTCATGTGCTTATATTTTAAATGTTTAGTGTACCATTTGTTGTTTATTTTTTCTTGCGTCTGCAGTATTGATGAGTTTGTGGTCATCATGGTTACCCTCAACAACCCCGGCCTCACTTCTGTGTTCAGTTTTCATCGCATTCGTGGCACGGCTTATAGTCATAGCTGTATCAAGCTACTTCTATTGGATAACTTACAGAGATGGGAAATCAAAGGATGTGAAGTACTATCGATAGTACTAAACAATATGGGCGCTTCTTAAAAATTCCACTGGGCTTTATGGTAGGAATATGCACGCATTTTGAGATGTCCCCCCTCTCACTTTGAAGTAAATTGCACTTAGTCACTAGAATAGTTTTGAGTTGCCCCCCAAATCTTTGTTGCACTTTTGTAGAAATTCCTTTAGAAAGCTTTCTTTCATTTCTGCTCCAAAATAAGCATATCTATATATCATATCTAGGTTTCTTGGTGTATAATCTTCATAGATCTAGAAGTTTCACTTATCACAAAACTCTGTATGTTTTGGTTCTGCATTTTTCTATTTTCAGATGACCTTGAACTTGACCTTTCTAGTCTAACTATTGCATGTTTTACACATATTTATTCTTTGCACTGCACATTATCTTTTTAATTTCTTTTCCATTAATCCTGATTTCATACTGATAGTCCTATGAAAAAGAGTAAAGTTATAATGAAAGAACAGTTTTCATAGTATTTAATAGTTCCTAATAGGGATGGCAACGAGTAACCGGTTAACCGAGTACTCGATCGAACGTCCGAATATCGGTTAAAAAAATTGATATTCGATTACTCGGAAAAAATGTATACTTTCTATTTTATTTGCTATTTAGACAGTTTGGTGTATCCAATTATCAAAAATTCGAAGATGTGCATATACCTTCATAAATACCTGTTAAATGCAATCACAACTTCCTTGCAGAGGTGCGAAAATGATACCATAAAGTTAATGAGGCGATCAACAGTTTGACACGCGCACATGTGTCGCTTACGTCATCCGGCCTCTTATGATATTTAGTAACCTTTAATTGTGTAACATAATGCAGTTTGTACACGAATCGAGTTTTAAGGTAACATTTTTGAAAACAACAAAGGGCCGTATTGCTATTATGATATAATAATTAAGGTAGTATTTAGACCCGGTTAAACTTTTGTTGCCGCCGATCAGTCTATTTTATTACAAGAAGGAAAAGATGTATCAACTGCTTAACATGTTTTAAACTTGATATTACATTAATTAAAAAATGTTCTAAAGTATAATGTCGTTGATTTAATTTTAATTAATTTGTTTCCTTTGCAGTCCTATCTATAGTTACGAATTCTATGAATGTAAATAGAAAACGAAAGTAGCATGCGGACGGTGATATTGTGTGATAAACTTTGAAGATTATTGGAAATCGTCCGAGTAACCGAGTACTCGATCGGAAAAATGATCCAGTACTCGAGTATTAATTTTGGTATTCGTTGCCATCCCTAGTTCCTAAGGTACAATACTTCACAATTCTAATTAGGTCAAGGTCATTACTATGGTAGAAACGTTATAACTGCTGTTTATGAATTGTCTACCGAAGGTTAAAGTGAACGCAATTTTACAGAAAACTTGTACCAAGGTCACTAGAGATCATACAAATTTGCTTGTTTTCAAATATATTTAGCCTGCTTGGTTACATTTAATTTCCAAAATGTATATTTTTATGCCTAAAGAAAGCAAAGGGGCTTATGATTTGAGAGAAGTAGGGATATAGTAGAACTGTAAGATTGAGACATATGTATTAAGATTCTTAACATAGACCAGTGTGCCTGATTCATACATATAAGTCTTTATGAAGGAAATCTTGTTGCCAGAAATGCTCTTATTTCATACTCAAATCATGAATGGTACCTGATGACTATATAATCTGTTTTAAAATTACCATATTGTCCTTATTAATGTCTCACTATTTGTAAAGGATTGGCAAGAACAAACCCTGTTTTCTACAACAATGTATTAATTATATGTGCATTAATAAACATTTTTTTCATGGGGTGCTAAATCTTTGGATTGGTCTGCAGCATTGCATTAAACTTGGAGCAGACCATCACAGTTACTTGAAAGGCTGTTCACCCTTTACATGGTGTAACCAAATGTGGTTTGCCTTGGCCAGGTGTAGACCCATGCCAGTCTGCATATCCTTGAAGTCTGGCCAGACTCCATACTGACTTATAATCTTTAAATTTCCATCTTGATATCCCCAAAATCAATTATGGACAGTTCTTAAACTGAAAGCTAGACAAGTCCATTAAAGAAACTCAGCAGGGAAGGATTAAATATAAAGCTGACTACAGGACAGTGCAATACTGACAGTAAGGCAAAGATAGAGTATGGCAAAGATGTTATTGCCGCTTGATTTTTTTTGATTTTTTTTTTTACAAAACATATACATTGTGTTTTTAATTCAAAGTACTGATTAACTGAATAAATTGTGCATGGTTATTCCTCCTGAAACAGCTAGTTGGAAATGAAAGAAAACAATTAGAATGATGTTAAACATTAATTACTTTAATGTGTTTTTATCAGAATAAATTGGGCACAATTAATGATTGCATGTTGGCTTGATATAAATGTTGCATGATCGCTTTGTCAGCCTAGTTTCAACTTAATGTAATTATCTGTTCTCATCTTTGTCTGGTAAAAGGAGATGAAAAAAAATGAAGTTTTAAATGCGAGTTCAACATGCAACAAGTATTTTCAGAATAAATTCACGTATTCTTCAAGAGGCAAATACCTGATTGGTCAAAGTAAATTTTTTTTAACCCTTAAACAGTCCAGAACGTTAATGCTTTTTAAGGGGACTCAATATCAAATTTTTAAAATTGTTGCAATATTGAAGCTGGCATCCATTTGATTAATAAACACCATTGTAAGATATGGGTTCAAATACCATGTTTATCTTTTAATTGTAACATGTGATGAAATTATAGTTGGTTCTTGGGTAAACTGAAATATAACTTGATCTGATAATTATTTTAGAATAAAAATTGTTTTTAAAAAAGAGTCAGAAATAATTTTTTATGGGCTTATTTGCTTTTCTTTTGAAGTATTTATGTTAGAGATTTTCTTTAAACAAATATTAAAGTTTAATGTTAAAGAGATCATAGTGAAACCACAAACTGAATCACAAATAACCCTACATATAATAACTTGTTACTGCAAGTTTTGCTTCACTGTCATTGTAATTGTTTATACTACAGGTTCATGTTTGTCAAGTACCATGCCAGATAACTTAAATGGACTTGTCCATCTTTCAATCTGTAAAAACAACCATTCATTATTTTTTATAGATTTTTAAAAAAATCACTGAGAAAACAGTTCAGACCATACCAGGGCGACTCTGTGAGATCTCAGTCTGTAATGGTGGCTTAGGTAAAAGTTGCAGCCAGTAAGCTAATAGTTTATGTAGACAATTGTTGGTATTTTCTAATTCATCAATGATAATTATCATGGGAGCTGATGCCAGTACACAATTTGCTAATTTATTAACGGAGAACTAATTTTATAACATTTTAAAAGCATAGTTAGCTATACTTTTTTTTTAAGAATGACTCTTGACACAGTTCAATGCTGTCTTTCTTGCTAAATTAACTTTCTTTTGCATGGACTCCAGTCACTTAATATTGCTTAAACATTCATATATTATTCTTCTATAAAATCTTGTTATATTCTCTTTTATATATGGTAGCAACTAACATAAATTAAAGCATGTAAAATGGTATTAAATGTAATATTATATTAAACAATATTCTGTAATCTTTATTCGAAATGGTCATATTAGTTCTTAAGTACTACATCTAAAATAAAACCTAGGTATTTTGAGGTTACCATGGCATTTTGTACCATTATGATATTTCACTTTTGTGTATAAATGATTGAGTACAGAAAATGATGCTCAAATTTCTTCTCATTTACAATTACAAAGGATCATTTACACTTTCATGTTATCTTTTTGTTGCTATAGTAACAATGCCTTTGATTTCAAAGAAAGCAAGTAATGTTTTTTTCATTAAATTTCCTATTTCAGTGATGGTGTTTGGTATGGTATTGATGATTTTGTCTGTAACTAAGTGGACAATGACTTTACTAGGATTACAGTGTATCTGTGTTTTCATTGGCTATTTCTTTCACTGCGGCATGCTGGGAGCGCGAACAGGTTCTCTCAAAAGAACGACATCTGGTAAAGATCTCCATGCCAAGGACCAATGAAATTGCTTGACTCATTGATAATAATGACATATAATGTTTAATTTCCTTTCCTATAATTAGCCTTTGAAATGGATGGTGCAATTAACTCATTATCTTTATTGTCTGTTTTCATAACATTGGTTAATAAATAAGAATCTTGTAATGTGTTAATCATTAAATGGTTCTTAACATTTAGTGAAAAAGTTTATTTGTATGAAAAATGTGTAACTTGATATCATTATGTATTGTTAACTTCATATATTTATAGTTTATAAAGTTGAATGTAACTAAAATGTGTAATGTGCATAATCTATAAATAGAATATGAAATAAATGAATATGCATAAATTTAAAAATAAAACATACAAGACTATGCAGGATGATGTTGATTAGATACTATAAGTTGCCCAACGGGTTTTAGAACTGATTTGTGATCTAAAGATTTGACGATATAGAGGTTATATATGCATGTCATTTTATTACGGTGAAATAAAGGTCTTGAGATGTGCCTCATGCAATAACTTGTAAAAATTACAAATTATGTTGATATGTGATTGATTTGGTTGCAATACGAAGATGATGCATATTGAGTTTTTTTTTTATTTAGAGAGTAAAGGAAAGGGGCTGAATTTTACTTGCTATGGGAAAATAAATTGACAAAATAGGCCTTAAAAGAATGATGGATCTTGCATAAATTTATTCAATATGTACAGCTAAGTGGCATATTAGAGAGGATGCACAGTTTGTTTGGGGTTGTTGTTTTCTTTTTTGTCTTCATGCAGGTCAAAATAATGGTTTCTATGGAAATAGTAATTGTCAAATTTTGAACTTTTAAAGATTGTGGTATCTAACATACTATACATGCTTAGGGTATTAAATAAAACAAAGGGTAACTTAAGAAATAAAACATTTCTTTTCTTTTTATATGCCCGAAAGGGCATATTATGTTATACCCCCTGGCGTCCGTCTGTCTGTCTGTCTGTCTGTCCGTCCGTCCGTACGTCCGTCCGTCCGTTAGCAATTTGGTTTCCGGAGCATAACTTAAGTTCCATTTGGCCCACAATGTTCAAACTTCATAGGATGATTGTCCATATTGGGTAGAAGACCCCTATTGATTTTGGGGTCAAAAGGTCAAAGGTCAAGGTCACTATTACCTTAAAACTGAAAACAGTTTCCGGAGCATAACTTAAGTTCCATTTGACCCACAATGTTCAAACTTCATAGGATGATTGTCCATATTGGGTAGAAGACCCCTATTGATTTTGGGGTCACAAGGTCAAAGGTCAAGGTCACTATGACCTTGATACTGAAAACAGTTTCCGGAGCATAACTTAAGTTCCAATTGGCCCACAATGTTCAAACTTCATAGGATGATTGTCCATATTGGGTAGAAGACCCCTATTGATTTTGGGGTCACAAGGTCAAAGGTGAAGGTCACTATTACCTTGATACTGAAAACAGTTTCCGCGCATAACTTAAGTTCCATTTGACCCACAATGTTCAAACTTCATAGGATGATTGTCCATATTGGGTAGAAGACCCCTATTGATTTTGGGGTCAAAAGGTCAAAGGTGAAGGTCACTATTACCTTGATACTGAAAACAGTTTCCGGAGCATATGTTAAGTTCCATTTGGCCCACAATGTTCAAACTTCATAGGATGATTGTCCATATTGGGTAGAAGACCCCTATTGATTTTGGGGTCAAAAGGTCAAAGGTCAAGGTCACTATTACCTTATAACTGATACAGTTTCCGGAGCATAACTTAAGTTCCATTCAACCCACAATGTTCAAACTTCATAGGATGATTGTCCATATTGGGTAGAAGACCCCTATTGATTTTGGGGTCACAAGGTCAAAGGTGAAGGTCACTATTACCTTGATACTGAAAACAGTTTCCGCGCATAACTTAAGTTCCATTTGACCCACAATGTTCAAACTTCATAGGATGATTGTCCATATTGGGTAGAAGACCCCTATTGATTTTGGGGTCAAAAGGTCAAAGGTGAAGGTCACTATTACCTTGATACTGAAAACAGTTTCCGGAGCATATGTTAAGTTCCATTTGGCCCACAAAGTTCAAACTTCATAGGATGATTGTCCATATTGGGTAGAAGACCCCTATTGATTTTGGGGTCAAAAGGTCAAGGTCATCCTTACTAAAAAAAAGTACTTTCGGGCATATAATGCTCCGCCTAGCGGTGCTCTTGTTTTAAAAAATAAAACAGAATATTACTGTCAAAGGGGAATTAGTAAAACTAAAGGGTCTATTCTAAACCAGTTACTCTTACTTGTGCTGCTTTGAAAATAAACATCCTGCAAGATTTCATTGATTCTATTTATGTGTACATAAAATTTGTATTACAGCTTATCTTTGCTTTCTCACGTTTTGTGAAATAGGGCACTCTTCTGAAAACATAGCTTTTTGTGTTTTGAAATTTTCTGTGAATAAATGTAATGTGAACTCATTTCTTGGCCTTTATCTACTTGATTGGATTTTTATGCCCCTGAAGGTCAAGGTCACACTTATAATTTGAAGGTTCATGCTATCACAATAAGAGATTACAGGAACAATAATACAAAGAACAATATTCAGCAATTAGGTACTTTCATTCTCTTTTCTTTTCATAATACCTGCATGCTTAAGAAACCTTTTTGGGGGCATTTGTCACTTGGGTGACAGCTCTTGTTATTATTAATTTGTCCTGATTTTAAAATGGACAAATTCAGTGTTTTAACAGCAGCATCTATTTCTACCCATGTGACCCGTGCAGACCAATATTATGTAGCACATCTGTACACTCTGGTCATGGTTTGCACTGTTTGCTATTCAGTCAGCACTCCTTAAGAAATTTTCCTTCAAAACAACAAAAAGTTTTGTCCAGAATGAAAGATGGACAGTTCCATTTAAGATATTCAGTGTGGAATTAGTTTATGAAGGATAATTAATTGGTCTTTTAAATCCTCTAAAACAATATATTTTCTTGATACTTTATTGATTGAAAATTGTACACAACTATATACATGTATGTATATTAATGAAAGTGTGTACACAGCTTTATATTACTGAAAATATGTACACTACTATACATTACTGAAAATGTGTACACCACTATACAATACTGAAAATATGTACACCACTATACAATACTGAAAAATGTGTACACCACTATACAATACTGAAAAATGTGTACACCACTATACAATCATTACAATGCACTACTCAATATTTTTGAAGATCTTTACATTACTATATCTCATTGAAAATGTGTTTTCCACTAAATATTTTTTTAAAATGTGCACACTGGCACTTAATATTTTTGAAAATGTGTACACCACTAAATATTTGAGAAAATGTGACCACAACTAAATATTTTTGAAATGTGTACAACACGATATCACCAATGGTCATATGTTATAAAGTCAAATTGTAATCTCATTGATGTTTTTTGCTATTGTTCTTTAATTAGGGTTGAATATAATGAAATAATGCATTTTATTCTGTTCTGACTTCTATGTATGTAACTGTATTTGAATTATATAAGTATTTTGCTATAATTTTAAAAGACTACATTTAGATAGCATTGTTTTCATGTTGAAAGTTGTCACATAATTTATTTCACGAACTAATTTCAGTCAATCACTGTCTACAACCGTGTTGTTATTTACACGATATAGTCGAAGCCAGTGGTACATAATCTTGTATGCATATCATGGTGTCTGTCCGCCAAGACAGTTTGGCGCAGAAAAATAGTTCATGTTATTTTGTTTCATACAACAGTGAAAGATAATTTTTGTGTCGCCTCTACGGAGTAGTGGCGACATATAGGGATCACTTCTCCGTCGTCTGTCTGTCCGTCCGTCCGTCACAAAACTTGTCCGGACAATTTTTGTGTCGCCTCTACGGAGTAGTGGCGACATATAGGGATCACTTCTCCGTCGTCTGTCTGTCCGTCTGTCTGTCCGTCCGTCCGTCACAAAACTTGTCCGGACAATTTTTGTGTCGCCTCTACGGAGTAGTGGCGACATATAAGGATCACTTCTCCGTCGTCTGTCCGTCCGTCTGTCTGTCTGTCCGTCCGTCCGTCACAAAACTTGTCCGGACTACCCCTCATAAACTACTGGTGCAATTTCATCCAAACTTTACAGGAATGATCAGTACCAAGTCTAGTTGTGCATATTGTCAGCATTTTCCGGTTCAATGATTTTTGTCAGAGTTATGGCCCTTTAATAATTTTTATTTTTAAAGTTTGTCCGGACTAGTTCTCTTATACCACTCATGCAATTTCAATGAAACTTTACAGGATTGATCTGTAGCTCAAGTCCTTGCGCATATTGCACGGGTTTTCCGGTTGAATGATTTTTGGCTGAGTTATGGCCCTTTGATAAAAAGGTGTTTTTTTCTGTGTGTTGCCAGATACGCAAAAGCTTGTCCGGACTACTCCTCATAAGCTACTGGTGCAATTTTATCAAAACTTTACATGATTGATCAGTACCAAGTCTAGTTGTGCACTGGCCGTCTGTCTGTCTGTCTGTCACAAAATTTGTCCCAACATGAAATTGGCCATTATGAGGCGACACATGTGATTACTGATCGCTCTTGTTTCATAATGATTTATATGAAATGTGTCTCACTGAAAGGCCCATTATCTCTTAAATAATATGAGCCGTGTCATGACAAAACCAACATAGTGGGTTGGCGACCAGCATGGATCCAGACCAGTCTGGGCATCTGCGCAGTCTGATCTGGATCCATGCTGTTCGCTTACATACTCTATAACAAGTAGAGAAACTGATAGCGAACAGCATGGATCCTGATCAGACTGCGCGGATGCGCAGGCTGGTCTGGATACATGCTGGTCGCAAACCCATTATGTTGGTTTTGTCGTGACACGGCCATTATGTGGACATTGTGTAAGTATATTTCATTCATAGAACAAATGTTAATGTGTTATCCCCTTAAATATGAAATCCAGATCATTCTTTCTGTATTGTTCTTTCAGTTATGTTTTGAAAGAAGAAAAAAAATGGTCAAAATTTGTGCAAGTTATATTATATTTGAAATGTATTCTATTTTATGGAGAATTACCTATTTCTATAATTTGTTTAATATTATTATCATTATTAACAATATCATACATTTTTGTCTTGTTATTTATTGTTTTGTAATAAATGAATGTAAATAATTAGTTGTAAATGTATATCTACCAATGACAATGTATAATGTGCAATTTGTTACAAGGTCATTGCATTGAAGTTATAAAATCTCTAAATCTGTACAATGGACATGAATTTGAATTTTTTTCATTTGTGACTTTTAAGAAATTTCATGATCACATAGAAAATTTGAGCCCCAAGCTGCTTAGAGCCAAGATGTACATGCCAGCCTGGACCAGGACTGCTTTGATATACATGTATACTAAAACTCAGTGAGTTAACCCGTAACCTGAAACAGGTTATAAGCCTTTGCCACAACCAGGCTAGCCAGTCTGACCAGGCTGTATACTGGTGGTAGCTCAAATTTTTATATTTGACTAATGAAATCCCTAAAAGTTGAAATGGACTAACTCAAGTTCAAGAAGAGATTATGATCCATTACACAAATCCAGAAGGTAAAGGGTTATGTTCTCTACAGACTTCTTTTGCATACTGAAATAGTACTTTAAAAATAAAGAAATTTCATTTCGTATTTTTTCTCGTGATAATTTATCCTTCTATTATTTTCATGTCTTGTAAACAATGGTTCATAGTTGCTATGTATAGGAATTTGATTGTAAGCATAATCTGTCAGATCTCTAAGAATATTCTTGGAAAGCAATTCCTGCAGCTTTGAAGGATGTTTCAGGTACTAAAATTTGAAAGGAAAAAAAAACATCAAATAGTGCAAAAAGCCTGCAAAGTTTAATGCTCTTAATTTTACCCATTATGCTATTATTGCTTGACAAATTGTTATTTTGCATGATACTTACCTTTATTCATGTAGCTTTTTTCATTGAAAAAAAAAATCATTCAGTAGTCAACCAATACTGTTTGACGGTCTAAGTTTTATTTTCTTTGTATTTCACTATTTTTCATTGGATAAAGTGTAAATCCCTCTCATTTAATTGAGCAAAACATACATAGAATATTCTAGGTAATCAATCAGTATTTTTATTATAGTGAAACTGTGTGAGTATCAGATTGTTTAAACAGGCAGTTTCACTATACGGAAAAAGAAATGTTTTTTTGTTTTTTTTTGAGGAAATATTCTTTACACCTTATCCCGTACATAATATTTAAGAAATACTGGCAGAAAATAACATCTGGACCATCCTGTATTGGTCCCACAAATAGTCACATGGTATAGGCACCATGGACAAGCAAAACCATATTTTATTGGCCTAAAAGAAATTGAATGAATTCTTTATAGAAATAATACCATATATATATTTATGTAGCTTTATTGTAGTATTTTTGCTCATTCTGTTATCCCTAGGTGTTACGATAACTATGCTGTATAATTGATGTACATTGTATTTGACAAATTGTTATGAAAATCCTTATAAATACTGATATTTATAACATTAATAAATGTTTCCCTTTATAAACTTGTGTTTACTTTTTCTTCAAATTCTTCTAAAAACTGGGTTTTTGTAGATTTAACTTGCTCGTGTCTGAAAAAATGTAAAGTAGGATTACAGGACCAGTCAGCAGTTAAACTACATTGAAAAGTAGAAATATGGTCAGAAATACATGCCTTTGTGAATAAAAAGGGGTTTATAACAAGAACCATATCATCTTTGAAGTGTTAATAAAATTCATTAAATTTTTCAGAAAAGAATGTGACATCATGATTCATCGATGTCATGAATGAGAGTACATGTTGCACAGCAAAATTCAGTAAAAAATTATTTAAAAACCATAAAATAAATAGAAAATTTGTTTCTTTAGCATTAAAGATCAAATTGTATTTCACTTGTGAACACTAGCTCTTATATATTTATACCCCCAAAAACGAAGTTTGAGGGGGTATATAGGAGTCACCCGGTGGTCGGTCCAGACGTCCGTTGCATTTTCCTTGTCCGGAGCATAACTTGAAAACTAATGGTTGGAATTCAATATAACTACATACAATGGTCAAGCAAATTGAGAGGAAGTGCAGTGCACAAGAACCATAACTCTATCTTGACTAATTACAGAGTTATTGCCCTTTGTTACTTTTCCTTGTCCGGGGCATAACTTGAAAACTACTGGTTGGAATTCAAAACAACTTCATACAATTGTCAAACACAATAAGGGGAATTGCAGTGCACAAGAACCATAACTCTATCTAAAGTAATTACAGAGTTATTGCCCTTTGTTGCTTTTCCATTGCTTTTTTTTTGTCCGTTGCATTTTCCTTGTCCGGAGCATAACTTGAAGACTAATGGTTGGAATTCAATATAACTACATACAATGGTCAAGCACATTGAGAGGAAGTGCAGTGCGTAAGAAACATAACTCTATCTTGACTAATTACAGAGTTATTGCCCTTTGTTACTTTTCCTTGTCCGGGGCATAACTTCAAAACTACTGGTTGGAATTCAAAACAACTTCATACAATTGTCAAACACAATAAGGGGAAGTGCAGTGCACAAGAACCATAACTCTATCTAAAGTAATTAAGTTATTGCCCTTTGTTGCTTTTCCATTGCCTTCTTTTTTTTGTCCGGACCATAACTTGAAGACTAATGGTTGGAATTCAATATAACTACATACAATGGTCAAGCACATTGAGAGGAAGTGCAGTGCATAAGAACCATAACTCTATCTAAAGTTATTACAGAGTTTTTGCCCTTTATTACTTTTCCATTGCTTTCTTTTGTCCGGACCATAACTTGAAAACTAATTGTTGCAATTCATTATAACTTCATACAATGGTCCAGCACATTGAGAGGAAGTGCAGTGCACAAGAACCATAACTCCATTTTGACTTATTACAGAGTTACTGCCCTTTGTTTCTTTTCCTTGTCCAGAGCATGACTTTAAAACTACTGGTTGGAATTCAAAAGAACTTCATACAATGGCCAAGCACAATAAGGGGATGCAGTGCACAAGAACCATAACTCCATCTTGACTAATTACAGAGTTATTGCCCTTTGTTACTTTTCCATTGCTTTCTTTTGTCCGGACCATAACTTGAAGACTTATTGTTGGAATTCATTATAACTTCATACAATGGTCAAGCACATTGAGAGGAAGTGCAGTGCATAAGAACCATAACTCCATCTTGACTAATTACAGAGTTACTGCCCTTTGTTACTTTTCCTTGTCCAGAGCATGACTTGAAAACTACTGGTTGTAATTCAAAACAACTTCATACAATGGTCAAGCACAATAAGGGGAAGTGCAGTGCACAAGAACCATAACTCCATCTTGACTAATTACAGAGTTATTGCCCTTTGTTACTTTTCCTTGTCCAGAGCATAACTTGAAAACTACTGTTTGTAATTCAGTACAACTTCATACAGTTGTCAAGGACATTAAAAGGAAGTGCAGTGCACAAGAGCCATAACTCCATTTTGACAAAATACAGAGTTACTGCCCTTTGATACTTTTCCTTGTCCGGAGCATAACTTAAAACGTACTGGTTGGAATTCAAAACAACTTCATACAATGGTCAAGCACAATAAGAGGAAGTGCAGTGCACAAGAACTATAACTCTATCTTCAGTATTTATAGAGTTATTGCCCTTTGTTCTTTTTCTTTGTCTTTCTGGACTTATTACAGAGTAATTCAATTAAACTTCATCAATGGCCAACCACATTGAAAGGAAATGCAACATACGTGAACCACAATTATCTTTAATTGCCCACAACCATAACTCTATGTTTCAATTCTATTACAAGGTATTCTGTTACTAGTAACATCCTCATTTCCGAAGCAGACTTGTGGGGGTATTAATCACATTTAGTGATAGTTCTAGTTCTTATATGAATATATTACATTTGGTGTTCACTCTGTGTATTGTATTTCAATTTTACATGCAAATGAAACAAATATCCTCTATATAATGACTTGTACTCGGGTCTGTTTTCAAAGTTGTTTACGATTGTTTACTTGATATGCTGCTGAAGTTCTAACATTGCCCTTTATCAGCTTTTGAGTGAATTTTCATACCCACATTGCAGCAAGGCAGTACTTGCATATTAGTATTTCTTTCTCAAATTCTCATTTCAGCAGAGTTAGGTACATAAAAAACAACACTGTTTTGAAATAAAATGGCTTTTTATTTACATAAATGCAGCAATGTTAAATAAATAAAGATTTTTTTCTTGAAATTAAAAAATATATTTCTAAATATTTTATTCTATTTACCAGTCAGAAATGTACTAAATTGCTATCTATAAACATGCAAAGGCAGTTTGTTTTCTTCATGCAATTAAATCTAAATGACCATTTGGAACAATTTTCTAAGATAAAATTGATTTTTGAATATCATTAACCTAGAAATTATCTTTCATTAAATGAGATGAAATTTTACTTGCTTCGTGGATGCACTCTTTAAGTATATTACATTCTTTACATTCTCTAAGAAAATGGAAATTTTTTACACTATCGTCAATAAAATGGAACAAAAACAATGATTCTATGAAATTTAGAAATAAGCTAAATATTGTTGTAAGAAGTCAGGGTTAAAAACAAAACAAATTGGTAATAGCAAAATATTATTTATGACCTAACGTTCAGTATAGAAAACTTGTTGAATAGGCCCAGCATTTCAGTATTTTTAATCGGGATGACCTTTATCCAAAGAGTTTACAGTAAATATAGAGAACATTTCAAGATTTTAACTTATTATATCACTATATCATTGTGTCATATATGACTCTTCATATAAAATAAATATACTAGCTAATATTGAAGCTACAGTTTGAAAGCTTACAAAAGCATCTATGAAATAAAATGTACATCTTCAGTAATTCTAATTCATCTTAAAACCAATGCAACAGATTAAACATTCCTCTCTTTCTCTGTGTATACATATAGGATCTCACATGAATTGACATATAAAATTTGAACAAGTTCAATAAATTGTTATTAAAAGAGGTTTAAAACATTTTCTTTGATGTTAAATTATATATATGACAAGGAATGAGAGATTCTATTTATGACAGGACAAAATGCATAGAAATTAATGAAAATAAACTTGTTTTGAGGTCTTATGTGTGCTTTGGTATGCTGATGTTATAATACATGTAATATAAACAGTCCTTGCATAAAAACTGCGGGTATACATTAAAGGAGGACACAACAAGCATTAACAGATAAAATCTCGTGCCCAGATGCCATAGTTGCATGTATTTAATATATGAGACTAAGGGCACAATGAAAGAACAACTTAATGCAACGACAGCTCATGTAGTTTTATAACAAAAACATAACTGTCAAATGAAATCCCACTTGCACATGGAAAGCTCGGTGCACCAGCAATGGTTTCTGTATACAAAATGAAATGTGAAATTATCCATTTAGATGTACACTACATGTATTATGCAAAAATAGCCTTAATGTACCTTTTTCCATGCATTAATATCTGCATAAGCCTTCAAACTTATTAATTCCTTGCCCCTGCAGGCTCAGGCTTTTAATGTGTCTGTGTGCTTCTGTTGATAAATGCACGAAAAAAGGTGCATTAACCTTTATATACATGATGGTTATTTGACATGGAAAATTATACTGTGATAAAGATATATAGTCTATTGTGTTCATATTTGTATGACATGTAAAGATATCTTACCACTAATAAACTTTTAAAATGTTTACAAATCTAAATTCATTAATAAGCTGCAAGTATCAGAGTATGCACTTGCAGTATGAGAAAAAGCAATTGGTTACATGTAAAAGTGGCTAACACAATTGGCGTCATAAAAATAACCAATCCATATATTGCACATACACCATAAATAAAATTTGGCGAAGGTAATACTGTGGGCACGTGTTCTTCGGTTTTGAAGAGCTGCCTCGGTACCGTCAGATTTGCCAGCTAGCTCGAGACGAAAGATTCGAAGTAGATTTACTCCTCATGTGTGACCTGAAAAAAACAACAAAAAACTTACAATTTTTTTCTTGCATTTTTTAAAATATGGTGAACTCACCCTTTCAAAAACTCCAATTTAAATTTATTTTTTAAACCAGATACTTAATGGATTTCATATCACATTAGAATTCAAGTCAGATTGATCTTATTAAAATCATATTTTGTTATGTTTTAATAATACATCGCTGAATTTGAGAAAAATATATTTACATTTATTAATATTTTCATTAACACTTCATACCAACTAAACATCATTTTCCAATCTGGCTTTTTTAACAATATTCAACAATAAACATGAAAACTTGTTTCTACTTTTAAAATTCGATGTGTTAAAACTATCATTTATAGTCTTTTAATTTTTTTACATGTATCTATTCTTGCTGAAATTATTTCATATGCCTAATACTTTTCATTTTTTAGTTGAGTTTTACATAGCACCAACACTGTAAAGTCATATGGCATTTTTTAAGCTTAACTAGTGGAGGAAAATGTCAATACATTATTGCAGACACAAACAGGCCCCCCCCCCCCCCCCCCCCCCCGAGAAGAACCACTGAATTTCTATATGCTAGATGGATAACTCTTCTCATGAATGAATCCAGTCAATACAGTGCTGAGGGGCAAGTGGTTTGAAGTCAACAACCATAACCCCTTCCAAAAAGGCCCCTCAAATCGAAAAGTTAAAAAATCCTTTGGTTGCTAGTGGCAATGAAAACTTGTATATACCACTGATATGTATATTTAGGCAGCAAGCTTGTTCCTATGTACAGTCTGATTATACACTATATACAGTTGACCAACTATTCTTAGCATATTCAGGGCTCTCAGTAGGGTCAGAATTTCATGAGTCAAAGACTCTTTGGCCAAAATTTTCATGAGTCAAATAATTTTTTTCTTAAGTGTCATTTGACTACATGAATCATTTTTATGTTACAAAAATTACTGTATTGGAGGTCATTTTGTGTAGATTCTCTATCTAAATTGATAATATTTAACATGGAAAAAATGCCCAGTTGTAATGTATATATATCCCCCCCCCCCCAAAAAAAAAGACAACTAAAACAAAAAAAAATGAATTGCATCTTTACTGTGAAAGAATAAATTAAGCAGCAGCTTTTCTGATTAAAAGTTTAAAATATAAAAAAAATATCTTCACTGGTATGCTATATATCATATTAATTTTAAATACCAAAATGCACTAGGAATATTTAATGGAAATCAGGGCATTTTTTGTCAAAATTGTGAAGGGGCCTGGACCTGTTCATTTTGTGAAAAATTTGTCATTTGTCGTAAAATTGTGAAAAAAATTTCCATATTATTTGGCATTTAGCAACATTATAAAACCGGGAAATCTGCTTCAAGTAGGTACTTTAACCCGCTTAACATGTGCTAAAACCATTTAACTTCATTAAAACTATTTCTGTGTTCTTGAAATTGGCGTAAATCATGTTTTACCGGAATGTAAAGTCCCAATATTTTGTGAAATTTCTTTTGAAATTGTGAATTTTTTTCCGCCACTTTGTGAAAAAAAGTGCAATTTTGAATTGTGAAGGGGCCTTATATCGGCCCCTGTTATAGAAGGAAAAAAAGCCCTGGAAATAACAAATGCACAGGCACTCCAAGTAAATCAAAGACGTATCATAAACCTTTAAAAGCAATCAGTAATTGACACCTCAAGTATGTAATTCTTATCAGTTGTGTAGAGCTATTTTTAGCGCTGTCAAATTGCATCCAATGATGTCGCGCTTCAGTGCACAGGCTATAAACAATGCTGTGTATTACACACGGTGACATTTTTTTTTAGTGTGATTTGAACATATGTAGGATTTGATAGGTAATTAGGAGTAGATTTAAGGTAATTATTATTGCACAGCTGAAAATCCCACGTGGCAAATTGACTCTTGTGCAGATTTTATCACGTGTCAAATTTGTGCATTTCCTGATTTTCACGAGTCAAAACCCGGATCCCCGTGTCAATCGAGAGCCCTGATATTGACATCTCTTGCATTAACAATGAAAATTCAAAAGTTAAAGTAGGGCCTGTACAGGTCGGTCATGCAATTAAGTAAATGGGAGATTATTTTTCCAGAAACGTCAGATTTAGAAGCATGACTGCAGGTGTTTATTTGTATTCGTTGATACAGGTGATTTGTGTAAAGAAATAACTTATTACAGAGCAAGGTAAATTTTCTAAAGAATCTGGGACCAAAAATCACCTCATATTTAAAGAAACCTAATGAATTGTTCTTGTGCCAAGCATTAAACGAAGTGAAGTTATAATATACTTACGAAAGTGGTCGAGCATGTTTGGCTATAAAAGATGTTTTTACTCTGCTACTGGAGGATTCCACTTTCAGACCATCCCCGTCGCTGGAATTCCTGATAAAATAAACAGTTATAAATCCTTACAATATTGCAAAGTCTACATATACACTACTGATTATATCTCCATTAATTAAAAAGTATGAAATAGCAACAACATTCCAAATATTAGGAGGCTCTCTTGATAAAGCTGATACTGTCAGATAGTAATTTAAAGGCAGCAATAATGCTTTCACACAGAATTTAAATTCATCAAATTACACCCTCCTAAATACTTGACCACAAATCAAGTCAGTTTCTAACAAGCAAATTCGTTGAATTTATATCCCCCGCCGAGTACTGGTTATTATTAACACAACAACTGAAGACATAAGGCTTTATTTCTATATTAATCATGGCATAAACAGTAATATTCTTTGAACTTGATAAATATTCAGGGCAATAACAGAGCCATAACTTTGTGTTAAATAGTAATATCTGGAAATGCCAATGAGATGTATGCATACTACATAACTAATAAGTGGCCATAAATCTGAGTTATAAGTATCTGACCGGAACAAGGCGACTATATGCACATCTCCTCTTAGTATTCCATAAAGTTTCATTGAATTCCAGCCAGTAGTTACAGAGAAGTAGCACGGAAACGATTATTGCTCTGGTTGTATACTGCCTAAGTTATCAAGGGTCATAACTCTTAAGTTAAAATGTCTGACCCGAACAAGGCGACAATATGCGCATCTCCTCTTGGTATTGAAGGTTCCAATAAAGTTTCATTGAATTCCAGCCAGTAGTTACAGAGAAGTAGTGAGGAAACAAATATTTTTCTATATGGATACTGCATAACTAATTAAGGGCCATAACTCTGAGTTAAAGTGTCTGACCCCAACAAGGCAATGATATGCGCATCTTCTCTTGGTATTGAAGGTTCCCATAAAGTTTCATTGAATTCCAGCCAGTAGTTGCAGAGAAGTAGCGCGGAAACGATTTTTACTCCATATGCATACTGCATAACTAATCAAGGGCCATAACTCTGAGTTTAAGTGTCTGACCGGAACAAGCCGACGATATGCGCATCTCCTCTTGGTATTGAAGGTTCCCATAAAGTTTCGTTGAATTCCAGGCAGTAGTTGCAGAGAAGTAGTGCGGAAACGATTTTTACTCTATATGCATACTACATAACTAATCAAGGGCCATAACTCTGAGTTAAAGGGTCTGACCGGAACAAGCTGACGATATGCGCATCTCCTCTTGATATTGATGATTCCCATAAAGTTTCGTTGAATTCCAGCCAGTAGTTGCAGAGAACTACTCCGGAAACGAAATTCGGTCGGACGGATGGACGGACGGAAGGACGGACAACGCCAAAACTATATCCCCCTCCCGATTCCATCGGCGGGGGATAACAAAACTGTAGTATTTAAGTTTACAAATGTATTCAAAAGAACAATTATTAGACTTATCACATAGACACAAAAAAAGGACAGTCAGATCATTCTTGCACATTGGCCAGGACTTTCCAGCTTTACATGGAGGACGATAAAAGATGTATCTCCATTTATAATTTCAAGCATCAGTAGACACCTACAAATGTGGTCATACGACACCAAGGTCCCTACATTCCACTTGTTTTTTTAGACAAGGGAAAATCTATTTGCCTGCCCACATGAGAGGTCAAAAAAAATCCTCAAAGATATGGACAGTTACTGGCTTATTTATTCAAAATTTTCTAATTTCAAATTGTGTGTTACCTGGAAGTGTTGTGTTTTTTCCTAATCAGATGAGATTTTGTTGACTGCATATATCCTGGGGTAAATGATTGGTTCTTTTTCATACTTGGTTTATCTGTAATGCAATACTGATTCAGGTAACTTTTCTAACATAACACATACAACATTTTGGGAAAGTTCGGTCAAATTGTATTAAATATAGCAAAACATTTGAGCATGGATATAACTGTTCCTCTCTCAAAAATAGAATTATTTTAGGGGTTTCATATCGGATGACAACAGTTATGCTGGCTGTTGCAAGCAGAAGCTTAGACAATCTGTAAATCAACCAGATAGCTTTGTCACATAAAGAAATCAAAACCCCAAGCCAGAATTCAAAACCAAGATGTTGAGGGGCATGTGATTCGAGGCCAGCAACCTTAACCACTTGGCCACAGAGTCCATTAAAACAAATGTAATATCGGGTTCAAGCCACACAAAGATTAAGGTATGACCAATTTATAAAGTGATAGTAGCTGACAAAATGAAAAGTTATTGTATGCCTGTGTAAAGCAAATTTAAAGAAGTGTTATAGTCCAAGGGGATTTTGAATTTAACACTGTGGCTTAAGTACACATTCTTCATTATGAAATAAAATAAAATTTTTGGACTTATCTATCTGTTTATACACTGCTGTATATAGGTTAAAATGTACAATTTTCCAATGTATTAACATTTGACTTGATTTAATCCAAGATCAAAATGAAAAGTGTAATTCAATCAATAAAATTCAATAAATGCATGCTGAATGTGTATATGTACTACCATTACAATAATTCTTACAGAAATATTACTATTGCAGGGCTTCTTTTCCTTCTATAGCAGGGGCCATTCATTCATTTTATTGGCTGCTTCCCCAAAGAAAATTTCTTTAAAATTATGCAGTTTTCCCCAAAAATTGAATTTACACCAAGTTTTTTATTCCCCTTTTGCAAATATTTTCCCCCAAAATCAAGGGCAGGGCTGCTTCCCCAACCTGTGAAAAAAGCCCTGTATTGTTTACTCTCAGAACAAAACATTTTGTTTCATAGCATGGCTTGTTTTAGAACGCACAGTTCAGCCATATTGCTATACTAACATGTTTAAAGACTTACTGTTGTTCGCTAGGAGGCTATCACTGACTAGTGACGGTAGTCCATAATGATTTAATATACGGAAATTTTCCTTCTGTTCCTCACTGTTACCAGGCAACTGAGAACTACTTTCACGTGACAGACGTTTATCAAATGACGTATCACTGTCTGACGATGTAAAACTACTGAAATACACGAAAAATTACAATTTGTAAGGTTAATGCATGGATAAAACATTCTTTAATAAAGCAATATTATGTATTATGTATTTGATATGCCTATTAATTTTATTAACTTTGTCATACAATCTTATGAATAATTCAAAAGTAAGTCCACAATAGGTGCGTTTTTTCTACAGTCTGTTTGTTCAAAATCATCAAAAAAAAGTTCCACTGTTTACTTTCATAAAAATCTAAATTAATGAAATCTTTGTTTTTAAAGAGTGGCAGAATGGCCGAGTGGTTAATGCTTCAGGCTAGTAATCTATTGATCGCTAGCGGCATGGGTTCAAACCCCGTCAGGGGCAAGTCATTGTTTCCTTGAGCAAGAAACTTTACACTCATTGCTCAGTACTGGTTGGTTCCAGGAACAGATTCAAAAGTGCGTCTATAAGCTTATAGCTTCCTACACAATCAAACTAAAATAAATTCTGTATAAACCAAAACAAAGTCAAGGTGCCACATATATTTCAATCCAATTTCCTGACTTTCCAAGTAAAAAAATCTTTTTTTCCCCCTGAAAATGTTTACTGACAACGCATTGGGTCTGTCTACTCTAAAGTTCATATCTCCAGTACCATATGAAGAATTCTGTTTCACAGAAAAGTTGATTTTAAAGAAATTGTCCTATAAGGCAAAATAATAATATTTTGACTGACATGATATTTTCTGTGTTACAATATCATTTAAAATTCAATATCATTAACCATTTAAATGCTAACAGTAATATTGGCACCCCTAATATCTGACCAAGCTCTTCACACAACCACTGAATTGGAAATTCCTTTAAACATATAATGAACAGTTCTTAATTCAGGACAAGTCCATTACAAAAATTCAGCAGAGGAAGTATTAACAATTTACATACCTTCTACTATCACATCGAGGTGATGAGAGTATAGTGTTACAGCCCCCAACTTGTCGTAATGGCTTCCTCTCTGGTGTTGGTGTCCGTACAATGTCAGCATAACTCTTACCTGAAAGATGTTGTATTAAATAGACATTTCAATCAGATTTAAATGAAATATTATACTAAGGCCAAACATTTTTTGCTACAGATGTTGACAGTTGAGTGTTGATGGTCAAAATATGAAATATGGCAAATTCTGGGTTTATTAAAGCCTTTACTGCCAATGGTATATACCACAGCATTTCCAGTCATGCAAAATCCTGTATATTTCACACAGAAAATACACATTTTCAAATCTAAAGAACTGCTTCCATTTTTGAACATCCAGTTATCTCTTGATAATCTCTAATATTTACAAAAGATACTTAGGTCAAAATATAAGGCAATGAACATTATTTTTCTTTTCTCAATTGAAGATGTGTTAATGAAAATTTCTAGCATCTGCATAAAACTGTTATTACAAACCTTTAGTAGGAGTATGGTTATTTTCTATGTTGTCAAATTTTATGCACCGTACAGCCTTGGCCTCCCTGTCACCCTCAGAAACCCCAACATTCACTGACTTTGTCACAGTTTCTTGTTGTACAGTATTTGTAACTGTTTTTGTCACTGTACCAGAATTTACTTTCACTAATTTGTTGTCCACAGATTCCATATGTTTCATTTCTAAAGAGTCTCTTTTATGCTTAGTACAAATAGTTTGTTCATGTAAATTACTGTCTTCAGAAGAAGAGAGATTCTGGGAGAGATTTTGGCCGTCGACTAGAGTTGACAGAGAAGCTAGACTAGTTACACTGTTAGCAGACTGGTCCACTATCGTACTAGTCCCGGAATCATTCTCGGGTCCGTAATCTACCGGTAATTGTTCTACACATGTTGTATATCTCTGGGCAGGTTCTACGTTCAACTCGCCACAATGACTAGTCTTTAGCGACGTACTCCGAGTATCACAAATTCCATTATCTAACTTTATATTATTGTATGAATTTACATTCATTTCTTTAGCACACTTATGACATGTTTTATAGCTGTCAGAGACAACACTGATTTTCACACTTTTATTGTTTTCACTGTCACAGTCAACACAAGGTATAACTGACGCAGGAATGTCAAGACAATCAGGATCGATCGTGAAAGTTCCATCATGATTAGACTCCTCCTCCACTATCAAAATTCTGCGTGTATGTGACTTCACCAGAGACATACTTGACTTTGAATGAGAAGAGGAAAACTTCTTACACTTTGTCATTGTGTCGTTAATTTTGTTAAACCTAGATTTAGGCATAGCCTCTAGTTCTAAACTCTCATCCGTATCAAAGTCCACACTAGAACCAACACTGGCGGATCTTCTATGCAAGTTTCTTTTTCTATCATTTGGTTTTTTCGACACTGATGTATTAGTTTTATTTTCTCCAAGCAGATTTCTCGACACTTTTGAATTATTCTGACCAGTATTTTTGGTTAAGTTTTTCACACTATTATATGAGCTTGAAGATTCAGTAAATGAGCGAGATTTTGATGGAGTAAATCTTGATTTAGTTGGTGTTAAACCAGTCTTGTAACTGCCCCTAGCTGACTGACCACCACCAGGTCTGTATACTTTGCTTGTAGACTGTGGGGGTTGTGAGGCTGGCAACATTACACGCTTTGCCTTAGGTGGTGAACACTCGTCAACCACTGTAAATAAATGATAAATAATTCTATAACAATTGTCTAAAATACCACCTCTTATCCCCGTCATAAACATCTTACAACAAGCTCAATATCCGTGATTGAACTACATGTATCTAATTACAATCCAGAGTCAACATTAATTACCTAAATTGGTTAAGTCATTGTCTAGTTACAAAAATCATCAAACATACACAATGTATGACACTGCAGTACAAAATAATTAGGTAAAATGTCCATTATACAAAGCAGCTTACACGTAGAAATAAATACATTATTCTTAATTTGAAAATGGTTCACTTTATATTTTATTCAGGAAATGGACAAAAGATATTAATTTTGAGTATGTTGTATTATATGTTGTATTAAAATAATGCACAGTTCAAGTCCAAAATGCCCAGTATCACAAAGGCCGGTATACATTCAGATGTACTCAGGCATACAACCTAAGTGATAATCTGAAACAAACTTTTTTCTTAGTATTTATCCATTTTATATTAAGAAACTTGTAACACAAGATGTTTAACCTTTAAATGGATAATTAGCAGGAATTTGGTTGTCCCTTGCTTCATGTTGGGTTGCAGTGAATTCAAATACAGCTCCCAATTTCTTCGGCTCAGAACATCTTTCCTTCCTTTCTTTGATACATTCTGTAAATTGAAATATGGTTTATAAATAATAAGCCGACTAATTGTTGTTGCTTAAAGTGCCAAAGATCTAAATCAAATGTCACACCAATATAATATAAGTACAGTAGAACTTTGGTAAGTCAAACTTTAAGGGATTTGCATAAAAACTTTGACACATTTAGATTTAAATTCATGAATAAGTCTCAAGTTAATGACAAAATTTCGAGACATCGATATTTACAAGTGAATTACAAAAGGCATACTTAAAGGAAAGAGTGAAAACTTAACCAGCTTATAGTTAATATATTCTATGTAATTATCATGCGACATCAGGTCTTGGAAGTTCTCAAATGAAACTTATTCGGACTGATTATTACCAAATACAACTACAGCAATTAGAATGATAACAATAAGAGCATATTCTCACACATTTGAATGTATACCTTGCTGATTAGGATCAGGTTTAAGTCGCAAAGATGGAAGGTCCAGCATATCTGCCAGTGTGTAGCCACAGGTGTATATAGAACCACATTCCTCGTCCCCCCAGCACAACTCCTGACCGGCAACTCTCTTCTGTATACTGGCATAGTCCTCCGAGAGGTCAGAGGTCAAAATGTTGTGTCCTTTCATGATGTAATGTTGCTTCTTCAACAGTTTTAACATTAAGTGAACCAGCCTGTAATCAAACCAAATATATTTACAAAATATAAACAATCGATGTATTGCACTTTTATAAACAATAATAAAATGAAACATCTGAGTTTCTAAAATTAAGCCTAGCTAAACCTAAGAAAGAATTTTTTTAGTTTTCTGCAAGTACAGTCCAACCTCTGCAAAAAAATTATTGCTTAACAACAAAAGTATCAATTTTTCCCAAAGAAGGATTTCACAATCTACAGCTGTCTCTCTGCAGCAATCAAAACCATTGTCACCCATAGGGTGTTATTGTACAATGGTTGTACTGTATACAGAATTGGCCTTAAATCTCATATAATATTCTTTTTTATCTCCTTCCCTTTAATAGTGTATGTTTATAATCAAGTATTATAGCTTGTATTGCATCTTCTCATGTATCATACTAGGAAATTACTGTCTTCAGTTATTACAGGCATGAATCAGCAACTTTCATGAACTAATCTTCCTGATATTTACACTGTATGAAAGTTGTAGGAAATCAAACCAGCAGTAGTGAAAGTGGTAAAAAGTGTGAACAAGATCAGTCTCCAGGAATCTAAAGTGAAAAGACCCTTGCCAGCCTGAACAACCAGATTACCAGACTCAATACTGTTGGCAGACTAACTTAAAGTTTTCAGCTTGATTTCAGCAACATCAATAATGGACAGTCCGAAAAATGGACAAGTCAATTTAAGAAATTCAGCAGGAACTATTCAATGGTTAAATGATATAAGTAGATGAATACATGATAAGAATGGACAAACCTTTCATTGTGTAGTAACTCTTTCTCCTGACATCTAACAACTTGTTTAGTATAACTAAGATACTGTTTGGTATCAAGGAGTTCAGACTTTACACCATGTAACTGTAGACTCAATGACAATACCTACAACAATTTAATAAATGTACACCATAAATTTTTTTTGATTTGGCCTAGATAATATATCACATTCATTATCTTATTTATCAACTTATTCATATTGTAGTATTTATACCAAGACACCTGGAGCAGCTTTTTTTAAGGGGGTTTACGTTGCACCAACACAGAAGAGGTCATATGGTGACTTTTCAGCTTTACTGGTGAAGGAATACCTCAGGTGCCCCTAAGTGTACAGGTCCATATGGATTATTTATAAACAAAGCATAATTTAATATATCTTAAATAAATGAAGACAACAAGAGAAGCATGATAAAAGGAAAAGAAAACCAAAGTGACCATCATTCTACTCCCCTCAATTTTCTGAAAGCCTAATAAACCATACCTCAGGAAGCTGGTTATCTTGTAACCCACATGAATCTTTGATATCCTGCTCCAGATCACCCAACTGCTTGTAACCTTCCAGTAACTTGCTCCTGGATGACTCGGATGAGATTTTCATGCAAGATGTCTTCTGCTTCATACCATTTAGCATTGTTTCTACTTTCCTCAATGACTGCAAAAAATAATTTATAAATAAACAATTATTTCGTAAATTGTCAAAAAATTAGCTCAGGTAAAAGCAGACTGTTGTGACATTTGTAAAATACAGATGAAAAATTAATATTTTACAATGTGATTAATAAACATCCTGCTTTAGTTTAATGTTTTTGAGTGCTTTATATTTTGTAAAGAGCAAATTTAACTGAACTTGATACATTGAAAAAATTCTGCCCAGATTTTAAATCAGCAAATAAGAAGTTGAATACAGTGGATGCTTCTTTTTACTTAATTCTTTAACAGGGAGAACTGATAGACAAAGTTTTATATCTGAATTGCCAGAGAAAAAAGTTAAATATATATGATACTGTTAGTTATGCAGACTAACCTCAATGTTACACGGCTCATCTACTGTGTTAAGACGTGACAGACAACGTTGTTTCCTGTACATCTTCCACTGTAGGTTTCTCAAGGCTATTTCTTGCTGTAGCTGATCAGCATGTAGTGATTGATGACCAACAAAAAACTTTTCTATCTCGCTTTGGTAACTGTAATTAATGACATGTGGAAAACATTCAAATACAACATATCAGGTAGAATGTGTTTACATCTTTATTCTAGTCACAAAGTTATTCATACAAAAATGTCTTTTTCAGTTCCACAATAGATTTGGTTTAGGTACAAAACAACATTTTAATTTGGTCTAGTAAATCTCAGAGTTCCTACTCTATAACGTCTTGAAGATTATATGAATTTTACATGGCTTTTTGCAATTTTGAAGGACTTTTTCACAGTATCAGAATTTTTTTGACGTTCTTGTATTCATTCCCCTTTGCACATAGAAAATTGAATGACCTCATTCAACATAACACAGGTAATCATTAAGTCTTGATGAACATTCTGACCTATTTACATTCTGAACTATGAAATAAGTGCTATTTCAATGACAGCCATTTTGATATCTAGATTTACCATCCTTATCGGGTCTGACTATTGCCCAAACTGTTCTGAACATTTAACAATATCAAGGCAAATTCCCAGTACTTCAAACTCTTTTCCAAGATAGTAAGGAAAACCTTGATGCAAGAACAAATTAAAAATTGTACAAGGTTACTCTTGCCCTAAGGTCTTTTAATCAGCCTATTAAAGGTAATCATAAATCAAATTTAATGCTTCACTTAACCCTTACCACACCAAATAACTTAAATAGACTTGTCCACCATTCAATTTTGACAAAACCATTCATCTTTTTAGGGAAAAGTTTGTTTGTTTTTGTTTGTTTGTTTCATTTTACGCCTTTTCCCAACGGTATTTCAGTCATATAGGCAGGTAGTTTCCTAACCATCGTTCCTGGAGAGTTACACCAGTACTAGACTACCTTCCTCCGCGCTAAACTACCAAAGCATCTCCCGGGGATCGAACCCATGTCAGAGAGGTAACTTGATTAGAAGTCATCGACTCTAACCCCTCGACCACGGAGGCGGTCAGGGAAAAGTTTAAAATATAATCTAAATGAATAGCAAACAGCGCATATCATAATCAGATGGTACAGATCTTGGTCTGCACTGCTGCCGTAAGTACAATCCATTGCAGACAGCAGGATAAAATAATTCAACAAAAATTGTATAAAATTATGAACTTACCCAATGAATGAAGACATGTCTGTCTGTACAACCACCTCTCCTGGTACCATTCTGATGTCTTCATAACCTTTTAGCTTTCCCTTTAACTCTTTAATCTGAAGAACAAATAAACAATTCAATTATTTATCATTAATATTTTTTTGAAATGTCTTGCAAATGATTAATAATTATTTAATTCAAGTAATGAATTGAAACTTATATTCTGAATGAAAAACAATACATTTTATTTCCCAATAGTTTAACAAAAGTCCCAATTGAAACAATTGTGCCAAAAGTGGTTATCATTGAAAAATGTGTGAGCTATTTTATCTACAAAAGTATGATCTAGGCAACTACCAACATTATTCCCAATTTTGATGTAGGCCTATGGAATTATTTATTAATGCACTTCTGAACCAAAATGGATTATTATAGGAGTTGGCAGTCCATTCAAAGTTAACATCCATTGCCTAACTAGACAATAGATTGGTCTCACAGTCATTAGACCATATTTACCTCTTTTCGTAGCTCTTCAACAATCTTGCCATATTTGGCCATATGAATATCCACATTTATTACATTCTTTTTCAACTGAAAATTAAAATTAAATTTCTAAAATACAAAAAACCAAAATTACAACATGGAAATATTTTTACTAAATTTATATTGGTATTAAACTTATATATCAAATATATGACAACTTATAAATTACATGAACCCCTGGTGTATCATTTCAGACAAGAGATCAGATACATGGGTAGAACCACTGGCTATCTTAGCTAGCTACATGTATGTCAGCCCATACAGCTTAACAGGGAGAGTATAGGACAATTCATCCAGGGGTTGCTAGTTTGATCCTTGGAAGAGAATTAATTTTTCTTTGACAAATGATCTTGAACAAGGAGTCTAATGGCAATTTGTCTATCACCATTTGATTCATCATAGAGGCATAGACCTCTGATCTTATAGTACCAAAATTTCAATCATTAACAACAAATGATATGATTGATAAAATTGTATGTAAATGATATACTTACTGTAGCTTTAATATGCTTGGCCCTGTCAGCATATCTTAATGTGTTATAGGTATCCTCATAGGACATGGCAGATGGGCTGTAATACAAATTTTGACATGCTTTTCTCAAACTATCCATATATTCCATTCAGTCAAACTATTCATATATTGCATTTAGTCATTCTAAAACTATACATTCCATTAAGTCATGCTAATGAGATTATGCAAAGTTCATTCTATAGTACTACAAGGGTGTGCTTATTAGGTTCGCTACCAATGGCAGAATATGCTTTACCATGTGCTTTTTTAAGTTATTTGATGTTCATGTGGCCCTTAAAATATCAATTTAACTAATTTCTTATATATCAATTTAAATAATTTGACTGGAAAAAATCAGTGTTACATTCTAAAGTATTGCAAAACTCATCTGGAATATGTATCTTACCTTTTTTTGGTTAGCCTAATGTCAAATGACACAAATATGCAAAGGCAGTTGCTTATCTTAAAATTAAACCAAGTGCAGAGTAATTAAGAATTTTCAAATTGTATCAGTTTGAAATTATGGTGTGATATCAATCATAACTATAATCTGTTTTTCTTGACATCATTTTAACCATTAGTCTGCTGGAGGCAACAGAATCTACCCATGCCACAAATGCAGACCAAGATCAACCTGCACATTCATGCCAACTGCTCGTAGTCTGCACTGTTCACTGTTCAGTCAGTACTGATTTCAAAATTTTCCCAAAAATGATGAATGATTTTGTCCAGATTGAAAGATGAACAATTCCTACATATAAAAGCATGGTAAGGGTTTAAAGTCATACAGTCAAGAAAACCAAATTACTATGCCACTGACAATATGTAAACAAACAACATGATTGTAGAAAATAAACATATACCTGACAGCAGCTATCATGACAGTCTGACAGTTACCACCCAGAGAATCCTTCAGTAACCTCGTCAGCTTGCTGTCTCTATATGGTACATAACCTTTTGCCTGAAATAACAACACTCATTAAAATAATATAGTCAAATCATCACAATGCATCATCTCAGTTATAAACATATATATGATCAAAGAAATTTTCAGATGTTAAAAATCAACATCTGCAGAGCAACACTTACTGGAAGCGACGATTTAGGTTAATGATGAGAGGGGTTGCTATAGAGATATAAAATTTATTCTGAAGGCTTACTAATGGGAGAATTGATTCTATTACTGTTGAGAAGTTTGTGCTAAACAGGGGGCTACTCTGCAGGGGTTACTCTGTTTTTGCAATCAGATAATGTTCAAATATTGAAAGTTTACTTTGTTTTTTATAAGATTTACAGCCAACTTTAATGTTATTGATTAAGTATAACATAATAATTTTTATTTTTTTTCTAATATTTGAGGTAATACATACCTTATTTTCTGCCAAAGCATTTATGACATTTCCCAGTGCGAGCAGTGATCTGTTGATATTAGCACCCTCTCTGAACCGGGAACCCCTGTTCTTTGTGACAGTAGCTCTCTCTGACCCAGCCAGATCTACAAGACAGAGTTTTGCTATATGAACCTCTGTGGAGATATTGGCTGTACGATCCTGCTGTCTTACAAATACCTGTGAATATCAATTCATATAGTGAGATTTATTTTTTATCTGTGTACATCAATAACAACCTAGCATTCTATGCTTATGTATATATTTAACATTTGAATGAAGAACGACACGGCATCAATTTTCAGTATTCAGATTTTATTCAAACGAACTAAATGATCCTGACATTTAAACAATTTTATAAACACTTAAAATAAAGTCCTTATAACTCCATTCAGATCACCAAATTCAGTTCTAAAGTATAACTCACTAGAGACATACTTCTTTACTTGTTGATGATTGGTTGAATGAAAGTATGGATTGCACACAAGACTTGGGACTCACAAATCAAATCATGTAAAAAACTAAATTTAAATTTAGTTTTCCGGATAGGTATGGTAATAATAATGCAACAATTCTTATCATATCATTCAAAGTGGCTGATAAGTTAATCTTTAGATATATAAGAGAATACAGGGAAACTGATGTTATATTTTACCTGTAATACAGCATGTGACCTAGAAGATTCAGCGTTGGCATCTGTTGGGTGTTGTGTCCTGTGCTGGTTCCCAAACTGTAACATGTATAGTAACTCCTCTGCTGTCTTTGGCTAGGTAAAATATAAACAAGCAGTGATAGAGATCATTCCTTGCATATCTTTCAGTACAGTTTTAAGCATGTGGCCAATATTTTTTAAGTAGGGCTATGAATGTCGCTTTTTTCTGTCACAATACTATCTCCACTATATTTGTTCTTTCAAATGATTCAATTCATGATACATATTTTTAAGTCATATGAAATTGCAATATAATATGTATCACAATACTGACTTTCAAACTTGAAACTTACAGGTGTTTATCTAAAATCTTTTTTAACCATTCACAATGTTATTTTTATGCCAAGAAAAAAGCACAAACACCAGGTATCAAATAAACTATCATAAAAATATTTTGAATTTAAAATTCTGTAATGTTTTCAATAATTTTTCATGTTATAAATGACAAATGATCCAATAATTCAATTATTTACATCTAAAAAGTTAATTATGTCTTCAAATGCAAACATCAAGGACAAGGCATATAATGCAACAACTTTTCAATTAATTGTTACACCTCTATTTTGAAGACTAGCATATTTCAAACTGTGCACGCTTCTACAGTTAGAGGTTAGAAATATTTACTATAAAAAATATATGCACCATTCTGCATGTTTTATTCAGGAGAATATTGGCTGCATTTATTACCCTTTTATCCCTTTCAATATTGTGTAATGTGGGGTTTAGTTATGCATAATTTGACATATTTGGCAGAATGGTAAAGCCAGGAACTTTTTAACCCTTTCCCCCATGAGCATATTGTGAAAAATGGCCGTTTTCACTGAAAAGCCTCCTGTAACAAGTTCAAACTGCTATGAAACTATGAAAAATGCTTCAATACTAATCAAACTTGGCACAAATGTTGACTGGACCATTGCCTTTGTAACGACATGCTCAGTCTCAAATTTCCTGTTACCATGGCAACGAGGGGACATCTCAAAATTGCCAAAAATCACTATTTTGCCTCGATTTTTTCCATCAAAATTTATTTCAAAGGGCTGCAACTTCTCAAGGGATTGAGATAGAGTCAAAGGCTTTTCAGCGTTGGTTAAACGTTACATTATGATCGACCTGGGGTCAATTTTTAGCCTCACACAAGTCCAAAATTTTCTTGGCGATGAGGGGGACTCCGCCCCCCTTCAAACCCCCTAACAGAAGGGGGCACATCCCCCTTCTGGCAACCCCCTGATGTATCTTTTGGCTGGGGGGCGGCCCCGAAAAAGTGCTCAATTTTTTTTAGCAACATTTCTCAAACGAAAACTTATGTTTGGGGCCCAAATAGGACATTTTTTCACTATTTGAGGCCCAAAAAAAGGGGGGGGGGGGGTCGAAAGTGCGTTGTTTCGCGTATATATGTGGTAAAGGGTTAACAAAAAATGATGAAAAACTTTGGAATCACCTAAAAACTAGTTTTTCCATGTTAAAGGTACTCCACTGAGGTACGGCCGAATGTCACAAAAAAAAGTAAAATTTCACGAACCGATAATTTTTTGTAACCTGCGATTTAGGGACATTCAAACATAATCAGTGATACATTGATATGTGTTCTTTGGATTGGCAAGTCGTTTGAAATACATATTTTCTCCAATTTTGTGGGAAAAGCGTTTAAACACCTTTCAGTTTGCAAATCTGAATAAAAACAACGGTCACGTGATGATTCTCGGGATGACTAAAAAGCGAAACGGAGAATTTTTTGTGTATCGGCAGCATCGAAAGTGCGAAACCAGAATATACCAACAATCCATAAATTTAAAAGCAAATAATGGGTTTGTTTGTTAAATTTCTTGTTGTTCACATATGTTCTTGTGAGAAAAATCTTTCAAAAGCAATTTCAATATATTTAAAGTATTACATTGTTGTAATCATGTTTTTTTCTCCATTACAATGATGAATTTAGCTAAACGTACGGAGTTCGAAACTGACATACACAAATTTTATAAATATTCTATGTTAATTTGAGAGCTTTCGTGTAATTATTAAATATTATGTATTAACTTTGTAATGGTTAAAATATCATGATATCTAGGCTAAGAAAATTTACTTTGTCAATCAGTGTAATGGGTCCTATTTCAAAGGTCACTTTGGTTTATCTGACACCCGTTCAGGACAAAAAACTTCGTAATACCTTTTATACAACGAACATGAATTTGAGTATTGTAAGCATAAAAAATCACACGCACACACAGAATATTATGTTATTCCAGAGATTTCTCTTTAACTCTGATCAAAGCACTGAAATCACTGGCTTAATAGAGAATGAATCCGGCCTCATTATAGAACATTTAGGCTTCAACTTTATTAGATAATATTTCTAATGTATGTCTAGTGCACATAATTAAAATTCTTTAAGAAAAAATCGATCTCCTTTGCTAGATAGATCTGAAATTTAATATTTATCATTTTACATACATACTTGCATATTTATCCGCATTGGATGTAAACTTTGTTGATGAGAAGATTACTATGTTTTGATCTAGACATTCAAAACTATAGGTAATTGATACCTGTTTCATGCACATGGTAAACATTATCAAGAAGGTCGGAAAAGAGTTACAATCTGGCTCTATTAATATTATAATTATCATTATTGATTTAGCAGATATCCTGATAAATTTCTTTCTTATTGGAAGGCCTCCGTACTAGTGTGGGTCAATTGAGCTGTGCTTTAATGTTACCAATATATTGAAAGCTTCCCGGTGGAAAAGAAATTGAGAGCGTTATAAAAGTAAAAAAGGAAAACTGGAATAAAGACAATCAAGGCGACGGCAACGTTCACATGACGCAGCCCCCGACATAGTCAAGCTTCCACAGCAGGGTTATTGCCGTGACTAGTGAAATAAACTTAAAACTGGTTATATAGTTGTTGTTCTTTAAACCCTAACTTTCTTTCAAATTAAACGAAACAAACAAAATCATGATACAGCAAGACAAATGTGAAGGGCAGGTAAGTAAAAGTAGCTTTAAGAATTCAGTAAGATATTATTAACCTCACCTCATACAACAACCATTGCTTAAACTATGTTTTATAATACTTCTAACTCCTAGACGGTAAAGGGCAATGCATATCTAAACCATTGTTTTTACTCCTTATAGCCTGTTTATCATGGCATACTCATTGTTAATAGTTTTGTAAATGTTTTGATAAAAAAGTCGGGTTCATTTCCCGACTATTTTGAAAACACGAGTGACTGGTTTCAAAAACTACAATGGCTAAATATTGATCGGATGCATTTCATTGCATAAATAAGTTAGGGAGGGAACGCTGCTTTTCTTTCTTTATAGTACTAAAACCTTTACTTTTCTCTACTTTTGTCTCTTCTTTCTTCCTGTTTTCATTTTTGTTGTTTATTCTTTTTATTTACCACTTGAAAGCCTGAAATTAATGTTTTCATTGATAATTTAGCTGTGGTCCTGTGTTGCTTGGTCGTGTCGGTGTTGTATTCATTGAATGTTACCATTCCTTTTTGTATCTCTGATCGAAGATTAGGAAATACAAAGCTAACATTCAATCTCTGACACAGCGGTTTCACGACAAAACTAACAACAAACAGTTCTTAAAACAGCTGAAAACTACCGATTTAAAAGAAAGAAATATTTTCATTTTGTTATAAGTATCCAACAATTTACAACGCATTCAAAGTTTAAAAGTAGCTTTGGCGCTTATAGAATTGTCAATGAATGCACATTCACAAATTACGCGGATGAATATCATTTTAATCAATGAAAATGCTATTTTAAGCGATGTCGAGAGCTTATTTCACAAATAAATCTGACTGTCGAGTAGTGGAATATATACATGTCGGACTGTTTTGGCGAGAAGATTTTTGTTAAATTATTTACATCAATGTTAAAGAACAGGTTTATCTTGAACATAAAACCTCGAAATTAACCCGAAATGCAGTGAAAAATCTAAATTCAGTATTACTTGATTTTATTCAGGCATTGTTCGTATATCTTCTTCGTGGTGCAAGGGTAACGCGCTCGTTTAGTGTGTCTGGGGTTCAAATCCAATTCAAGGCAATTATTTTTTATAAAGTTTCTTTGTTAAGGAAATAGCCACGATATGCAAGGATAAAGTGTGGCTGTCATAAAAATGAACATAAATGATTTTTTGATGCAACTCTAGTCATGCAAAATTCCATATGTATCAAACTCTGGTACCAAGCAAGAAGAATTATAGTACATAAAAATAAACTTATACAGGAAAATAATACAGTTATACAGTGCGATTTATATTGCAAATATCAGAAAATACCACAGAGCTTGCAGCCTTTTGATTTATCTTGTTTTTCGTATGTATTTCTGGAGATTATGTGGGTGGTTCTCGTAATACTTTAAGATTTATAAGATTGTGTATTAAAAGCCTTTGTAAATTGTTTCGGAAATACTGGATATCGTTTTGAAAATTTTTAGAGCTACTTAAGTATTTTAAACACGTGAACGAAAAATTTCACAGTAACAGGAATTAATTCCTAAGTATTTCGGTTATAGTGATTATACCGTAATCAAACGTTAAAGGTCTCCTAAGAAATGTTCTTTGGAATTAAAAATTAAGTGTAAGCACTAGAACATAAACCACCAGATTGCTTGCAAAATCTTTATCGGCAGGATAAATTGGTTCACAAAACATGATTTTTCACAGTCAAGATCAAATGAACAGACTGTCATTTTCTTCCTGTTACCGAAAGATACGAACAGACTGTCATTTTCTTCCTGTTACCGAAAAATACACACCAGGAAGATTTCAAGTAGAGGACACGTCACTGACAGAATGTTTTTAATATTTGAATAGAAAAGAATTTGCTAAAGCCAATTTATGAAAGAGAAATCGGGGATGCTACTTATTAAATTATTTGCCCATAAAAGAGGATTTATTTTACTCGTTTAGATTATTTTCAAAAACAAAAGTCTCAAAAAGCAAAGGTTAGCTGATATTTAGATGTAAACCGCGACATATAAAATTAATTTACCTGTGAAACTGGAGTGAAAATGTGATAGTTTATCCGGTTTTTTCTTCAGTGCCTTCAGCACTTTGATCTTATATGTAGTACAAGTAAACTATATCGTTTTCACCAAAAAATCATTAAATTCTAAACAAGTTTCTAGTAGAATCATAAACATTTATTGTATCATAGTTTGAAGACTTTTCTGTTGAAAACGTGTCAGAGTTAAATCGAATTCATATACATGCACAGTGCGTAACTGGAGTGCAGGTAATAAATACCAACACTCCAGAGCATGCCCATTGATGTACTCATTCTTTTTTTTTTTTTTTTTTTTGGGGGGGGGGGTGCTTTTATGGAATAACGATGGAAATGCCACATTCAGAAGCTGGTTCATAGGTTTTTTTCTGGGGTTTCATATTGTTACAATAGGAAACGTACATTTAATTTTGCCTATGGTATGAATATGATGTAATTGTGTGTGGAACGTGTATGTACGATCCTATCAAGATAGCCTACGAAACGTCACTCATTACATACACAGATGCCCGTTTGTGCCAGAAACAATTTTGCAAAGGGGGCACCTGAGTTCTTTCTCCACCAGTAAAACTGAAGAGTCGCCAAAATGACCTACACAGTTTTGTGTGGCGTAACCCCCACTCCATCCCAAAAACAAACAATCAAATCAATTGAGACATGTCATTAACTGTATTTGATTTAAATACGTTATAGATAGCGTTAAATACTTTTATTAGTGTGATTACACTGTGCTCGTTTTAGTATAAATATCACCGATGCATTATGTTTGCCTTAGAATATTGAAATTGAAACTGAAATGTCAATGAAAATAATTGTAGTGTCTATAATAGCTTTCCGTTTTGTCTAGAAAATGACCGCTTCGCTGGCGTTTGATTTTTCAAGACAAAGAAATTGCTACCTTGATTATCTTTTATACAGTTTTTCTTCGTTATACTCAAGTTATATAAACATGATAGGTTAGAGAGTTGAGAAAAAATCAATAGACTTTTTTTACCTCCGTTTACTCTGTTGTTCCAAAAATGTCCGTTGCGTATTTTAGTTATACCCGATGAATTGTGGGTAACTTCTGTACATGTCTGGGAAAACCAACTTTCATTTGTTCATCAAAAGCTAATGTGAAAATGCATTTTCTAGCATAATTGTTGTTAGAGGGTTGGTTAAAGTGTAAGTTATTGTTATTTTAGTCATAATATTGTGATTTGTGGGGAAATTTGTATACATTTTTTTTTGACACCAAATTACCCGTCAGACCTCAGTGTAGCCCCTTTAACATGTGGTCTTTCACCTAATTTTGGTAAAAAATTGTTGTTTTGTAACATTTATGTTTTTTTTAGTTAACCCTTACCCCCATGAGCATATTGTGAAAAATGGCCGTTTTCACTGAAAAGCCTCCTGTTACAAGTTCAAACTGCTATGAAACTATGAAAAATGCTTCCATACTAATCAAACTTGGCACAAATGTTGACTGGACCATTGCCTTTGTAACGACATGCTCAGTCTCAAATTTCCTGTTACCATGGCAACGAGGGGACATCTCAAAATTGCCAAAAATCACTATTTTGCCTCGATTTTTTCCATCAAAATTTATTTCAAAGGGCTGCAACTTCTCAAGGGATTGAGATAGAGTCAAAGGCTTTTCAGCGTTGGTTAAACGTTATATTATGATCGACCTGGGGTTAATTTTTAGCCTCTCACAAGTCCAAAATTTTCTTGGCGATGAGGGGGACTCCGCCCCCCTTCAAACCCCCCTAACAGAAGGGGGCACATCCCCCTTCTGGCAACCCCCTGATGTATCTTTTGGATGGGGGGCGGCCCCGAAAAAGTGCTCAATTTTTTTAGCAACATTTCTCAAACGAAAACTTATGTTTGGGGCCCAAATAGGACATTTTTTCACTATTTGAGGCCCAAAAAAAGGGGGGGGGTCGAAAGTGCGTTGTTTCGCGTAATATGTGGTAAAGGGTTAACTGATTCAAATGTTCATTGATAAATAAATTACAGAATTTAGAGCTTACCTTGTGTAGGGACAGACCTGGTACAACAACACCTTTCCCAGGATCCTCTCTGATAGGTAACACTGACCCTTTCATCATTAGATCTCGGATAGTCTCATTATAAATCTATAATGGAAATTTTATAGAAAACATGTTACACTATGTGTGCTCTGATAACCAAAGTCTTTCAATTTAATCTGCTTTAGTCATTCATTTGTTCTAAATATAGGAATGGCCATCAAAAAACACTACACAGGATAGGTCACTTTTGCAAAACAGGTGATCATTAAATTCATGTTAATCCTAAAATTTAGAACATGTAATTTATATAATTATAGTGAAACAATTAACCACTTACCAAGTAAACATACATGAACATACACAAAACCAGTCAGAAAATATGAAAACATATTCATTATTCATACAAAAAAATATTCAGAGGCTTAATCCTTACCATTGTAAATATTTAAAACAGACTAGTCCATCTATTTAGATAAAACCACCTATCATTTTCAATGAAAATGTCAAATATAATACTGACTGAATAGCAAACAGTGTAGATCATGATCAGATGACAGGAATGTGCTGGCTGATCTTGGTCTGCACTTGTCGCATGGATAGATATTCAGTTGCCACCTGCAGGGTAAAAGTTAATATATTACCTCTAGGTATGAGACCGCCACATCACAGGTTTTATTGTCCCTCATGTTTTCAATACGTGAGTAAAGATCCATCATTGTATGGTACATAACACCCGGGTGGTCTTTACTTCCCAACATTGTATGTGTTTTACCAGCCCCCGTAGCACCATAAGCAAACACTGAAGAAACAATTCCTTTATATTATAAAGTCATAAATATATTATAAACAAAGCATATTTACTTTGATATTTGTGACCATAAAGTTTCAAATTAAAAAAAAATCTGCAAATTAATTCCATCTTTCTTTGACTTGTTTGCTATTCTTAACATCTATCTGTTTGCTATACATCTTTTATCAACCAAGAACCTGAAGAATCACTTGTAAATAGAATTATAAAATTCAATTTCTTACTAACAAATACTCATTATTACTTAAAGCTGGATTGACTGTAGTCACAAATCAAAACACTGGAGAATGTGGTTGTTATTATCATGTTGCATTAATGACAATTTAAAATAAGATATAACCTCAATATAAGTCTAAACAAAATTTAAGTTCTGTATCTAAATTAATTAAGATTATCATTTCACTTCTGAAACAGAATGAGATATAAATTCAATAAAGTAAAGTCTTTAAGTCAGTGACTCACTGTACATATAAAAAGCACACCAAATAAGTTTAATAAATATATTTATTACACAAAATCCAGGCCAGACAATACAACTTATCAAAGTAAACACAGCCACAAACCTGAACAATTATATCCATTCAGCAGACCTGTTAACACTGTGTTTGTTGTCTCATTATACACATCAATGTTTGTTGCACTTGCATCAAATACATGATCAAATGCAAACTTAAGGTCTTTATTTCTCCTTTGTCTTATATCCCTAGGTCTTCTCCTCCCTCCACCATATTCATATGAAGATGGTTCCTTGGGGTCAAAAACTAGCACATTTTCATCTACTGCCTGTACAACCTCTCTGAAGTTTCCCTCAGTCTCTTTAACATTAGGTGGACGAATTCTAACAACAACTTTGACATTGCTGCTAGGACCCGAGTCATCAACAACTAAATCAGCATCAGGCCCATGAGGTCGTTTACGTGTGGGTGGCAACGGCATCACTTAAAATAAAGATAAATACATTATGAATATGATTTGTATATTAAAAAGAAAATAATAATTAATACACAGGGTTTTCAATTTCATCTGGAACAGAATACTGTCCCTGTCCCAGCCTCTGTGGCACGTAATACCCAAATATTGCCCAAATATAGCAATATATTCATTTTTGTACGAATAAAATATAGATTATAATGAGAAAATGAATTAATATTAATAAAATGACTAAGCTGGCTATAACTTTCATTCATTCTGATGAAATGGGCAATTGATATTTTGTAAGAAAATAAACTTGTGAAATAATTTTGCTGATCTAGGTTCATCAATGAATATCTACTTGCAGTTTTAGATAAAGATATGATAATATTAATTATTTGTTGTCTTTATTAAAATTTTAAGGGTTAATTTTGTTGTAATTTCATAAAAGTGTCCATTGTTTCTTATTATTTTATTGTTTGTAATTTAATAGCTTTAATGGTCCTTATAAATGGAGTCTATTTGGGTATATTTCTGTTTAAAACACAATGATAGGAGAACATATATTTGGGTATGTTTATCTTAGTGAAAGCATGTATATTGTATCATAATTAAAACAGCATTTTTAATATAAAATATTTATTTTTAGTAGATCTATATAATTTTTGGGTGACATTTCTGATATGGTCAATATCAGTATTTATATGGTCAATATGGTATTTAGTGCTCCCCGCCTCAAAGGTTAAGGGCCACTTATTTTTAAAATTACAGCTAATATAAAGCAGTTTTGAAGAAAACATTGTTTTCAGTGAAAGCATTTGATACCAGTAACATTTATTGAAGTTGAACTGTTCTCTTTGACAATACAGTATAGCAGGAGCTTACAAGCCAATCTCGACTCAAACAGTGTTAAATCACAGGAAATTGACATTCTATCAGCAAATAATTAAAATATAACAGCAAATGTACCCCTCTACACTATAAATAAAACACAAGGAATGCAACGCCTTTTGCACACTCGATACACATTTTAAAAGAAAAAGGAATGTATTGTGTATCGAAATTACTAAACTAGTTTGTTGAAATTGATTTTCCACGTGTGTAAATAGATAAAATGTGTATCCAGTGTGCAAAAGGCGTTGCATTCCTTGTGTTCATTTATAGTATAGAGGGGTACATTTGCCGTTATATTTTAATTATTTGCTTATAGAATGTCAATATCCTGTGGTTAAATGCTCAGAAGAAAAAATTTAAGAGTTAACTGAAAACAAAATAGTAATCAGAAATGAATCAATCGGTATTATCCGCCTGAACAGGTCGAATACACAGTTGTTATTTTTCTTTTCAAATGTTTGACAGAAAAATATCAAATGTCATCTTCATAAATTGTTGAAGTGTAATGAGTTTTCGCGATATATATTCAAAACGAATTTTAAGTGAAAGAAAATAAATACTTCTTCCATATAGAGATTGAATAACATGGTGCAATATATTAACTCAGAGGCTAAGTATTCTACATGGCTAAAATATATAGCATACCGGCTGAATAATATTGTTAATTTTTTTCTCATAGATCTATCTGTTGTTTTCAAAATACCCACGCGAAATGAAACGGCGCTTTTCATTGGCTAGAATTCTGAATAAGTTATGTGTACTGAGCGACACTATCAAATGTTCTGCGTACACAGAACGTACCAATCAGGACAATATACATTATCTACTAAGACAGAATTTCTTTCTGATTTTTATTTTGAAAATTTAAAATTGATGTTCATTTCCTTCAATAAAGAAATAAAGATGCTCTCATTGAAGGCAAAATAATTCAGCCGGTACACACTACAACTAATGAACAAAGGATATATAAGTTTAAGGTGTGTTCACTTTATAAAAATCACGTTTAGACTTTTCTTCAGTGTGTATAGCAAAATATTGGACATAATATTAGGTAAATATTAAAGGGCCACTAAGGTTTTATTATATGTAACTTGTGTGCAAAATTTCAGACCATTTCCTCTCAGAACATGTTTTATTGTAAAAAATCAAGGACTTTAATTTAAAAGCCCGTGGCAAAATGAACAAGGCTAAAAAACGTGAAAATCGACTTTTCAATAAAACTTTAAGTCTTTTTTCTTTATTATCTTTTGCTGATTTTTCCAACTTAAGTGCATCACTTTAATCATCTATGCAAGAATTTCATTTTTGTATTTTCTGATCAATACAATGCTGACCGACATTCAATCTCTGACAGACAAACCTCACAACAAGTAGTTCTCAAAATAGCTTAAAACTAGCGATATAAAAGAAAGAAATATTTTTATTTTGATACAAGTATACATGTCAGACTGTTTTGACGAGAAGATTTTCGCTAAATTATTTACATCAGTGTTAAACAACAGGTTCATCGTGAACAAAATACATCGCAATTAATAAGGATTACAAACCCGAAATGGAAATTCTAAATTTAGAATTATTTGATTTAAATCAGGCTTTCTTCTTATAACTTCCCGGGGTGCAGGGGTAACGCGCTCATTTGGGATGTGAGAGGTCTGGAGTTCAAATCCCGGTAGCGGCAACTATTTTATTTTATTTTTAAGTGTCCTTTTTTCAAAGAAGTAGCAACGATATGCAAGGATAAAGTGTAGCTGTCATAAAAAAATAATTTTTTGATGCAACTCTAGTCATACAAAATTCCGTATGTATCAAACTCAAATAGTAAAAAAATCTAAACGCAGTCGCTTCATCTCGGTGCCCTATAAGATGAATTATAGTATATCAAAATAAACTTATACAGGGAAATACATACATATATACAGTACAAATTAGATTGCAAAGATCAGAAAATACCACAGAGCTTGCAGCCCTTTAATTTTGTTTTAAGTTGTTTTTTTTTTTACCTCAGCACGAGTAGGTTCTTTGACGATACTTTAGAAAACCATTGGTTTATAATTTTGAAATTAATCCCTTGTAAAGCAAGAACACAAACAGACGATTGTCAACATTTTTATTAAAATATGGGCCGCGTGACGACAAAACCACCATAGTGCGTTTGCGACCAGCATGGATCCAGATCAGCCTGCGCATCCGCGCAGTCTGATCAGGATCCATGCTGTTCGCTTACTAACTCTATTACAAGTTGAGAAACTGACAGCGAACAGCATGGATCCTGCGCTGGTCTGGATCCATGCTGGTCGCAAACGCACTCTGTTGGTTTTGTCGTGACGCGGCTCACATATATTTTGTAGTATTTTTTCGCGCATGCGCAATTTGCGTAGGGCAAAAAAGCCATGCCTTACATAGAAATAAAGTAGAAATTAATAGACAATTCCGAGTTTGTTTAAGGTAAAAATTAGAAAATCATATAAAATAGCTTTTAACAGGAACACAAATGATGCCTTTATAGCTTTGTGGCCATGATTGCTCGAAATGGGCATGGAAAAGACGATTGTTAAAGAATTCCCCCTTACGATCACTGACCTGACATTGAGATTATTGTTGTAAAAATGTGTGGAAATATATATATATTAGCAAATAAAGAAGTCAATTTAATTGTTGTTGAAAACGTCCATATTAAAAAAAATTTTTATTACATATAATATATAACATTTTTATATAAATTTTATTAACATTTAAAATCGAGGTTAAATATCATTCTGAAAAAAAAAGTCGGAACACGTGATATAATGCATTTTTAGTTTTCAGTTTAGCTAATTTTATCCTTTATCCAACTTGACTGAGATGCCAAACAGAATTTTTTTAAGTCACATAATATATTTAAATAATTTTTCAAACTCTTGTGAAGTTAAGATGGGTGGTGGAATAACACACATTTTGTCCGGTTCCTTGTAACACATGGAAATGCACGTCACGTACACTATTTGTCACTTCACAAAATCAATAAACATTGATGAGATTGGTATAAATAAAAATTACTTAAATTACGATTAATCATTTTCATAATTTTAAGTAATTAACTATGTCATGGTACTAAAACGACCCGGTTGAATGATATTGTTAAGTAGCTGGCAAATAACAACCGGTCACGTGTCAATCAGTTTGACACTTACCGCCTTGCCAATCCACTTTCAAAGGAATACCAATTGTGTAATATCATGTAATACATGGGTAATAAAATGTGATCTTAATTTAAATTACTGATGAAAAAGTCACCTAATATAAATGATACCTTGAACAGAGGACTTTTGGTCGTTGAATTATAAGTCCTGCTAATTTTGTATATCTGTTATTAATATCAATTCACGTTTTAAGTACTTACCGCTTTAATTCATCCCAAAATGTCTTTTTTTTTTCTGGGTGACATAACTTGAAATCACGCCTTTTAAAGACTTTAAGTGCGCTAAATGTATGCTATCGTTACTGCGCTTTTGCCCTACACAGAATGCGCATGCGCGAAATGCAACATACGTTGCTATGGAAAAATCGTACTGTAAAAAGGTCTATACGTGATTGGGACGAAAGATATGCATCGCCTATACGAAAACAGCTAGATCATTTTAAGTCTCAATCTTTTGATGTCCCGATAAGTAACAGCTGAAATACTTTCAAATTGTTTACCTTATAGGATATAACAAAGAATAATACACTAAGATTAAACACATATATACATGCAGTAATGAGTAACGAGTCTCGACTCTGCTGGATGTGATCATTTTAAGTATAAAGTTGAATCTAAATAACATACATGGATCTCTTCATACCTACGAAAATTATTTTCCTGTGATAAAAAAAAATATTGTTTAGCATCATTGAGCCATACATCTGCGACGTTTTTCTCACAATCACAACATCCAGAAAGATTAGTCATCCCCATGAGGCATTCCAAGAAAGCCTTTAATGGAATGAGATGCTTTACTATTAAAATGCAGCATCAACAGCCTATATTCAAATAAAAATATGTTAATAGAACAAAATCCAAACAGTGCTGAACCTAAAACACACACACACACACGCACGCACGCGCACATATATTCACGCACCGCGCGCGCACACACACATATATTTTTCTTCTGCGTATGTTTTATGTAAATATTATGCACGAGTATCTCGTATGTCGAAAATGTAGTTGTTTCTTACAATACCTTTTAATGCGGGTATTTATTACTATCTCCAGGGCACGAAACAACAATAATAATAAAGAAAATAATGAAATGTCCCTAACTTGTGGCCACGAGCCAAAAAATAGCCAAAAATTATCCCGCATATCGCAAGAAATAACTTCATTTGGTCTTCATGGCGGTGGTACTCTGTTGCTATCAACGTACTCGTCTTTCGGAGTTTGTGTATAAATGACGAGCGTAAATGTACACAATTTTGGTCTTTTTTCGGAGAATTGAATTAAAAAAAAAATATTGCGTTTTTTAGTGACTCGTATATTAATAAAACGCACAAAGATTGTCTTACACAATGGATAGAATAAAACCAAACTATTGCGAAAATATTGCGAAATGTGTTTGTTTAAAATGCGGTTTGTGGTTTTATACCATGCATTTTTTCATATCCATACCTTAACATAGCCCGAGGCTCTCATTAACATAAACACCAACTTGTGTCAGGATATCAACTGGCTCACATATTTCCTTGTTAAAGAAACTGTCATGTAGACACGCTTTAAAATTATGTTTCATGAAATCTTCTGTGATTTTTCGATGATATAATGAATTTTTATACGTATTCTGAAAACGATACTATTTCTAACGTAAAATTTCAAAGTCATCGCCCGACAAGGTCAGTAAAGCAAGAAAATCCTTTCTAAATGCAACACTGTAATGCAATGTCGCTTTAATAGATAGGCAGTTGAAAGGCCAAGTTGTGCTATGAATAACTATGCTGTTTAAACAAGATTTATGCTTGAATTCATTCATTTGTCATAATGATAACTTGCTACAACTTTAGCTTATTGTACATGTAGACAGTATATGCCTGGACCGACTTAAAAGTTAAGAATCATTTTTTTTAGCTTATGATGGATCTTGGCCCTTTAAGGATCAAACAGAGGATTAAAAAACTCAAATATTCTCCATTGTATATCCTCATGGACTAAATATTTAATATCAACTTGATAATATTTGACTCCAATAACATTTCTATTAAATAACAGAATAACATACTTGTAATTTTACAAGATATGGGCAACTAAAACGAAGGTAAGCTACACGAAAATAAGAAAAAAAATGTATTGTTACCCTTCATTGTAAATTATCTGCCCTTGAATTTAAAAAAAATGGTCCAAAAAACGGGAACGGTGACCCCAATTTTTTTTTTCGCTTAAAATGTTTCTGTTATCATATTCTAACAACATGTCAAGTTTAAAGAAATTCTATTGAACAGTTTTAATTTTGCCTATATGTCTATATGAAAACTCCCGAAAACGTCTTTAAAGCTTGTAAAAATATTTTGCCGTCGGCCTAAAAACCAAACATTCTACAGTTTCATTAACCTGTATTGTTGTAAATCTCATCAAATATTGTTCATTAATTAGGATTTTAAACGGAAGACCCCACCGTCACAGTTTTATAGTTGCTATCCGGAACACAGCAAATATGATATTTTCTTGTGCAAACACACTTTAACCGTTTTTGCTTCATGGTGCACTAAGCCTGGGGTTCAGTGAAAGTAATCATCTCGTAAAAAGATTAAATTTGTTTGAAAAGATCCGTTACAATGCAGAAATATACCGTTAAATTATGACTTCTACTTATAGTCATGTTTGTTGATTTAATATTGATGTACGGATGATCCGAAGGTTTCTTATGCAAACAGAAATTGTACTTCCCATTTCGCTACAATGAGGTTACCCATTTGTATGCTAATAAAACTCATTTTGGTTGTCTGGACACCAAAATAAGACCTGGAGTCGATATAAAACCCAATTTATTAATGAAATGTCGCTATTTAGTTTTATATGAAAATTATTAAATGTAGCTTTAATAGACCTATATTTTGAACGGATAATTTCTGTATTTGTTTTGCTATCCGTCAATTTCATTCCAAAAAAAAGGTTTTTTCGTTGCAAATTAGCAATTTTTCACATTTTGTTTATGTACCATTTAATTTTTGTCTACATACAAACAATTTCAGTTACCGGGTATTTAAAACAATGTTCCTGATTTTTTTCTTAGTGAAGAACCTGATGTGACTACAGTACTAACTACTTTCATAGTTATACATACATAAAAGTAACATATCTTTACGACTTTGATATCCCTAGATAATAAAGTATTTATCTAATTATAATGTATGAACAGAAAAAAATACACTTCTAGAAATATTACATAATGATAAGCCATTGATTTGCAATGACAAATAAAGTACAAACGTGAAAATACAAGTGGTTGCACTTTAATATTGAAAAGTCTCCCGGCTTCAATACTAATTAAACTTATTTCCTGTTACCATGGCATCGAGGGGACATCTCAAAATTGCCAAAAATCAATATTTTGCCTCGATTTTTTTTCATCAAAATTGATTTCAAAGTGATGCAACTTCTCAATGGATTGAAATAAAGTCAAAGGCTTTTCAGCGTTGGTTACACGTTACCTTATGATCGACCTGGGGTCATTTCTAGCCTCTCACAAGTCCAAAATTTTCTTGGCGATGAGGGGGGCCGCCCCCTTCAAACCCCAAAACAGAAGGGGGCACATCCCCTTTTTGGCAACTCCTTGATGTATCTTTTGGATAGGGGCGGCGCCGAAAAAGTGGTCACTTTTTTAAACAACATTTCTCAAACAAAAACAAGTGTTGGGGGCCAAATAAGACATTTTTCACCATTTGAGACAACAAAAAGGGGGAGGGGAGTAAAAAAAGACAGGCGTAGAAAGGCGTGTATATCTGGTAATGGGTTAATTGATGTTTGGTGGTAGTACAATATGCTTCATTTTAAGGGGCATTGGTTTACTAATATTTGAAGGTACGTTTGTTTAGCAACATGCTTCACTTTAAAATGCATTATTTTAATAATGTTCGGTGATATTACAATTGGCTTTACTGTAAAAGGCATTGGTTTACTGATGTTTGTAAGTATTACAAACTTTATGCGCCATTGGCTTATCGACGATTTGCCTTTGTATAAACAATGCCATGCAAAAATGCTTGGAAGTCATTCGGAGAGAGATTTTTAAGATGTAAAAAACATTCTTTAATAGAAAATGAACCTTTCAACCACAAAAAAACTTTTGAATTTTATTTCTGTTATGATCATTCTACTGTGTGTATAATGACAACTTTGTAGAATATTGAAAGAGAATTTGGCCAACTACAAAAACCAAGTACCTAGTCAGGCATGACATGTATGGTAGTTCGAACAATACTAAATATCTTGCTGGCTAGCATAGTAACTACCTACTTGCATTATCATACTTTCTATCATTTTTCTATATTATTTTACTATAACAGTCTGTATTGTTAACTATCAACGCTGTCTGTGACCTTTGCTTGACCATTAAATGTTATGATTATATACATGACACTAAAATGGACCAGTTAGTGTCACCTGGTCACCTTGCATGTATACCGATCACTATAAATCACTTAAATAGGGTTATGTACGGTGTCCTTATCGTTCATTTATAATGTCGTCTGTCGCGTCTATGGATCGACACACGACAATGCGAAGTGACATCGCGACAATGCGAAGCGAAGCTCGACAACGCAAAGAGACATGCGACAATGCGAAGCGACTCTCGACAACGAAAAGAGAGATACGACAATTAGTGCGAAGCGACGCTCGACAACGCGAAGAGACATGCGACAATGCGAAGCGACGCTCGACAACGCAAAGAGACATCGCGACAATGCGAAGCAACGCTCGACAACGCGAAGAGACATGCGACAATGCGAAGCGACGCTCGACAATGTAAAACGACATATCGCACTATCGCCAAAAAGTTCCCGGTAAAAAGGACGACATTTTAGAAAAGTCGCTTCGTGTTGTCAGTCAAAGCATTTTAAAGATATCGCTTCGCATGATCGCATGCCGCTTCGCGTTGTATCGTATTGTCGCATTGTCACTTCGCATCGTCGAGTGTCGGGGTTAGCAGAAATGTATACCACGACACTCGACAAGTCAAAGCGACAATACGATACGACACACGACAATGCAAAGCGACACTCGACATCGCGAAGCGATATTTTTAAAATGCTGTGACTGACCTTGCTAGAATAAGCTTCAGGTAATAGATATGCACTGTATATAAGTCAAATATATTACAAAACAAAATTCTCATGCTATATAATGACTGAATTAATGCTGCTTCTGTTAAAGAGAGAGGAAAAAAGGACTAGCTCAATAGGTAGAGCGTTGGACTTTGAATCGGGCGACCCGGGTTCGATTCCCGGACGGTGCAGGTCACTTTCGTTGTGATTGATCATGAACTCTTTTCTTCGGTCATTCACACTGTACCTATGCTCTTAATTGTACGTACAGAAGTTTCAGTTCCTTGCGAAAGAGAAGGCAACTAGTACTGCTTGACAGCCTGCCCAGGAACGATGCTCTGGTAAATTCAATGTGGCTGACTGCCGTGATCCTAAGTAAAAACTACCGACACCGGTACCACCATTTAAAAATTTCGCTTCGCGATGTCGATTGTCGCTTTGCATTGTCGTGTGTCGTATCGTATTGTCGCTTTGACTTGTCGAGTGTCGTGGTATGCATTTCTGCTAACCCGACACTGGACAATGCGAAGTGACAATGCGAAGTGACAAAGCGACAACGCGAAGTGCAATTGCGATAATGCGAAGCGACGCTCTACAATGCGAAGTGACACTCGGCAACGCGAAGCGACATTTCTGAAATGTCGCCCTTTTTACCGCGACATTTTTAGGCGACAGTGCAATATATCGTTTGACATTGTCGAGCGACTTTTTGCATTGTTGCATGTCGCTTCGCGTTGTGCATTGGCGCGATGTCACTTCGCATGTCGTGTGTTGACTCTTAGACGTGACGGACGACATTTAAATGGCACGTTAAGGACACCGTAGTTATGTGATTCAGCCAATACTTTTTTTTAAAGTTTTTCGCTGAAAACCTATTTAGGGAACAGAAACCCATATACCGGTACATAGATCTATGAAATCTCTACACTGTCGACCTTTTGATTGTTAGGTATGATTTATCTCGTTATAATCTTAAAATCGTTAAACACAGATATTACATTTTTAAAGATAGTATACTTACGGTGATCTGCAAATGATTTACCGAATTGATATGACGTGCCGTATAAAAAGTATTAAGACCGTCTTACTACCTTACCTAATCATACAAATTATATACAAGTTCTTTACAATATTTTTAAATGTAAATAAACAGCATACTTATAGTTATTTATTCTTCTTTATATAAATCAAAAAATTGCGGGCCGAATTTTTATCTTTTCTTCATTAAGAAAGAAAGAAAGAAATAATTTTTTTAAATAAAGTAAAAAAGAGAGAAAAAGTCAAAAGAACTGCATGAATAAGATGAATCTGTAACTGTCGTCTGCGAATAGTATGGGACAATAACCCGTCTGCTGATTATATTATACAAATGACCGGAAGCAAATGTGCACAGACGTTTGAAATTATCATTCACTTAAATAACGTTAAAATAAATACAGCTTGGTAAATTAATTTATTCTGTAAACTAGGTCGCTGTCACGCTTGCTTCATTCATTAAGTTCGGCTGGTTTAGAACGCAGACACATTTTTCCGTCCATAGATTTACAGCGTTAACAGAAACAAAATGGACATTAAATTCTGTTTACTTTTTGTCGCTCTTTGCGCTTTACTACAAAAAGGTAAGGCTTTGCTAATATAATTCATGTGTTTTTAATTTATAAATGTTTATAGATTTAAGGATTTTTTCATATTTGTGATCCTTTTCCTATAGATAATTTATTATTGATTTCCAAGTTAAGTATGACAAGGAAACTTATGACATGATATATTTTTATATATTTATTTATTTATTAATGTATTTCTTTTATTTTTATTAATACAAACCTTAATGGTGTCTAAATGTTGTTTTTTTAACCTCGCCGCCTTTCTTTTTGACCTTGAGAGCATGTGCGATGTTCATTTATTATATACAGTATAACCATAGGAGGGATATGATCTGACATAAACGAAGTTTATACACGTATAGTCAAATATAAAATATAAATACATGTTATTCATTTTATGAAGAAAGAAAAAAAAACTATAGAACTATTTAAGAATATTTATGGCTAATATGTTACTTGATATAAAATGATCACGACAGCGTTTTCTTTTGACCTTGGCTGTACTCACGGGAAATGCCTTGGAGCCGTCATTTTGCGGGCCAGATAAGAAATGTTACAATACGGATCAGAATATCGCATAAACATATTTTCGTTCTTTATGACAGTTTAAATGTAATTTGCATATTCAATTAAGTATTTCACCGTGGAAGGAATATTTCAAAATAACATTGCATCGTCTCTTGTTAACTGTAGTAGTTGCTCCTCTTTTCTTTTTCCGCCTTTATCTGTGTGTGTGTGGGGGGGGGGGGATGAGGAGGTTGGCAAAAATACACCCAATGAAATGATGATTATTGGTTTTTTTTGTTGGTTTTTTTTGTTTGTTGTTATGAACTTTTTTCTACCACAGCACAAATACTTGTAAATAAACTAAATTCAGTAGAACGCTGATATATCTAAGATATTTACCATTACGACGCTAACTATCTTTAAAATGGACTTGTTCATCAAATCCATGCATTGTCAGGAAAATTTTAAACGACATAATGTTGCCACCAGCAGGCCAAGGTTTTTTTTCCGTGTATTTAAAAAAAGAGAAAGAAAGAAAGAGAATGATACGAACTATATAAGATACAATGAGGACAATCGTGATGTAACCACATTATAATAACTCTTATGATTATCTCCCTTGTCTGTAAATTGTTGAATTGTTGAGAAAAAAAATACAAAAAAAGTTTGACTCTTGTTCCTGATAACAATTAAGTAATTTTAATAGGAAGTGAATAAATTAGTAACCGTTCCTAGCCGAAGAGTATAAGACTCGTTAATTGCCGTACAGTTACGGCAACTTTTTGACATTTGACACCATTTTTACAAATGAAGTCAATATACTACCAAATTAACAGACAAAACGTTATTTCGGGATAAAAAAGAAATTTAAGGCGACAGTGAAATAGTTTTTTTTTTCACCGGAAAATCCCAAAAATATATCCTTTTAGTATGACATGACGTTTTTATTACTATTCAATATATTGCACGCCTCACATTATTACAAAAATTATTTCAAATTTCAAAAAAATGTTGAGTCATCTTGTATTGTTTTTCCAGCTGAAAGCATTAAATGTTATGTCTGCAACAACCAACTAGAACCAAAGTGTGGCGCTACTTTGGAACTCAAGGGATCAGAGGCCAAAAAATACATTGAGGAATGTGAAGGGGAAACTGTCGCCTGCAAGAAACTAGAGTCAAAAGATACTTACAAAGGTATTAATTTTTTTAAAAATACACGTACTATGCTCATTTTTTGGGTTAATGTAAATTAATTTTATTTGCAGAAATATGTTGAAATCTAGGAAATTATTACTTAATTTGTCTAATTTGAATAAAAGACTACTGAAACTATGATTGAGAAGCTGCATTCCTTATTATTGGTCAAATAAATTTGATCTTCTCTAAAAAAAACCGCCAGTTCTTTTCATAGTATCCATTCTCTGTTCACCTAAATTATATAGAGTTTCAAATGTAACATAATTATCTTTTCTGTAAAAACTTTAAAAACATTATTTTATATTAAAATAAAGCCTGTATAGCAATTATCAGAATTTTCTCAATTAAATTTGAGCATAATATATCTTTGATATAAGAGATATCGACTAATCAAACTAAAAATAACGACATCACATAAAGTCTTCTTGAAGGGTCAATCGAAAAAATAATGTATTAAAAGCGCTGGCACAATCGGAACACCTCGATTACAATTCGAAGTTTGAGGAGATGCGACTGATGCCAGCACTTTCTTGTAATGGGGCTTTAGAAAAAGCTCACGTATGGAACCTTCAGATTTGTCACAGTATTTCTATGGACATATCTTGATCAGCTTTCAGTACCGAATAAAAACATTATTTCAAATAAATAACGGGTAATAATCGAAGGGTAAAAATGTTATTTTGCTAGGCAGCCACCTAACCTTAACAAAAAATGTTTTATGAAGGCCACTTATATGAACTTCAGTCATGGAGAACACGTTGTTGTTTTTTCCCTTTCAGAAACTGTATTGGTTACCAGATCATGCTTTAGCGCGAATGATACTCAAATCCCGAGTGACTTCTTTACGTGCTCTAAATTATCACAGGGGATATCATGCTACTGCAAAGGAGCAAGAACTGGAGAGCCTTGTAACGGAGCACCTGCCACAATGACGTATATCTCAGTTACAACAACACTTCTAGCGACTATTTTAAGTCAATTTATTTAGAGATTTTTGTATCAGAATAATGAAATTCATATGCATGCCTTGTATTAAAAAAAACTTTTAATTTTAGTTAATTGTGATGTTTATTTTTATTAATAAAATACGCCTTTTTGTGTAGGTTTAGAATTCTAAATTTTTGGCACAGTTCGATTATCATATGTTTGGTGGTGTCTTCTTTTCAATGGATAAACTATTTCGTAACAATCACCGCCATCTTTTATAGTCCATATTCGTCTATATTTGTCATTGAAACTTTCTTTACTTACAGTTATCATATATTACGAATATACCGCCACTTTGTATTTGTTAATTAATGTTTATAATACTCTAGATTGATTTAATCATTGCTTCATACTGGCTTTGGTGCTCGTATAACGTTAGTAACCGAAAATACTGAACGACTAACGAAAATTAAACGCGCCAACACCATTTGTCGTAAAACAATGACTTTACCATATTTTACAGAGTTAAACACGAATTTATGCTTTTCAACACACGAATCTATACTTTTCAACACACGGATTTATGCTTTTCAACACACGAATTTATGCTTTTCAACACACGAATTTATGCTTTTCAACATTGTCTACACAGAGTTAGCACAGTTTGATGTTAATTGTTCAATTTCTTTTTTGTGTGACGTTATTGCTTTTAATTTATATGTAGTTATAATTGTTTAATATAGTTATTACGACATTTTTTGGCGTGTTCCATTCTCGGAGTCTTTCAGCATTTTAGAGTACTTTTAACATGGACAGTGCTTTCCAACCTACTAAAAGTAAAAGGTATACAGGGGCTTACAAGTAGGACCCGGGCTCGACAATGACCCAAATAGCAACAATAACCGGATCTCATTTTTTGGAGCTTTATTAGAAAATTATATTATATAGAGCTGATTATATATCTTCTAATGTAGTCATTTATCTTCAACTTTTAAAGTGGTTATGTTAAATGCGGGAGACAGGGTTATAAAGAACAGGTTTTTATCAAGTTATTGCATTTTGAACTATTGTCGATATTTCCAGAGGAGAAAATATAATAAAATAGATAACTCAAATTCTTTCGTTGGTTTTTTCTTGTAAATAACATATGCAAAATATGCAAAACAAAAACATATTTATCAGAAATTCTTAGTATTGCTGACAAAACAAAGTATTATTTATAACGTTGATTACACAGTATATATATTTATATAAAAATCAGTCTAAATTCTTAAATTACATGTGAACCAATTCTCAAGTGTCATTTTTGCTTGTAAAATAAATTGAGCCGCGTCACGACAAAACCAACATAATGGGTTTGCGACCAGCATGGATCCAGACCAGCCTGCGCATCCGCGCAGTTTGATCAGGATCTATGCTGTTCGCTTACCAACCCTATAACAAGTAGAGAAACTGATAGCGAACAGCATAAATCCTGACTCAGACTGCGCGGAGGCGCAGGCTGGTCTGGATCCATGCTGGTCGCAAACCCATTATGTTGGTTTTGTTGTGACGCGGCTCAATTATATATCTATTTGGCAACCTCTTTGACACATGTTCTGATATGTCCGTTACCCGCAAACATTAAACTTTTATACACCGTATTTAAAGTAACCTACTCATTTTATTCTGAGTGATTTTTCGTTATCTTCTGAGAAACAGTAACAAGAAAGATGTTTAATTGCTCCGCGCCCAAGTGCGAGGAGCTATTTGTTTACTTATTGTTTTGTCGATGGACCCGATTTTTATCAATTAATCCCTTCGATTTACAGCTGAAAATAAATTCGGAATCAAGAATTCCTTCCGATTTCTATTATGAAAAGTCATATATTGCATTGGTTTCCCCTTCGGTGATTTGCAGCATGTCTTATCAATGAATGAGAATGGGAACAAATTTCACGCTGGCAGTATTAAAGACAAAACAAAAAAATAACTCAAATTGGGTAATTCATTTGTATCTTCTACAGCAAATTATCATAATAATTATTTTGTAGTACACAGAGGGTTATTATGTATTTTATTGCTGTACATGAATTCTAAAGCGATAAATGGATGACCTAACATTGTGAAAGTCCGAAAATATATTTATAGAAGTAGTTTTAGTTTAACGAAACGGTCATTCGTGTAGCGCTATGGTAATAAATAACGAACTGGAAAATTTTGCAGGAAATGAAATGCAAACCTATTCAAACAATAAATTGCACTCTTTATAAATTAAAAAAAAATTAAGTATGCCATTTTTTACGAATTGTTATATCATAGTATTATCATTTTGAAATTGTCGTTTCCTTAAGTTCTTTCCGAATTTTTTTTACGGCCCTGATAGCACTTATGACATTTTTACCATGGATATTTAAATCGACCTAGTTCTGGCTTCCATAATTTTATATGTCGCTTTTATTTTATATTTTGACGTTGTGCGACAGTAAACAGGTCTAGCAGTAGTATACTATAAAACATATTCGCTGTTCAAGTCTCTTTAGCTAAAATTGACCCTGATTTCCCGAATTTTTGCTGTTCTATATTTTATTTGAAGGCAATCGGTTTTATGGAATGTTGATTTGCCGAATATCGTGACATTTTAACAACAGAAACTTTCTTCTTTAGTTTTAACATGAGTTGTTATGGGTTTATTAAAAGGAATGTAAACACACTGGTGGGCCAGACGAGGGTTTTGAAGCAATTCAACAAAATAGTAGATTGACCTCCCAATAAATCAATTGTAAGACTTTGTTCCTTTTGACTACTGTTTTGTATGTTCCAAAGAAAATACATTTAATATTCTAAACTCTTGCATGCCTACCAAAGATCATGATGAACAATGTCTTTCGTCCGCCCATTCATAAATGATATGCATTTCTGGTAAAATCCAATTAATCATTGAAAAGTTTATAAGAATATCTAGTCACCATATGTCTACCAGTTCATCTTCACTTGCTGCATTTCTTGCTTGGACGCCCTTTGATGCTTTGCATCAATGCTTTTCTTGTTATAAAATGATATACCATTTGCGCGAACCATGTAACGGACATTTTGAAAAATAAAGTCGATGGAAGTTTTTTGCTTTGGCTTATTTACATATGGATATTTCTTACCATGGTTAGTTGTTGATATTTGTAGAAAATGAGTAGCAATTTATATGTAAAAAAGAAAATGTACATGCTTTGATTTTTTTATCATCTTATATTACTGACTACAGTAGTGACACAAACAGAACAATTTTGCACTACTGTCATGTCACATTACAAGTCTTGTAAGTCTTGTTTGTATTGGAATTACTTTCCTTACCAGGTAAACATCAGTGAAAGCATGTTTTAAAATTTAATATCTGCCCCCTCTCTCATGGACAGTGCATACGATAAGTATAATTTAGCAAATTTAAATTCCGAAATAATGTACAATAGTTCTTAATCTAAATAGAAAATGACCTTTGCATAGGAATGATTTGGTAAGGATTCTGTAATGAGCGCATTTTTTGCGCGGAGCTTCTCAATTGCTGCATATTGCAGCAACATTTGCACTTGTCTACATAGTATTTATTTTGACAGCCCCCTTCTTTGCAACTTCTGTGACAATTAAATAAGAATGACAATCGCGATAAATTTAATAATTAAAATCGTGCACAAGGAAATAAAATGAAAAACTGGAATTAATTTACTGTAAAGTAATATTATACTAGTATAAACCCATTAAAGTTATAATTGACAGTCTCATATTAAAGAAACAATTGACAGTCTCCAATTCAAGTAACAATTGACAGTCTCAAATTGAACTAACAATTAACAGTCAAAACTTAATGTAGCAATTGACAGTCTCAAATTGAACTAACAATTGACAGTCTCAAATTTAAAGCAGCACATGTCCATTATTGAAATATTGTGGTGATAAGATGCATGCACCAATAACATGCACGTATAATCATTATCTGGTACAGCATGAACGAACGCTAATGAGCAACTAACAGGATTAAAGTTGTTGATGCAAACCAGTTATGATGCAGGATTTGGTTACACGTAACTTTATTGAAGCCATAACGTGTGAGAAGTATGAATATGCGTAGATCTAAATCATTGCTGTTGGTTGTTCTTTGTAGCCTAGTAGTGTCGTTATTTCAGCTGTTTTTACACAGGAGTATTGTTTTCAATACCAGAAATACACCAGACAAAAGAAGAGAACCATGGAGACTGAACACACACGAAGGTGATCATTATATGTTTTACCTTTCTAAGATATTTGTTCACATATTTAGACAAGTTCTGAAGGCTGTTTTTTTCATGTACATGTACGCCGAAACAGCGAGTAGCAGCTTTTATAAAGATTAATTATTCGCCGGATTCCGGAAACATTGCGAAGATGTATCTTTGTATAGGGTTTTCTACCGAATTAAACACGTGCGGTATGTCTGAGTACTACCCGATTTTCTGATGCACTAGTTAATTTGTGATCCCGGAGCACACAGGAAGGGCGGGAGTAGCGAGTTTTTATCTTACATCAATGTTTCGATTTTATTTTGGCCTAAAAGTATTCATATTTCAACGTCTAAAATATACACTTCAGACCTTGAAATATGATTGTCTTTTTTCCAAAACTGCATATATTATGTTTCATTGATATACATTTATATGACATGTGTATGTGCTTGAATTGAAAAAATACTCATATACATGTACACTTTATTTGGATTTTAAGGTGTTTTAGAGCTTCACATCCCAAGTGTCTGTGTATAATGATTGTCAGTATTCATTATAATTATGATCTTTGTAAGCGAGTTATAAACGTCGTAAGCTCATCAGCCCAAGTGTTTGTGTGATAGCCCAAAGTGTCTGTGTGATTATTAATTAACATTAATTTCGTCGGGGATTAACAGGATTTTCTAATACAATGTTTTCAAAGCAGATACGTTTTACATCATCGGTAAATGGCTAAATTACTCATATGTACCCTAATTCGGAAAGTTGTATTTTATTTATCTTCTAGTCAGAAAGTTTAAATGTTATCTTAATTCTCGACATTTCCAAAAGTGTGAATTGAAGATTTGATCAAGTTCGTTGACCTACCGGAAGAGACTGACTATATTTAAGTATAATATTGTATTACAGTATCATATCCAATGTAGGCCTATACCTGTATCAAGTATAACATGCCTCCAAATTCATGCTAATTTCATGAAACTTTGAACATTGCAAACGGAACATGTACTTAAAATCGACGTTAAATACCAAAAGGAAGCAGAAATATGCAAAATAACCCTTACTGCGTTTGTCACGCAGTAGAAATATGATGATAAATACTGCAAAATCAGACATTAATTGCACACAGAATGTACATCATTACATGTACTTGAATCTTTTCTTAAAAATTTTAAAATTTTATTACAATTTACAGCATTTACACAGGTATGCCGCTCATCCACTTCCTGGTAACCGACTAGGTTAAATTTTCAACATTAATGGTCAATGGTAGGAAATTTTTGTAACAGTTTTCTCAGCAACTACTTATCACAACCTCTTGATATTTGGTATACAACATTAACACATGGTTCCATACTGTGGGATTCGATTTCAGGCCTGTCACTCATCCAGTTCCTGTTTACTGACTTAATCAAATTTTCAACATTAATGTTCATAATATCACAGTCTCATGATATTTCGTATACAAATGCAACACGGTCATTTCTGTCTTTGGCCAATTTTTTGGACATATTTTGGCTCATCGGGAGGCATGCAGCTTTAAGTTGATTAGAAACTTGGGGGAGAACCATTCAGTAGTTTGTAAGTTAAATGGGCAAAAGAATGATTGCTGCAGTATAATAAGTTATATGTAACACCATAACTAGATCTACGCGAGAACAATGTGACGATTTGCCTGCGAGGTTTTACAAATGCCAAGCAGGTGCTGCACGTAATAATAACCGTAAAAATAATCCTAGAGGGATGGTGATATTAATCCTTAAGCGATAGGCATGTAATCAGTCATATATCGAGTCTTATTATAATACATTTACTTTGAAATCAATCATTCATTGGGTTCCTCTTTGTTTGTACCCAATATTGAAAAGATAGTGACAGTTTAAATTTATAAAATGGAAATTGTTATTTTTTTCGAGATGAAAACAGTACACAAAAGCCAAGTTAAATCGCAGCCTCCAGCGCTTTCATTATACTTCAAAAATGTCGAGTTTTTGGCTTGCAAAGACTCACGGAAGAGAATATTGAAACAGAACATTAATATGTGTAGAGAAGAACAAAGTATTAAATCATCAAGCCGCTGCTGTGACATTTAGAAATGAAAATGTAGAATTATTGATACAAACATCAAAGAATGTAATGGCGGATTACTTATAACAGGTTGTCACAAATGGCTAATTAAAACATACAGTAAAAAGGCTAAAGAATTTTATATATGTTTCTTAACAAAATGCGTAATTTCAATAGTGGTCACTGATAAACGACTAGAACTGGAACATTAAAGATACTGCTCTCATCTATATATTTTGAATTTCCCCCTATATGATTTAACATACCATTGCATTCCGTACACATTTGCCCAATATGCATTCGTGTTGTGAATACTTTCCGGGGAAGAAAAAAAAGTTCATTCGCGAGAATGGCGACTGGTTAGCGTATTAAAGGTGACTTGTGTTTTTGGTAATGTACATACATGTATTACATCATTGTGTATACCCGAGACATATTACACTGAAATTTGCAGACAAAATGTGACTTTGACAATTTTTACGTTTCGTGAATGATGCACCGAAACAACGGTCGGTCATCATTTTATCTGCTCTTTTAGTTTTATATTTGGCACTAATATCTAAGATATACTGAAGATATAAAAGCGTCTTTATCAACGAAACACAAAAGTCGCCGTCAAAACAATAGCAGGTCGTCATTTTTCACGAATGATCTTGAAATAAAAACAAATTTCTGGAAGTATTTGTAAGTAAATAAAATATTTTGGCTTGTTTACTTACAACGTTCTTGTTTTGGCTATAGCTTTGCACAGATTCGGCGGCGTTACTTTTGCACAATTGGTGCGTTATTGTTAATGGATATGCAAAGTAACACGGTACATAAGCTTAGCGATAAAATGGCAAAATACATGCATAATTTTCTGTTACTCTTTGACATAATCTGCAGAATTTAAACAATTATTGAAATAGACTTTTCCAGGTTCCATTTTTAACTGCCAAAATAATAAAAAATTAAAATTAGTTGGCGGACACTTTATCTAGCCTTCATGGCCAGACCGCACGAATGTGCAGGCTGGCCTGAAGATTGTACTGGTGGCAAAGACCAATCACTTCCGAGTGACTTACAAGATGAAACTGAAAATATACATGTAGAACAGAAAAATTGGAATTCTTATTGATGAATAAAAAGATTCCGCCATGCTTGTACAAATCGGACAAAGAACGACAAAGAAGCAATTGTTATCCAAAGTATTTGGTATCGTATATGAGCACAAGACGGCAAAAGAAACTCAGCGGAAATTAAGATGTAAATGTGAACAGCATTATTAAGTGGCTTATCTAAAGAAGATACAGAAATTAAATTCCCACAAAGAGTCAAAAAGTCATTAATAAACTGCAAACAGAATAAGGAAAAGGAGACTGTGTAAATATATAAAAGTAAATTAAACATAGCAACACAATTGAGAATTTTACGCCAACAATTGGCTATTTTGCTTCAAGAGGTATAAGAAACAAGTTATTTGTGAGGTTTTTTTTACCATGGCAAAAGGTTCTGTTTCTTTTGCAATTGATTTGTCTATGATTTTGTCGTCCAGTGGTAGCATCTGTTACTATTGACTAAACGAAATATGTACATTATGTATCACCATTTGTAATGTGGTCATGTAAACGGAAAAAACAGCGTAGAGACGGAAAAGGGAACATAACAAATTTCTGCTCACCCAAAATACTGCAATAAAAATGCGTTTTGAAGTAACTTTTATTAAGACATGTTTAATTAATGAGATATGAATATGCAAAATGACGTTTCATGGATTAAAAGCGTTGAAACTAGTTTTTCTTTGTAGCGTTGCGGTGTCGTTTATACAATTATTGTTATACAGAACCATTGTCATAAATGCAAAACATTCACAAGTCGGGGATGCTCCTTGGAAGATTCAAACATATGAAGGTTGTTATTTATTTTTTCTTATTTTTTATAAGCACATATTTTGTAAAGAATGCAACATATTTTGCAAAGTTGAAATATCATTTAATCTTTCGAACAAAAGCGTACAATGAATATTATGAACTCTATGTTGAGTGATGTAAGAAACGTTTATCTACAATGTTTTTTCTTTACAAGATGTTTTATTTATGTATTTTAAAGTCATGCTAATTCTGATATAAAGCACATTACTAGAACAGAAGAACAAGACATTGCATTTTGTTTGTCTCTAACGAATTTGATCAAATCCGATTTAGATATTTCAAAGAATTTCCAGAATATTTTGTATAATATCTCTCTTTTTTCATTCACAGAATCAGACATAAAGAATACTTCAAAGCAATATGTCAAAAACCCAATAATATTCAACGAAATCAAACAAACGCCAAGGGTCAAAGTCGTACCTGGTGCAAAAATCGAAGAGCAATCAGGAGTTAAAGTTGACGGTCTTCCAGCAATAAAAGCTAAAATTGATGCCCTGCCAGCAGTAAAAGTTAAAATTGATGACCTGCCAGGAGATAAAGTTAAAATTGAAGACTCCCTCAGAACATGTAGCTCACACGTGCCTATGTCCGGATATCATCAGTTTGCGCAGATTACTTCAAATTTTTCAGATTGGTCCTTCAGCAAAAAACGGGTATGCCCAGTTCTCAAAATAAAGGAAAGTGAAAGCAAAGCTAGGCTGAAATTTGTTGTTAGCTGCGGGAATGGCGAGGCATTTGCAAAACTTATATCTACAAATTTATCTGGTGATGTCCAACAGTTCCTGCCTAATGACAACTGCCTGCGAAGGTTTGTTGAAAAATGCTGTTCTGTTTCACTCCCTGTGCCAAATGTCGTGCACTATGTGCTGTATAATAAAAGGGAACTTACTTTTATTGACTTTGTCAGTTTTATCTCAGTACTGCGATTTGTGCGTCCGTGTGTTATTTTGATTCATGGCAACATCATTCCGTCCGGAAACTATTGGAATTTCATTCTCAAATTATATCCGAATATTGTACACGTATTTCGAGAAGTGAGGCAAACGTTGTTTGGTCAAAAAGTAAAATTTATTGAACATTTTGGAGATGTTTGGAGAATCAAAGCTTTGTTAAGATTTGGGGGAATTTATTTGGATACAGACACGTTACTAGTGAAACCAATCGAACCTCTTCGTCGTTTTCCTTGTACTATGTCGCGACAATCTAACAACGTAACCCAAACCCTTGTTTCAGCGTTCATTATGGCGGAGCGAAATGTGACGTTTGTTCGCGCTTGGTACGACTGGTACAAAATTTATTATGTCAACAGTAGCTATGCATATAATGCAATGATGTATCCAAGTTTACTGGCGGGTCGTAAACCGGGTCTCATCCATATTGAACACGGTACAGTCGCAAGACCCGACAATCAATTTCGTGATATCATTTTCAACACGAATACAAATTGGGCAAATATTTACGGAATGCACCTGTATGTTAAATCATATAGGGGAAACACAAAATATATAGATGAGAATAGTGTTAAAACGTTTAATGCTACTGTTGGGGCTATTTGTCGACACATCCTTTACGGAAATAAAGATTTGTGTTTCAGCAGCTCCTGATGCAATAATATTACATATAATATAAGAAAGAATGGGAAATTTAAAATTTATGGAAGCGGGTTTGCATATGGTTATGATTGTGTAATGTTCCAGTTCAAGTTAAAATCGTTATAGTACAAATAGGGAGAGAAGGGCCGAAGTTTCTTATTTTTTTCAGGAAAAAAACTAGCTTCCTCTACATTAGAATAAAAACTATATGTACGCATATCATTACAAAAGAAGTTTCGTGCTTTTTCCTAGATATATATGACATTAAAAACCAATATGAAGTTTTGGAGATGCTTAATGAATCAAACTGTATAAACATAGTTTTGTACTTAATATTTGGGTTTATATTCGGGTTTATTTGGAGAGATTAAATACTAGTAACCGAAGGTATCTTAAAATAATTCAGGAGCTCCAAGCTCTTGATCAATAGAAAGTTCAACATATGTTGTTTAGAAATATCAATTAAAGAAGAAGATTAGATAAAAACTGTTATACATGCTAAAATCAAACACGGCTTCGACTGTATGAAGATTGTTTCCTTTGAAATAATCTATACAATATGTTACAAGCTACAAAATGTATCAATCGTGTAGATATAAATACCAAGGTTGATTGGATCAATAGACCTATTACGAAAAAAAAAGAAAAAAAAACAAAAAAACACAAAAACATACAGTTATACATAAAGCTTGAAATCTGAAAATTAAAATGTAACGTTTATCAAATTGAGCCTGCAACATTTTCAATTGGCGTTTTGGACGTTCTGAAGGGATTCTGTTTTTTCTATATTTTCAAACTATACTTTATCAAGAAAAAATGTCATTGTAATACATCATTTGATAAGACAAAAGTTTTGTTTTCTAAGTCTATTCATAGTCCTTTTTTGTCAAATTTTGATAGCACGTTCAGATTCGATTACCAATAATCTATGGCTATGTAGGAGAATTAGAGGTAAAATTTGTAGGAGAATTAGAGGTAAAATTTATTAAAAGGTCTGCAGTGTTTTTAAACAAATGATGGCAATCATGAAATCACCATTTTTCCAAGTTTTAAAAGGCGTTTTCAGAATTTGTAGATTATCTTTACATTGCATTTATAAAGCGCGGTTGAACCAAATACATGTAATATGTATGCGAATATTGAAAAGAACATCAAAATAGTTAAAGATATACTATGCTTATCTTTGATTAAAATAATTTAACCGCAGAAATTATTTGAAATCTTTGAAATTCTTACTGAATATATCTAATTTGAATTAAACTATGTGAAAACTACATGTATTGGAAGCTGCGTTCCCTATTACAGGTGAAGTAAATTTGGTCTTTTCTTTGAAAAAACTGTTAGGTTTTTCAATGTCACTATATATTCATAGCATAAGAGGCCTTCCAAAGTGTCGAGTTTAATACATACCGTATCTACTCTGTGTGAAGCATGTTGATTTTATATTTACAAAGAGTCAGTTTAGCAATTTTCAATATTTTCGATTATCAAATTTGAGCATAATATATCTTTATGACATATCTGTCAATATCTAGTCAAATCTTCAAAATTTCTGCACATATATTTTCATTGTATATTAGTAGTACATTCCCTGAGGACCTTTTGTGTGCAAAAAAGGTCCATAGATAAATGTTATACCAATGTGAAGCTAAATGTTTGAAGTTTACAAAAAATTTGGGTAGACATGTCAAATCATGGTACGTTTTGAGAAATCCAAGATGGCCGCCAAATTATTGAAAGATGGCTAATACGCAATTTATATGATAAAATTAGTTCTTATTTGTATTTATTTTGGTACAGGTGATGTTAAAACTTCACATCCTATTGGAACAATATGAAAATGGAGGCATTTCCATTATTTTTTCATATTCTCTGAATTTCATAGATAAATTTGCTAAAAAATGCATGAAAAAATTATAAAAAAATGATATGGGGGCTGACATTTTTTCCTACCAGCTAAGGCATATATCTGTGTAAATGAATATTTTTACCATATACTACAAAGACTTGAACAAGATCATACTAATATCACCCTTATTTTTTATTTTTATTGTAAAAGAATGTGGATTCTGATATTCTTAAAGTGGGTGAGGTAACGAAAACTAAGTCTCAATATTTTGTTAACTGGTTTGTTATGGTAATTTAAACTATGAATAGTCAACATGTATTGCACTTTGGCATGTACCTAAAGTTATAAATAATTAAGAAACTTAGACTGATATTTTGTTTATCAATATTAAACATGTTCTGTTGCCATGGTAACGGGGAAGTAAAATGAAAGACACACCTGAAACGTATGACATTTTCAACTTTTTGCATTTTAAGCATGTTGTTAAGAATGACACAAACTTATAGATAAATAATCTGTGCATTATGCCATGGCAACAAATTGAAGAAAAGTAACATTGAAAGAATTAAAAAGAATTCTAGCAAATTATCAACACAGATAACAGGCAATATTTTGAAATTAGATGAATAAATTTATTTCAAGAATTTGCATCATGCATTTGCTTTTTTCAAACTGCTATACATAGATAAAGGTCATGCCAAATGTGAATGTTGTTATGTTTGGAAAGGATAATTAATGGTGATAACAATAAGTAAAAGGCAGTCTTAGGTAGAAATGTATATAAACATTTTCAAATGTTTAAAACTGTACATAGGGTAAACATTTAAGACTTTGCAGCTAAAACGAGAAATATAAATAGGTCACTGGTTCAAATTCTAGGTCAACCAATATCAAGTTTTAATGACAATCGAATTTATTGTTGAGTTCAAACTTTTTGGTTGTAGCTTATATTATGAAATTCTAACTGGCATTAGATAAAATTCTAGGTCAACTGATCTCAGTGTATAATTCTGCATCTGAAATTTTACAATCAAAATACAAAGAGATCACTAGAACAGATTAAGGTCAGCTGGCATGATATATTGTATCTGTTATCCAAATTTCTTTAGCTTCAAAAACAAGAAAGTAGGTCACAAGGTTTTTAATTCTAGGTCACCTTATACCAGTGGGGCCATGATTTGAACAATCAAAGAGGAAAACAAGACAATTCTTCCAACCAAATGGTCTTGCATTGTGGTTTCTGACTTAAAGTTTTTTATATAAAAATCGACATCTAGGCAGGGCCATTTTTATGCTCCCCGAAAAATTATGGGGGAGCATATAGCCGCCGGACGTGTGTCCAAAACCTAGTCGGGGAGCATCACCCGGTTCAACCGGCTATTGTTTTAATCCAGACTCATGATCATTATTTGATGCCTGCAAACTTAGCACTTTACGGAGAGTGTCGGATGTGAAATCCAGGCGTCTCTTGATCTACAGACAACAATTGATCTCGGACATTGAGTTTTACGGTCATTTGTCTGTCAAAAAAGTTAGTACCGTAGCTTAGTAGAAATTGGTCATTACTCTTCTGGTTATTTATCCATGAAAGTCAAATAGTTTAACCAACCTTCAAGCTATCAACAAAGAAATATTGAAATTGGCGTATAACCCAGACCCGGCCCTTTCATGATTTGAAGAAACATGGTAAAAGTCTTCTAGAAATTGTTTCACATGCTCTAAACAATGGGGTTAAAGGGATGATTTTATAAAGGATTTTATATATAAGTTAGACTATGTAAATCAATTGATCCTTGGGAAAGGTAATTATAATCAAACGGATCATGACTTTACCAAGCTTAGAAGTTATGTATTATTACTATTATATAATTTAATTATCGTGACATAAATTGATATGATCATAGAATGAATGCGTCACACTTAAATATCAAAGCATTTTATTTATGGAGAAGAAAGTTTTCAAAGCCTTTTCTTTATAACACAAAGTAAAATGACTCCTGGGGTTAGGTCAACTTTGACCAGATTGTCAAGATTTGAAAAATAAATTAAGGTTTTTTTGACAATGCTTTTAACCCAAAATCTAAGATCTGGGCATTTGGTTTTAGAAAGAAATATGATTTTAAAAAGTTTTCCTATGTGTCTCCATATGAAATAAGTTGACCCTAGGGGTGGGTTAAATTTTCATTTGAATAAATTTTGTACTGATCTATACAAGGCTACAACAGAAATAATTAGCTATAGGCATCGGTTTGGGAGAAGTTATTTTTTTAGCTTATCCTATATGTAAATTGAAGTGACCCCTGGAATAAATGAATTTGACCACAAGGTCGTGATTTAAGCAAATTTAATAGTATTCTTTACTAGGTCCTGCAGTTATGGAGAAGAATATTTTCATGTTTTTCCTATATTTACACTGTGTAAAGAAAGTTTACTCCGGGGCTTCGCAAGAAACATGAATGTGTACTTCTTGACCTTTTACCAACCATGACCTTGTGTCATGCATATCATAAGCAAATAGTCTCACGATGGCGATTATTTGTGCCAGGTTATTTCAAATCTTCCATAAAGTCAAAAAGTTATGGAGAACATATAACCTTGACCTTGGTTGCAGCGACCTGGATTTTGAGGTCTGTAGATTGTGTCGTGGTGGGGATCATTTGTGCAAAGTATTTTTAAAACCTTTGAATTGTCAATAAGTTATAGAGCGGACATGAAAAAAAAAAGTTTTTACATTGGACCGTTGAGTGTGACCCTGACCTTCAGGGTTGTGACTTGCTTATTGTGCTCTGCCAATGGTGTCATAATGTTGATCATTTCTGCAATTTATCTTAAAAACATTTCACAGGTTTAAAAGTTAGAGACAGACGCGAAATGTAGACTTTCTAACATATGAACTGTAAGTGTGACCCTGACCTTTGGGTAGCAATTCAATTATTGCGATCTGCACATCGTCTCATAATGGTGATCAATTGTGCCAAGCTATTTAAACAAAATTTCATAGGTTTAAAAGTTATGGAGGGGACACGAAATGCAGATTTTTATACATTTGACCTTGACCTTTGGTGTAGCAACCCAAAGTTTGCGTTCTGCACATGTTCTTATACTGGTAATCAATTGTGCCAAGACATTTTTTAAAAATTTCAGCGGTTAAAATGTTGGAGCGGACACGAAATGTAGACTTTTTAACATTTGACCTTAAAGTGTGATCTTGACCTTTTGTGTAGCAACCCAATTATTGCGTACTGCACGTCGTGTCATAATGGTGATCCGTTGCGCCAATTTATTTCAAAACTTTTCAGCGTTAAAAAAGTTATGGAGCGGACACGAAATGTAGACTTTTTATTATTAAATGAAGACTTTTAACATTTGACCTTAAAGTGTGACCTTGAGCTTGGGGGTAGCAACCCAATTATTGCGCTCTGCATATTGTCTCATTATGGTGATCAATTGTGCCAAGTTATTTAAAAAAAATCAGGGTTTAAAAAGTTATGGAGCGGACACGAAGGTGTTACGGACGGACGGACTGACATACGGAGTCCATTCCTATAATCCCGCGATTAACAATGTTGTTTTAGTCCCATCTGAAAAAGCCATACATATAAAAGCTCAAGATCTTTTTATTTATTTCTGGGAATATTTGAAAACATTACGCATTGTCAGTTCTATTTTTAACTTCTGTGACTAAGATATACAGTAATCCGATTTGTGCAAAAAACAACAACAAAACAAAATTTCTGTAATTTTTTTTCAAATATAGCCTATTTTTACGTCACATCAACACTTTAAAAGGCTTTGTGACGACTTTCCTGTTTTACTGAGGAAGACCTTAATATGTTTCCCTCCGTGCATTATTTCATAATATTGAAACCTTCTGGTCATCTTTCAAGGCAAATCAGAATTACAAATCTATAAGAAAGTGAAATTTGGCTTATTCAAATAAAGAAAACTGTAAAATTGTTTGTAAAATAAAGAAATCAAAGTCATATGTTCATCCTGATTCCAAATTCAAATACGTCCTGAACTTAATCTTAATTTGGAACACACTAGTGTTGATGTGCATTACATGCTACCGGACAATTTGAGAAATGCTGTATTTCCTCATCTCCAATTACATTGAAACTATGGTTTCAAGACTGCACTTTTATAATGACTTATTTAAAACAGATCGAGAGCTTATATGAATTTTGGATACGTTCAGCCGCGGGTTTTTCCACATGATTTGTTGATAATTATTGATGATGAGAAAATAACAAAACTGTAACAGTTGATATGATTACCAATGTCTTTGAGATTTTATTTGAATGCTTACCTGTATATCAGTTATAGCTTATTACTACGTGACGACAATTTACACACTTTTTTGTGTGAGTGGAACAAAAATCGCTCCCAAAGTTTTACAAACACATATTTTTCTGATAACTGGTAAAAAAATGGTCGAAAACAAAACAAGATCTTTCATTACACCTTTTAAAAAAGTTTTTTAAATGCCTTTCTGATATTAATTATAACATGTTTTAAAAACGTTAAATAAACCCTTTATATCATAGTTATAAACATTTTTAAAAAGGAAAACTCGGGCATTTAAAAGAAAATTTTAAAAATTTTTAACAAAACTAGATTAAAACTATGTAAAACTATTTTATATAAAAAATACTCTTAAAAATTTTTTTTCAACTTGATTTATAATGATTTATGAAACGACCGCCATTCCCTTTTTAAATACAAATTTTTAAAGGACGAAAGTGGGGCCCGCCGGTAACAAAACCCCCATATTGTTTTTTCATATCGGGGGACTTTATTTAAAAATTAATTTGAAAACTTTTTAAGTTTTTTTGTTTTGTGTTTCATTCTTCTGTTTGTTGTTTTTTAATGTTCCCTCTGTATCCGATTTTCAATAGGTAAAACAATGGAGATTCTATACAACGTTTTACGGATTCTGTTTTTCTCTATTTTAATGTGTTTAAATGAAGGGGTTGTTTTTGGTAATAAGACAAGATGCCATTTGATGAACAGTACGGAATTTGTTGATGATCATTTAAGACATACTGACCGTATAACAAAGCATTAGGTGGTCTGACCTGTAGGTCACAAAATAATTTATAAAGAATTTTGAGGCAACGGTGGAATATGGCCTATTTATTATTCATTATTATCTTTTGCCTCTAAAACTTTAAGCGTTGTTATTGTTACAGACACGGTTCAGCAAAATGTTACCGATGTTTTAATTCAAATTTGTGTTTTTTCATGGAAAGTAAATGTAGTGAAATATGAAATGATTTTTATTTAATGTTTCAAGTGTATCCAACTCTGTATTCTGTAATGCATAATCATGACATTAACTTCTACAACATGCTTGAAATGATAAAACTGAAAGCCTCATACTTTTCCGGGTTTCTCTCATTTTACCACTGTGTTGCCATGGCAACAGAACCAATTAATGTTGTTGGTAGAATGAAAATCTACCTTTTAAAAAATTAAAGACTTAAGAACATTTTAAAATGTAATCTTGTTGGTTATTCTTAGTCTTAATAATCGTTATATATCAGTTCACTAGAAATTGGGACTCAATTTTCGTGTACCCCACCCACTTTAGAAATGTCAGAATTCACATTCATACACAATAAAAATAAAAATAAGGGTACAATTAGTAAGTTGTTGATTAGGTCTTTGTATAATATGGTAAAAATATTAGTTTTCGCCACTATATGCCTCGACTGATAGGAAAAAATGCCAGCCCCATGTCGAATTTTGATACTTTTTCATGCATTTTTAGCAAAATTTCTCTATGAAAACAAGAGTATATGTATAAGAAAAAGGAAAAGGACCATTTTTCATATTGTTCCAATAGGATGTGAAGTTTTAACATCACCTGTACCAAAATAAATACAAAAAAGAACTTATTTTATCATATAAATTGCGTATTAGCCATTTTTCAATAATTTGGCGACCATCTTGGCGGCCATCGTGGATTTCTCAAAACGTACCATGATTTGACATGTCTACCCAAATGTTTTGTAAACTTCAAACATTTAGCTTTACATTGGTATAACATTTATCCATGGACCTTTTTTGCACACAAAAGGTCCCCAGGGACTGTACTATAGGGAAATAGATATATTTTTGTATAGGGACACATTATTTTATTTCATATACATGTATAATACGAAAGTTATATAAAATCTTCCTAATAAGTCATCATAAGCCATAATTGTAAGAATCTTGTTTTATCTTGTCTTATAGATACATGAATATATATCATTGTAGCTAAGAAATCAACATTTCCCCAAAACAAAATCCCATTTAGTAACAAGAAGGATTTTGGATCAGATGACCAAAGCTGTATTGTACAACTACAAATGGGCAAAAATTAGCGTGATGTGATAAACAATATGCTTTGCATAACAGTATTGATAAATTAACCATTGACGCTCTCATTTCTCATGTGAGACCACATGATTGATTAAAAAAGCTACATATATATTTAATTATCCAATTCTATTTCTTATATTGCTATTGACATGCAAAAGGTTGTAAAAGATTCAACGGTAATTCATCATATATCAATGTTTTTGCTATATATTGTTAGAATAAAATATATGCTTGAAATTCCTTTAGATTTTGTTCATTTTGTATGGAATGAAATGGGAGTCATTTTTTACTTTGAAGATGTTTTATGTCTATGCATACACGTTATAGTAATGAATGTACTCAATACAGCTGTTGATTAGTGTCATGGAATATCAAAGTAAGCATTCCAAAAAGTAACTTTGAAAAAAAGGAATGAATGTTGTATTTTTAAGAGTATTCATTCCCATAACATTTTTTAACATTATTTTGAAACTGAAATTTGGTAAGTAAATGTTAGGGATAAGGAGTTACATAAGAAATTAGGGGCAAGTTGTATTCATCATAAATACAAATGTAGTATTTTATGGGCTGGCCCATTTTTTAAAATTCTGTTATTCATTCATTTTTATACTTCATTTTTTGTTGCTGTTGTCGTTGCTTATACGGGTCTTTCTGTGGAAACAATAATTGCATCTGGTACCATAAGTCCAAATGCAAAAGAACATGTACATTTGTAGGTCTGTTAATAATTATTTCGGTGTCGCCAAAATATTAATGCTGTAAATCGATTACTTTTGTAGGTTTAAACCCTGTGAAGTGCACGCCGTTGTTTCCTTCTGCAAAAAACAACAACAAAAAACATTACACTCATTGCTCACTGCTCAGTACTGGTTGGTTCTAGGAACGGTACTATAACCTTATAGCTTTTTACAAAATCAAGTAATTTTGGTATAAATTAAAGTTTATTCTTATATAATATAGTTTGGTAACGCCAAAATCGAAACGTTGAAACATAAATAACAATGGCACGTTACACAGAAAAACTGTAAATTACAGAAGGATTGTTATATCATTTTTGGTGCTTTGACAATGATAAGAAGAGCCAAAAGGCGTTAACAATGATGAGGAAAATAACTTGTTATGGGAATGAAATATCCAAATCCTTTTCATAGTTCTGAGTTTCTGAATAAGTATACATATTGTATAAAACTTGTGAACATGTGAATAAATCTTATATCTTTTAATTTCAATTTTCATTTTTACTACAGATACAAAAATAAAAAATACTTCAGAACAGAAGACGCGTTTTGGTTTCAAAAGATCAAGAATTGTAGACACACTAAAGATATGCAGGTTGTACGTTGGGATATCCAAAATTGAAGCACTTGCTCCAGTTACTTCAAATCTCTCTGAGTGGTCCTACAACACTAGAAGACACTGTCCAGTTTTGAATATAGATTCAAAGATAAAGTCAATCAAACAGAAATTTGTCATTAATTGTGAGGCGGATGTTGCGTATGCATATCTCAACTCTACAAAATCACCTAGAAACATCCAACAGTTTAGTCCTGATGACAAATGTCTCCGTAAATATGTTGATAAATGTTGTTCTGATTCACTTCCTGTGCCAAACGTCGCTCACTATGTGTGGTACAATCAAAGGAAACTTTCCTTCTTCCATTTTGTCAGTTTTATTTCAGTGCTGCGATTTATGCGTCCGTGTGTTATTTTGATTCATGGGAATATCATTCCATCCGGAAACTATTGGAAATTCATTCTCGACTTATATCCGAACATTGTACATGTTTTTCGAGAAGTTACTTCAACACTGTTTGGCAAAAAGGTTAAGTTTATTGAACACGTTAGTGATATTTGGAGACTGAAAGCATTGCTGAGGTTTGGGGGAATTTATTTAGATACAGACACTGTGCTTGTGAAACCAATTAATACTCTGCGAGAGTTTCCGTGTACAATGTCTAGGCAGACTAAAAACAAGACCATTGGCTCAGCGTTCATAATGGCAGAACGAAATGCTACTTTTATCCGAGAATGGTATAACTGGTACGCATTGTATTATATCAATAGTAGTTACACATATAACGCGATGCAATACCCAAGCGGTCTAGCGAGGTGGAAAGCGGATCTCATTCATATTGAATACGGTACAGTGTCAAGACCAGACAGGCAAGTTGGTGGTATTATTTTCCATACGAATACGAACTGGGCAAATATTTACGGAATTCATTTGTATGTGAAATCATTTCGGAAATTATCAAAATATTTAGATGAGAATTCTGTAAAGAGTTTTAACACGACAGTTGGGGCTTTATGTAGACATATTCTTTATGGGAATAAAGAGTTGTGTATTTAAGTGCTCTAGACACATTTTCAGTAGTGAAGGTTACGCTGGCAACATCACAGTAAATTTATGGTATCCCAATGGAAGTTACATGACATCTGCATACTTTACTACGGGTTTAGCAACAATTTATTCCTCCATATCTATGGAAGTTTACTGGCATGAAGATTTTATTTCGTCCATGGACTTGTTGTTATTGTTAATAGTGGTCTTGTAAATGAAAGGAAGTGCAGTTTTTGTGACAACAGATTATATTAACAACGTCAACATTATTGTTATGTCTACTTTTTGAAATATTTCCACAGTAACCTTCCACACAAGTCAATTGTAATATTTTCCCCAAAATAGCGGAAATATCAATTAATATTCCAATCGGTGAAATTATTGAAGATAAAGTACATGCCACTGGCATTTCTTTTCAAAAGCATAAAATAGAATAATATATATTTTCTGTAAGATACCATGCCTTAAAACAACTTGATCAACAAATAGATACTGACATTGATTCAATAGAAACGAATTAAAATATACAGTTTGAATGTTTCTGAATCTCCTTATGTCGTCCATCATTTCCTTAGTTTGGAGTCCTGCTCCACACGCATGCGCAATTAACGTTTTTGATTTTTAATAACAAAAGCAGAGCATGACCACACTTTTCTTTTTTTATCATTCTATTCTCACTGGAAAGGTTTTATTTAAGATATTAAGATCTAAATACAATATTTAATTTTGAAATGGAAACTGTTTGGAATAATCCCTCAATATAATAAACCAATCGTGAAACAGAATTTTCCTTATTTTTCTACTATAGGCAACAATATTGCTAACATATTTATTCATTTTAATTATTTATCCGATTTGCTTTATTCTGTATTATTCTAACCAACTATATGCATTTTTTCTATTGCAAGTACCTTATATACATGTATTTTCTTTTAATATTTAAATTTGCTAAAAAAATCCGCTTGAGACTTATTATTAACTATGTATTATTAAGCACAATTTTCCATATCGTCCTGTTACTCACGAAAAGCAATCACACAGAAATATGATAATATGATTTCCAATTTTTAATTTGTATCCTATTTAAGAAAACGTAGCGCAAGGTGTATTTTACATATATTTGGTAAGTTCATACATAGAGCTTAAAGGTCTTAATTATGTCCCACTATAGAGGGTGGGGACATTTAGATAATTTGCCCCGGTCCGTCCATGTGTTCTCCAGATATGTCGCATGTAGCTTTAAAAATGCTTGAGCTAGATTCAACAAAATTTACAGAAATGTTGAACAGCATGTGAAGTTGTGCACCTAGGGTTTTGCATGTGGACTAATTCAGTTTTAGGTGCTAGGGGGCGTGGACGGTAACTTGTACTTTCCAGTACCGTCCATGAACAGGCTCAAAGCAACGTTTTCAATTCTGTCGTGTTTGGTTTTCTTTAGGGATTTTGTTTTTCACTATTTTGTCAGAGTTATTGCCATTGACTTGGTAAAATTTGCTATTTTTAACTTGTGTCACACGTAGCACAAAAATATTTAACCTAGAGTCGTGAGTAAAAAAATTGCAATTTTCAATTTGTGTCGCACGTAGCTCAAAAAAGTATTTGAACTAGAGTCATGAAAATTTACAGAAGTGTTGGTCAGCATCTGAAGTTATGCACCTGTGGTTTGACATGTTTATTTATTCAGTTTTGTCAGAGTACTGCATTTGATTTAGTAAAAATTTGCAATTTTTGAATAGTGTGATGCATAGCTCAAAAAGTTTTTGACCTGAAGTCATGAAAGTTAACATGACTGTTGGTCAGCATGTGTAGTTGTGCATCTACGGTTGGGGGAAATCTGTATATCAGCATTTGATAGAAAAAGTGGATGTAGTTTTATGCCCACACCACTTGGAGTAGAGGGATTCAAGTAGAATTTCCTCTTGAATGTCCCTCTGTCGAACATCAGAAAACAGTGGAGTGTGGGGGCACCTGTGTCCTATGGGCACATTTCTAGTTTTTATTAAATGTTGTACGTTGTACATATTCCAAGAAAATTGTCGAGCGCAAAATACTGTGAAGCTTTCTTTGTGTACATTTGCGCAACTGTGCATAGTAGAGGCCTTTGAAACTAGTTTTCCCTCACTTGTAAAGTTCAAATCTCAAAATTAATTTTGTGCAGCAGTTTGGCCTTTTCTTTGAAGTCCTAAATACCTAGGCATAAAGTTGAAATTAAAATGTTCACTATCTCTACATTGTATCTATTAATCAGCATAATTTAAAGGTTTTTAAGAAATTCGATAATAATTCCATGTAATTAAAAGATGTATGACCTTTGTGAGAGGTCTGTTTGATAAGGTTTAGACTTTAGAAGTCTAGTTCTATGTAATTAAACTGAGAGAAACTTTAAGATACGTTTGTGATTCTACCTTCATTCACTTTTAGACATTATACTGGTAATTTCAGATAATTTCAAAACGTTGATATGTAACTTTAAATATATACCGTTCAAGCAGCCAGGTCTCTTTCACCAGAAAAAAATTAATCAATAACTGTCAGGTGATAGTAGTGGTAGTTTTTGATGGTTGAAAATGAAAAGAAAAGCCACAAGACGTCGTAAAGATGATGATAATGAGGAAAAGAAGTGTAGTCAGACAGGAGTACCCAAATCCTTTTTCAAAGTGCTGTGTTTTTGAATAAGTATATACATTGCATAAACTTGGATTTTAACTGGACTTATGTTTTTTATTTTTGTACCTTGTTCATTCAAATTTCATTTTTTTCTACAGACTCAAATATCAAAAATACTTCAGAACAGAGGACGCCTTTTGGTTTTACAAGATCAGGAAACACCGAAAAGACGTGTAGGTTGTACGTGGGGATATCCAAAATTGAAGCACTTGCTCCAGTTACTTCAAATCTCTCTGATTGGTCCTACAACACTAGAAGACATTGTCCAGTTTTGAATATAGATTCAGGGAAAAAGTCGACCGGACAGAAATTTGTCATTAATTGTGAGGCGGATGTTGCGTATGCATATCTCAACTCTACAAAATCACCTAGAAACATCCAACAGTTTAGTCCTGATGACAAATGTCTCCGTAAATATGTTGATAAATGTTGTTCTGATTCACTTCCTGTGCCAAACGTCGTCCACTATGTGTGGTACAATGAAAGGAAACTCTCCTTCTTCCATTTTGTCAGTTTTATTTCAGTGCTGCGATTTGTGCGTCCGTGTGTTATTTTGATTCATGGGAATATCATTCCATCCGGAAACTATTGGAAATTCATTCTCGACTTGTATCCAAATATTGTACATGTTTTTCGAGAAATTACTTCAACACTGTTTGGCAAAAAGGTTAAGTTTTTAGAACATTTTAGTGATATTTGGAGACTGAAAGCATTGGTGAGGTTTGGGGGAATTTATTTAGATACAGACACTGTGCTTGTGAAACCAATTGATACTCTGCGACGGTTTCCGTGTACGATGTCTAGGCAGACTAAAAACAAGACCATTGGCTCAGCGTTCATAATGGCAGAACGAAATGCTACTTTTATCCGGGAATGGTTTGACTGGTACAAAATGAATTATGTTAATAGTAGTTACACATATAACGCGATGAAGCGGACAAGTATAATCGCATTCCGGAGACGGGATCTCATCCATATTGAATACGGTACAGTGTCAAGACCAGACAGACAAGTTGGTGATATCATTTTCTACACGAATACAAATTGGGCAAATATTTACGGAATTCATTTGTATGTGAGATCATTTTGGAAGTTATCGAAATATATAGATGAAAATACTGTAATGGATTTTAACACGACTGTTGGGGCTTTATGTCGACATATTCTATATGGGAATAAAGAGTTGTGTATCGCGATGCCATAAGAGTTGACTAATTTGCAGTCTACTTTCACCTTTTAATCAATTTCGTCCAACAGGATTGCAGTATCTCAAAAGAATCGTGACACCTTTATCTTTAGTAAACTTGTTTTAATTAATCAATGTAGTAATTCAATTGTTTATAAAAAAAATAATTTCAAACACTTGATGCGGCTGCGCTTTCTTAGCATATTATTCATTTCTTTTAAATTGAATTCCTATGAAAAAGGTCCATTTAAACTTACCGTGCTGTTCATTTCAGCCATAGATTTGCACAATTCGGCGTCACTTTTGCACAATTCCTACGCTAACTCATGCGCTAACTCATGCGTTACGGTTTGAAACAATATAATAAGATATTAAAATATATATGGCTAGTATGTTACATCATTTGTTGGAGTACACGATCATTCAGTGGAGCGTTCTTTTATCATACTACGATACGTTCTTTTGTTAAAGTACACACACGATCATCCACAATCGTTGTGTGGAGCGTTCCTCGGTTGGAGTACACTCTCATTCTGTCGAGCGCTCTTTCGTTGGATAACAAAATCATCATGTGGTGCATTATTTTTGCTTGCACAATTGTGAACAGCTTTATACTGTTTTCTGTAAGATTCATATTTTGTTTTGTTCACCCCTTTTATCATTTTCTTGGAAATTCTTAATACTTTGGCAGTTATTTGATATTAAGATACATGTACAAACTATTGCTATTTTGGTTTTCAACATTCAATGCGGTTTTATAAAGGAATTTGATATATGTGAAATATTATTTTATCAAATGATATTTAGAGCTTGTAATTTCTTACTTTATAGATGTAGCGATATCAAAACAAAAAACTTCATGTATACGTCTAGTTTAGAAATTAGGAGTTAAATTATATGTAATAAACATTATCTAAACTAGAAGGACCATTTATTATTCTTCCGCCATTGTTTTTACAACATTTATTTTGACCAAAAAGGTAGGCTGTCCAGACATCATAAGACATTGGAATTTATTCAGTCACATGATTCCGCCTATTTTTTTGTTTATAATTTGACGTCAATTATAAAATTTCAAAATTTAGACATCATTTGTAACTAGTATTTTCCATCAATATTACTCGCTCGGGTCAAAAATAATAAAAGAAGGTATCAGATAGTAAAATATTGAGGAATTTGTTATTTGATTGTTAATTTCACGCGAAAGAACACTGCCTTATAACAGGAAGTTATGACGTTGAGTCTGAAATAACGGGAAGGGCCGATGTTTTACTATTTGCCATTGCAATCCAGCAAGTAAGCAAAGCACGCCCGTTTAACTCACAACGAGTGAAAAATGTCCATCGGTTAAAATGTTGTGAGCAACTTCCTTTCCTCGTTGTGAGCACCCTTCTTTGACGTGTGACACGATAAACAATGTGAGTTTTTCATAATTTTTTAAGATTACAAACATTTATATGAAAATATCGGAATGCAGTTAGCTAGCGATGTGTTTTCCGAGTATGCACATGTAAAGATATTGCCTGTTGGTGGACAATTTGATGGAAATACCGTGCGACGCAGTCACTCGGGGTAGCTGGAAAACTGGAGACAACTTCTCTCCGGACCAAATTTAACATTGGAAACGTCGATTTTGGTGAAGTTTTGTGCATTATTACATAAAACTGATGCCCAAAAGTCTTCAGCGTAAACTATTATCTGAAAGTCTTCATAGAAACGAAGATATACCTTTTTTTTGCTTTAATCCTCGTTGTGAGCACCATAACCTCGTTGTGAGCAAGACAAGAGCTAGATTTTTTATTGCATTTCACATTTATTTTTACTAGCAGAGAAATATGCGGAAGAATAAATGACGCCTTCTTTCATTCTAGGAAATATGTTTCCGTGTATTGGTGTATTTGTAACAAATGAAAACATGGCACACAACATCATATCGTGTATATTTGATTTAGGCGTAAGATAACAAAACAAAAAAACACCAGAAAATCAAGACCAATCAAATGTTAGTTGTTTTTTGTTTGTTTGTTCTTAAAGGTGTTTACAAGTAAAATATATAAAAATACACATACATGTATATATAATTTATATTTTAGCACGTAACTACTCTAAGTTCTTGCCGTAACAGTGGTATTGCTGCTATATTTGTAGTGAATATAATTGAGATTGTTACAAAATGATTACTCTAAAACCATTGTTACAAAATGATTACTCTAAAACGAAAGTCTCAAATTGCCAGACACCCCTTTAATACAAACTATGACCTTAGTGTTTATATCAAGATTCAACGACTTAATTAAACACGCTCGAATTTGGTAGCAAATATTATACTGTACCGTCATATATCGTATGTATTCTTCAGGGGGTCGAACGTATAGCGGTGCGATACTCCTTTAAGCGAGGTGAATTCATGCGATACGCCCTAATGGCGGAGGGAGCGAAAACGAAAGTGGGTATGAGCATGTTTTTTTCCAAATATTTGTTGTCTATTGTGATTTTTTGAAGAATAGAATTGTGCATGCTGATCAGAACTTATAATTGTGCATGATTGTCAAAATAAAATACTAAATTTTATAGAATTGAGGAAGTTATTAAGGTATTTGTTGCTGCAAATTCAACCGTCAACCTGATATGCACATGCAAACGAATAATGTATCAGTCGTTTTAAAACGAGATATTCGATTAGTTTAAGTCCCAACATGTTTATTTTTGAAAACAAAACGATATACAAGAGTAGTTTTCCATATCTATCCGAAAATATATAAAATATTTCCAGTTTTCTTACTGTACGCCTAATATTTGGTCCGATAAACGAACTGTACGCACAAATGTTGGTATGTTTTTCTGTATCAACTTCCTCATTACAGTACAAACTCATTCAATATTGATGAAATATCAAGTTTTGAGTTTGTATGTTAATCATATGTAAACCACAGTGTCAACTAAAACAACAGTGTCAATTAATGTATTATACTATGATATAGTTAATTTAAATATTCTTTTCTCACAAAGGTTAATCATTAAAATGAGATAAGTTATGCACAGAAATTTGAAATTCTATCAAGTAATCAATAGTCACGATAATATTCGTTTTGTTTCTTCCATTTTTTTTTGCAATGGAACTTGAAATTAATAAAAAAAATACTGGTTTGATTTCCTCTATGGATGGGATGTTATATATTATATACAGAGCACATCATTGTATTTCAGTAATTCTGATGTTTGTCATTAGCTCTGTCGCTTTGAATATATAACTATACTACTCCATAACCAGTGTATACCAAACAGCTTTGTGTATTTGCTTATGAAAGCATTTATACTTTTAGTGATTTAACATATCTGCCAGTAGTTTTACTTTTAAAACTAGGCTTTCTTTGCAACATGTAATGTATAGCATTACCCCTCACTTTTTTGTAAATATTCATTTCCACTGGGAGTTACTCTTATTGTTAAAAGCAAGTGTACCAAGAGATTTGTACTGTTACAGGCCAACAGCACTTTTTAACAGTATAAAATCTGGGCAAGTGTTTTTTTATGTAAATAAAAGTATTATAGTTTACAGTATCTGTTCGGGAAATAAAATAAATAGCACACAAGCGTTTGTGAGTAACAGTAAAAATATCAACACTCCTAAAAATACTGTTTCCCGCCTAACAGTATTTTCCTTGGGATGATATTTTAACTGTAACCCACAAACCCATGTGTTATTTATATACTATTTTTCTGAAATGCTCTGCTTTGAAAGTGAGTTAATTTATACAAGATTTCTTAATTTGTTTCTTAAATTCAGTCTTACATATTTTGGTCAAATTCCTACTTTTTATCTAAGATCTTAGAATAAAGGTTACTTAAGAGGGATAACTCCACAATCAATATTATAGAAATGTACCTCCCTTATTTATGTATATTCACATTCTCAACATTTACATCATATAAATCAATTGCAATAGGATGACATAATTGCACATTGTCATTATTAAAAAGTTATTTGAGACATTTAATTACAAAATTATAAGAGACTTTTTACATTCTAAAAGTTTGATAACCTCTACTGACCTTGTCTTAAAAACTTCCATAAGAAATTATACTGTAAAATACTAAATTTTGTAATAAAAGCACTATCAAGCAATATAAAAAAATGGTTTTACAAAATCATTTGTCACTCATGTTTAGACAATGGATGAACTGTTCAGTAGTGATTATCAAAACATAGGGATAAAACTTATTTATGAAATTAAAATATATCATATTCTATATTAAAATTTCTATGTGTTTAAAATTATATTAACTGTTCACTCCAGGCAGGAGGTGAGATACAGACATAACATCACATTCTTGTTTATGAATTAAGAAATGTTCTAAAGACTAACACTTATTTAACAAATAAAAATAGAATTGTCAGTGAAACAAACATACTAAACTGTCAGTATCTGTATGTATACCCCATCTCCTACATAGAATGAGATAATATAACTTTGCTTTACACTATTTACGCTACTAATACTTATAATAAAAATAATATATGACTAATCCTGAAATGTAGTCTGTTAAACTATTTATATAAATGATTGTTTCTGGCTTTTAAAATCAAAAAGCACGTTTTGGAACTTACTTTTAACATACAGTGTATGTTCATTTGAGAGTACAAAGTTTAATTTATCCTGATCACATAAATTGTTAAATGAGGCATCAATCTCAATAGCTTTATTAACAATATCATTTCTGAGACTCTGATACAATGGGCAATGAAATAAAACATAAAGTACAACTACAAGAAAAATTACCAGCTTATCACTTGCCTTACAAGCCTCAGTGGCAATCATTACTCAACTTCCTGTTCCTCTTAATTTTATACTTGAACAATTAAACTGATATATTCTTATATTTATGATAATACAATCATTTTTCTATCCGGCGACTTGATGATTTAGCATCAAAATCTCTACTTGTTATCATAAGACATTGTTTTGCATAGGCTTGCAAGACATGGTGCAGTGGTTTTGTTTATCCGCTGTGTTACA